GACCAGCTGTCGGCGCGCCGATACTGATACTGTACCAACTATTTGCAATTTATTCCTCTCCTATACTGTACTAATATGTGTTTCGAACGCAGAAGAACTATTTTTTTATAGAGTTGAGCGGCAATTCTAGTTCAATAAAGTCTAGTATCACTACGACCGGTAACGATCTATAGTGATTGCCGCTATTTTACTTACAGTTCGCCTCCGAGTCCTGCATCCATTAGGAATTGCAGTATCTTTTACGGGGTGATATTTTATGTTTTACATCTTGTGTGCTTAGGATGTGTTTGCCCAGGTGTAAGCTCCGCTTGCGCATCAAAGGTCCGCAGTCCGCGAGAATGTGTAGTGGCGTTTCATCTGCCTCTTGGCACATCCTGCACGTTCTTGATTCAGACAGTTCCATAGTGGACAAGTGCTTGTTTAAGCTGCTGTGTCCAGTGAGGGCTCGAACTAATAATTATGCGCATTTTGATCCAACTCAGTCGTATGATCTGCTTAGAGTATTTTCGGTCATAGGCTTTTATGAGAGCTTTGGAATGAGTTAATCCTGGCGTGTCTGACCATGCCTTAAAGGATTGTTTTAGAAGGTGATTAAGTTGGAGTTTAAGGCCATCAGCGCGGCCTGACTAAGTTAATGTAAAGTATGTGGTTGGCATAATTATTTCGCAGGTTAGCGTCCTCACATTTAATAATTTCGTAGACTTCTGCCTGAAAGATAGAGGCAAATTTATTAATTTACCCAGGCTTGATAGCCTACGCTTCGGCTGCTCTCCATACACGCCAAAGTTAAATTGATTGAATAACTTAATACTAACTATATTAAAAGTAAATCATGTACATTATTCAAGTTGCTGCTTGGTCTAGTAAATAATGATCGCGAGAGGAACCGGTGCCTCTTGCTGTCAAGAAAAAATCCCCGCCTTGTCTGTCAGACAACCCACACTATTGGACTATACTTTAAGGCTTAAAGTAGTAAATAGATTCGGTTAAAGTTTAAGCGAATCACTCACACAGAGATTGGCAAATTATGTCTCGGAATGCAAATGGGAACCACAACCTCTGGAAGGCAACAAAGTACCTCCCTCAAAATGTTCTCCGCTTATTATGATAATCCAAAAAAAATCCACAGTTCAATCAAAAAAATAAGATCAAGCATTGGACTTGATCCGGGACTTGCATCTATGCCTGCCTTTGATTCCTACTGATGATGATGATTCATCCGACCGATTTCGGTCATGGTGACCACTTCGACTTAGCTGTCTTGGCGACGCTGGTGCGCCCGAAGATGGCTTACATAGCCGATCTTCGCGGCAAACTCCTCGCACATTGAGAGTAATTACCCGCCGCCAACATAATTAAAGTGAATGGCGGCAGATGGACGGGATTTACATCATCGCATTTTGCGTCGAGTTCAGTTGTGCGCTGCTCCTTGAATTCGCGGACTCGCCTCTACACAACACAATCTCCCGCCATAGGTGCTGTGCTGCCAAACCTTCCCATTGTGATTTGAGAGGGCCCATTTTGCATCTTTTCGTATGCTGCTTCTGGACATCTTTGTAATTGACCATCTGGAGGAGAAGTTGACCGCCATGTTTCCGCTTACCCTCCTCAAGTTCAAAGTAGAAGATTGATTCCTACTACGCTAATTGAGGACGAAAGACGCAGGAGAACCAATGTCCATAGCCCACAGAATCGCTAAAATCAAGTGGCAGTGGGCGGGGCACACATCTCGTAGAGCTGATGGCCGCTGGGGCAGAAAAGTTCTTGACTGGCGACCACGAGCCGGAAGACGTAGCGTGGGCAGGCCTCCCACTAGGTGGACCGACGATTTAGGGAAGGTCGCAGGAAGTGCCTGGATGCGAGCGGCGCAGGACGTCTTTCGGCTGAAACGAAAGAACTAACGCTAAGAGAGATGGCTAAGCTAAAGAAAGTTAAGAGTACTTTTATCGGCACACTGGTACGCTCGCCTTTAATACACGAGAACCTGATCTCAGCCAAACCCGCTGTCCAAATATCAAAGTATCTATGATCAAGAGAGCTAATTTACTAGGGTAAACTACTGCTCTAGTGGCTCAAACCCCAACCAACTGCAAATCACCTGATTAGTCTTGACGACAGATACTAAAAAAGCAGATTTAAAAAAAATCCTAATGAACAAAGGTCAAACAAGGTCACGCCGCCGACGCCGCCGCCGCCGAGGTCAAAAAGTCGGCGCGCCGCCGCCGGCCAATTGTATATCGGCGCCCACCTCTAGGATAGAGACATGCGATTTTTGTCTTTACAAAGGTAATACGATAGAAAATAATACAAAGTAATAAAAAGTACCTGTTATAGGGGCATTTTTTGGAGAAATTTATCAAATAACCAAAAAACCACAAATTTAAAAGCAGATTTTTTTCAAAATGTTTCATTTTTTATTATTTGTTGGCATTTTCAGGGTATTTTATGTATTTTTTTAGTATCGTTTGTTATTTAGCATTATTACTGTTTTTATTTTATCAGGATATACCTCTTAGTTTAAAAGTTATTACGTTTTCTTTACAATAAGTAATTGGAAGAAAAAAAATTCTATAAATTAAAAAAAAANTGTCGCATAACTTTTTATTCCTGCTTGCTACAGATGGGCCAATATAAAAAATATGCTCGTAATAATGTCTATTTTGAAATGTTTTACCTAAACTTACTCTAAATTCAAAAATAAAAAAGGTCGGGGTAATCAACAAAATAATCCAGATCCGGAGAATGACCGAAAAACAAATATTTTTTCAAAAATATTCTGCATATGTAGTATGCGTAATATGGATAACCTTGAAGTGTCATACGGATCATCTTACGTGAAAAAGACTATAGTAGTTTAATAATCAATTATGTCCTAATAGAGTCTCGTCACCTTTTATTGCTTCCTCATTATAAATGTAATTACTTTTGATCAATCATCGAATCACTCTTCTTGTGATCTCGGAATCGTTGTCGAAACCCTTTTCTGGTGATATGAATAAGACCCCAGTTCTTGAAATTTTTGGCATATTATGATTTCAATTAAAATAAAAACAGTAAAATATCTGGAATTTGGCACTGTTGATATTGCATTGAGCCTATCCTAAGCCGACGGCGCCGCTGGCCGCGATAGTATTGACGTCGCCGCTAGAATTCCGCAACGCCATCCGTCGCACGCGCACATTGTTGATGGACAAGAGTAAATATAGTCGCACGTCCTCGCCATTGACTCGAGGAAGTGTGATGGATTTGCGCAGGTCGACCAGCGCCGATAGGCGGCCTCCACTCGATCCGGCGGTTGTTTTCAATAAAAATGTCAGGTTGGCGCGGCGTCGCCGGTCGACGCATTTAGCCTGGCGGCGGTCCAGAAGCGGTGCATACGCCCCACCCTCCCCCCTTGCCCACTCACAAGGTCGTCCTAGCTCACTTTTCACAGCACCCTTTACAAACCCTTTAGAAGTTAAGCTTTATTTCCATTCAGACAGATTCCAGCTGAAAAATAAACGACTTCTTAGAAAAACTAAAACGTGCCGGCATGTTAGGCATTTTTAACTGAAAGGTTAACTCTGAAAATAGATTCTAGAACTATGTAATCAGAAGACATTTTAACAGCTGTTTATTCCTTGTCACCGAAATCGACTGGTCTCCCAATCCGAATAGAATGTCATGGTCTGCTCAACCTTCGTGTGACATTAAAGTATGTCACTGCGTTTGTTTACGAGTGTGGATCATCCGTAGCATGCATTTATGTTAGAGACCAAATATTTGGTTAACGAGTTAGAGTTTTAGGTCAACCACGACGTAAACTAATTTCAGAAACACATCAGTCAGTCAGAAATCTAATAAAATTAACGTCTTTGAAGTACAGTCTCTACGAATTCTGGCCTGAATTATTTTTCAGAGGAGCTTAAATCAATATTGGAATGCTAGTGCTCGTTTGCCCATTAATCAAATTGGATTTTTCTTGTAAATTGATGTTTACGTTTAGAGAAACGTTTGATGTTGCGACTGTGCCATTGGGAGTACTGGCATTAACACACGTGTAGATATCTAAATAAATTATCTCTGAAAATTTCCAAGGTAACTAACCTTGCCTGCTAAGGGCTAGTTAGTTAATCAAAATGCTAAGCCAACGTCACAACGTTGATGTCAAGTCAGATAAAAGCCCTGCCTGCCTAATTATGAGTAATAAAGCTCTACCTAGGTATGTGGTACGCAAAACATATCATTAGATCCTACTAGAACTGTCTTACTGTTATTAATATTCGTCAAATAAAGTTCATTGTCCTTTAAAAAAATCATCAACACAACGTCATACTTACGTTGCAGGCCACAACAAGTTATTGATAAAACATTTTAATTAACCGCCTCTGTGGTCTAGTGGTAAGACCACCTGCTTCAGACGCAGAGGTCCAGGGTTCGATTCCCAGTGGGGGCAGATTTTTCTGTTCATTTTGGTTGGTGGTAGGGCTTGTTCTAAGTCCGCCTGGATAGCTACCGCCATCTTACCTAAGTCTGTCGCCATAACAACAATGTTAACAGCATTATTGTGTTCCGGGAGTTAGAGGTAAAATAGCCAGTTCCTCCGTGGTTGAAGCTCGCACCTTCGGCCTGATCGTCACTTACCATCAGGTGAGATACAGGCCAAGAGCTTCCTCGTTATGGATAAAAAAAAATTCAAGCAATTTAACTTCTTTTAACACTTTGTCTCGTTTCCGACCCATACTCCCTATGGCTATTATTATAAAACCCCCATATTTTAGACTAAAGCCCGGTCTGTGAGCACGTAGAATTTTGTCCAATGACCTCAAGCTACCCATCCTTATCGCTCGCGCGTAATTAATTAAGTTGCTGTCGCGCTCGCACACTCACTGCGGGCGCCCGTCGCACAGTTGCGACAGCAATATAATTACGTATACAAGCGATAAGGATGGGTAGCTTGGGGTCATTGGACAAAATTCTACGTGCTCACAGACCAGACATATCAGCACTATCTCACATCCACCATGAACATTGCAGGTGACCCCAGGCACGCCGGCCGGCCGCGAGCTGGTGCGAGGCGACATCATCGCCAAGATAGACGACTACGACGCGCGCGACCTGCGACACGAGGACGCGCAGAACCTGTTCAAGAACTCCCCTAACCAGATCAAGCTGGTTGTACAGAGGTACGGTGGTTTTGTTTAAATATTTGGCATTTGAGCTGGAAGGGAAATAGGAGGTACTAGAAATTGTAATGCATCAGCCATAAATAGAAGGAAAATAATGTGATAGATCTTGCGACAAATTAAAAGTTTCTTTTGCCGATATTTCAGTATGGCTTGATCAACCGTCCAAAGTTTAGTTCGTCAAAAATACACTCGGCGTATTAAATTCTGACTGCCTTACTGACTTACTGACTGATCTTACCAATACTCGTACTTGATTGTGTGCCGAAGGAGTAGTAATGGGAGTAGCCTCATTCAAACGAGGTGTCTAGGATGGATAACAGACAAAGACAGGCTCGAAAATATACAAACAGTTCACTTTAAGTGAAATGCTGGCAGGCACAAACACACCTGGAAGTATTGAGCCCTTAAACCAAGTAGTGTGACCACCGAGGCGGATCCAGCCTAGGCCCACGTTCTATCACAAGTACACCGAGTAAGAACATCTCTCTTAGTGTGTATGTGTAAGGATTAGCCCCGTTAAACCGGCTAGTGTGACCACAGGGGCGGATCCAGCTCGCACCTTTACTCGGTGCTGCGAGCCTCGGGCAGCTTTGCAGGGCGCGTACACACGCCCACGTTGTTCTATCACAAGTACACCGAGTTAACTCCTTAAGTGTCTTTAGCCCTGTCAGCTGTATTAATTTTATAAGGAATAGCCCCATTGAACTGGCTAGTGTGACCACAGGGGCGGATCCAGTTCGCACCTTTACTCGGTGCCGCGAGCCTCGGGCAGCTTTGTAGGGCGCGTGCCCACGCCTACCTTCTATCACGAGTACGCCGAGTAAGAACATCTCCCTAGGTGTCTATTAGGTGTATTAATTTTATTCATTGTGGTACGGAACCAATCGTTTTGGAAAAAAGTAATTCGTGTAAGATCTAAAAGCTCTACCGACTTCATAAAATTCATAATTGATCGCTGAGTAAATTCTGTAACTGTTATAGGAAAAATATTTTTGAATAAACTACGTGAAAGCATGTCGTAATGAATTAGGGGTATAAATTGATTCCGTACCACAAATCCAGCTAATCTAATTCCAACTTTAAAAACTATAAGGCATGATTCCAAATATCTATTGATGTTGTAATGCCTTAAACAATCTTCTAGAATTAACAAATTGATGGTGTCCTGAGAAAAAATATTTTATTTAAAAATACCTATCTCTCTGTTTACACAAGTATCACTCCTTTATAAAAGTACCTTTTTATATTTTTGCACACATTTTATTTGCATGTAACAACTCGTATATTATTTTGTTGTATGTAAACTTTATGTTGTCCTTTACATAGAACATGATTGGTAATTAATGTTGTTTTCCTATTGTTGTATTTAGTTATTGCATTTTCTATCTCCCAGCAATGCATTTGTATATTTCAGTATGTATGTTTTCTTATAGCTACGCCAACATGATTCACATAATCTTATGTTACTAGAATTTCTTTATCTGGCTTTGTTTTTTTTTTTCTCTCAAAAATAAAAATAATAAACATATTAATACCTACTAATAATTTAGTTAGTTCAATTTAAGTGGTTTTCAAATCATATTGGCGTAACTTTCACTATCGTATCGTGTGTCATTCGTTGTCGCTCACGTAGCATGTGTAATAGGGACGTGGACCGTGATGCGACCGCTGGCACCCCGCACGCGCCGAGGTCGCCCATACCCAACGCGGCTGCACCGCCCTACAGGTAGGACATATCATATACATGTACTACAGGTAGCCCAAAGCTGTAGACAAACCAAACCTTTGCAATTTTAACATGGAAAACGATTCAGGCGCTTTCTAAATATAAAACATTTCCGGTTTCATTAAAATATTACATTACAAGCTTGACATTGTATAACGTATTTTCCTAACATTCCAATTTATCATATCAAATGTCAACATTTTCAACTACAAGAGGTAGTTATTAACTTACATTAGTGTATATTGGCACATTTTCAGTATTTGTTCAATGTTACAATCATACGTCAGACTTGAAAACCCAAGCATTCTATCAACTTAAATAGTTCCCAGATTTTCTTGGTAATCGCAATTAATCAGAAATGAATAAAACGAATACCGCAAGAATGCAAAATTTGTGCAATATACATAGGCACACATTATGTATAATGAAAGTTTACGCTTACTCATACCACCCCAGGCATAAAAACTGCACCAAAACAAGAATAATTAGTCATGAAACCGGGACTGCGCCATGTTTTTTTTTTTTTTTCAAATATAGCTTATGACACGTAAAAGATGAAAAGACACCTGGCACTTCAAATACACGCATTTAAAAACACTGTAAAAATTCCTTACTGCGTTGCAGTTATTTTTTCTGGTGCTAAATGCTTTGCAAAAAAGTTAAAATGGGATGCATGACCCCAATGATACCTATGTGCTGGATATAGTACATGCTAGAGGTTGCGGGTTCGATCCCCACACTATGCAAACATTTATGTTTGTATTTGTTGAGTCGAGGCCCGTGTTATAGAAAGAAGCACAAAACTCGATAGCATCTCAAGCAAAAATTGAGTTATGATTACTTAGTTGGAGTACAATAATTATGTAAGTCCAAAATTTAGGACAGAATCTGAAAAATGTCTGAGATGGAATCGAGTTTTGAGCTTCGATCTTGTTTTCCAAGGTAAAAAGCAATTAGAGTTCACGCGCGAATCTAATGCAGATTTTGGAACACTTTCTTCTTGCGCTCTGCATTCAACGTGCGCGGATTGTGCATAATTGTTTGTCTCTATCTGACACCATCTTAAATTTACATTTAGTTTAGGTGCAACTTAAAATTATATCAAAGAATATTATTTATTTATGTAAGAATAAACTATATTTCTATAAAAACCAGGACCCCCAGCCCTCTTCCTGCGACGGCATGGCGCGGCGGCGCGGGCCCGGAATCCCTCCCTCGCACTCCGGTGCCTCCGTACAACTCGTACCCAGTGCAGCATGAGGGCGAGTACCGGACCATGCTCCTGTCGCCCACTTCGACGCGCACCGACGACACCTGCGACGAGTCTATTCAGAGCCAGGTGAGTAAGGGTGACACTTAAACAAACATAAATAAATGATCGTCGCAGAAATCAGCGACATCGCAACGTACGACTCAACGTCGTAGTATTTAGAAACTTACAATACACTCTTTCATCGACGCCGCATTTAATTTTCCTGAAACAATGACGAATGACATCGGGAAAAAAGTTGAGACTTTATTTCACCATTAGGGGCGAAGCCAATGGAATATTCCATTTGGCATCTGGTGTTAGCACTAGAAAGAAATGAGTTGTCGCTTTGCCCTCAGTGCTGGATATCGATACCAAAAGTTTCTTTGTCGCCAACTACCTATTGGTTTTGTTGTGTATAATTTGGGTGACAAAAAACTTGAACTGTGTCACTATAAGCATTGTATCCAAGTAGGTGCATATATCTGCTGAAAACATAATAATTCCAACGTGGCAATTTGTGCAAATGAATAGATAATCTTCTGTAGCCGTTGAAATCTGCTGCTCTTAATTTCTTTAATTATTTCGCTTATCAATCATGAAAATTAGTAAGTCCAACCAAATCCATTATGTCACTGCAATATGAACTGCAGTCAACACTTCTTGGCACTAAGTATCTTTACAGTACTGGCAATGACACTATTCTGAAATATGCCTACATATTTTATTACCAGACATGCGATCAATATGGTATAGCTAGTAAACGGCATAAAATTATGTAAAGTAACAGTACTGTTAAGATATCTTCAGGCAATACACCATTGACTCCGTAAAATTATCTGTCTATATCCCTCTGATATATCAATTAATCATAATTATATTCATGTTTTGATATTAGGCCAAATACCATGCGTCATTTATGTATCAGTGCATTAGTATTTGACGTCCATCATTAACGCTTAGGTTATGGTCAATGTCAAATAGCTATAGCGGCAATCATCAGTCATAAAAATATTATTTGTGTTTGTATTATTTTTAAAACACACGTGACAGTCAACGAACTTTGCTCTTGCGTCTCAGTATCCGGAGACTGCAAATGTTAATTGAAATACAACCCTTGTTTCGTAATACAAACAATCTTCATCACAAAAATGTGTATGTTCTGTGGATAGTACAAAATATTTTTAACGGAGAGTACAGACGATTTTAGCTTGAAATGTGGTTATGACTTAGAAAAACCTATAAAATCGTCTTCGCTTCGACCTCTTTTGCAAAACGGATATTATGTTAATCGTCCTTGATGTTAAAACGAAATGGGTTAACCAAACGTCGTTCAACCGATGCGTGACGTAATTTGGCGTCGCGCCAGAAAGTCTTAGGTCTAACGATGTTACTTATTAATTAGTTAGTTTTTGACGGTGGCATTACAGAAACAAGCCGTAGGGCAAAGCGCCTAGAACATGTTATGAGTACAGGTATTTATCGTGGTTCCAGAATGTTCTGGAGCGTGCTAAATCGGTATTGTGAATCACGATCACTTTAATAGACGCCGGCGGCATTTCTAACGCTGTTCAAATCGGATTATGAGTAATGAGGCCACAATTAAAGTACAAACAACGGATAATGGAATTAGAATTATAGACGTCCATTCATAAGCTTCAAGCTTTCCATTGCTACCAGAATGTAGAGTCTAGACTGATTTAAATCATTTTTTAAACTCCTTGGATACGTAGTTAACATTTCAAACAGTAGGTACTCAAAGCTTCACTGCCCTATAAAGGAATATAAAGGTCCTGTTCTATTCTGTTAATATATCAGAACAGCTAGCAGACCTTATATCCACGATTGCTTTACTCATAATTTCATTATTTGAAAAAAAAACAACGCAGAAAATGTTTAAAGAAAGTAATATAATAAGTACCTAATAATAAAGGGTTTGCAGGCGGCCTTAAGCTGAATCAAAATCTCTGAATAATCTCGAAAACTCTTGAAATATTTGAGCAAATACTTTATAAACTATTTTACAATTAACACTAGTATGCTTAAAATAACATGTTGAACTCACTTGTTTTATTTTCGCACGAGACGTAACATTTTAATTTGATAAATTTAATAAATTTATGCTACGCGTGTTGCAAGGCTCTGCGGCGCGGAGGCTCTCGCCCACGTCGCCATTTTCCCGCCTAATTTCCAAAATAGAATGCATTGAAAACGCGTTGTTTACTCGCGAGGGACCGCTCCAGCGGCAGTCTGTGACGGTGCGCTGAACGACACGCGTCTGCGCAAGTGCTTCAACATAATGGCGGTCAACCCCAATTTCTTCCCCAATGGGTACCAGGACCCCATGCATCCTGAAGAGGAAGTTGTCACAAACTGGGTGCGTTTCTACCTAACATAGCTGTCAACTGCCAACCGCTAACATTACTACGCTGAAACTCTAAAGATAAGATGTGAACCATCAATGGAACTGCTCCAACGGATCAGCTTAACCGATTAACCGGAATATTCAAACGCAATCTAATTTCGGAGCACTTGAAGTCGCGCGCTGTTACAAAATATGTGATGTAATAACTCGCCAGCTTTTACGACGTTATTTTCCGTGATGAAGCACGGTTGTGATATGTGGAAAATTTGTAATTAACGGCGTCCTCGGGTTTACGATCTGTTTGATGGACTATGACATGATGTATGGCTAAGTGCTTTAATATTTTTAAGAATCAAAATAATAAAACTATCGCCACAAATGCCTTGCAATCGCTAAAAATGTTAGAGACAACATTCAAAACATAATTAAGTAAGTAACAATTTACATGTTAGGTTCATAATTCAGGATAAAATAAAAATTTTTGTCAGATAATTCCAAATCACATAATCTTCCACTTAACTAGGCTTAATTCCACATTTTTTACAATAAGTACCTACAAAGTTCTAGAAAGTTCAGTAATTAATCGAAACAACACGTCACGATCCTCAATATATTCGAACACGTAATCAAAACAAAATCCAAGCCCTCTTTTACATTACACTGCTAAAGATAAAATCTCACTCAACATCAAGCTGTGTACTAAATAAAGGACAAAATACTTTCAGCTTATACTTTCTTTTCGAAATTAATAAAATTACGGCTTCCATTTGATATGAAATCGCAGCTGTAAATCTATTTTCGAGTCAATGCCACGTCACGTAATTTTTACACCCACTTGAACTCTCAGTAAGACGCTTACGCGGGACGAACTGCGATTTGATCACGGATATTCAGCGTGTCTGTATGAAAATTCTAGTACATATCACAAAAAGAGCCTTACGAAAGTTTTCAAACACATGTTTCTGCGCCATGTTTAAAAATAAGACATATTCTTCATAATAATCTCTTTGAACACTTTGAAGTTCGATCCTAAAACACACACTGCCTTTCTGCTCAAATCTTTGCTTGTAAGTAAGCTCATGGCATGATAGTAAGAAAATGGCATTAACTTCAAGTAACTACGAGTGTTTTCCCAGCGTCACTTTTCCGATAGCTCGTATTTTATTGTTAACTGTTAAAAACTTAAACTCTTTTAACGCAAACTGGTCCAATTTCATGAAAAAGCTCAATATAACTTTGAAGACAACTACATGTTTACGAGTAACCTAGAGTCTCGAAATTAAGACTTTCTCTCTTTAGGCTTTTGAGTCGATCGATGATTTCTTACGAAATTCAAATTAAAAAAAATCAAAGCACATAGAAAGCTAATGCCCATAAACATGGTTTGAAAATTAAATCTATTAATCATGTCTCTCGCTTAATGCTCGGTTTGAATCCATCTAAAGATATAGGCAGATTGGATACCAGGCAGACCTGTAATAAAATTGATCGATACTAATAATTCAATTTATAATTAAAACACGTCTCTACACTTTGAAAAGTGCTAACGATGCTGCTAGTCAAGAATTGGTAAATAATTTCATAATATTATTCTGCTGGAATTGAATAGTGAACGGATATTGCTAACTCTAAACTAATACCAATAAATAATCGAATTATCCATCTCAAAGCACAATCTATTGGAAGCATGACTAACATAGAACATTGCGTCAGTGGCGAAAGCTTCTTGTAAACATGGACGCAAATAAACAGCTGGATTTCGTATTGGCACATTTCTCGGCCATCATTTTCTTCTACAATACCCCTGTAATGTTCTAAGAACATGATTCACGGGTAATCAAAGCTTCAAGGCGTTTGTGGATGGCAATGTGACTGTTTAATTGCGTTTAGCGCCATCTGTTCCTAACGATGCGTGTTGCTGAGAAGTTACACGTGTTTGTTGTAGGTACTCCTCATAACTAAATAGTTCTATGTATATCATAAGTTGTGAATTTAAAAATAACTATAAAAGTTCCTAAGTGTTACTAGTGTATAACCAGAAGAGAACCTTTTTCCAAAGGAAAATTATAACAACGAACGACCTATGTAGGTGACTACCATCGTATACAGTGCCAACCGATTAAACAGTGCGTATAGCACGCTGCATGCCAACGCGTTAAAAGTAAACATTTTCGCGAGAAATAGCTAAGGCCGCCACAAATAACTGTAAACTGTAACAAATCCTTCAGGATATTTGTGAAATGCTAGTAGACTTCCTTCCTTGAGACTGCGTCCGCCACAAGATGGCGTTGACTGTATATTAGAACGCATTAATGGTAGCCTTTCAAAATAGGTTCCACCATGTCGTGTACTCGTACATACATAATCCTTACAAACAAAAGTGGCATGAGTAACAAAAGTAAAAGAAAATTTTCCATAACATAATCATAATAAACAGTTTTTTCCTCAGACGTTTACAAAACGCGAAAAAACGCTGTAAACAAAGTTCAAAGCCAAAAGTTATTTGCTATTACTTTTGCCTCCATCTTGTTGTTTTCCATTTTATTATTTTAAGTGGTTTCCAGTTAAATTTATATGCCCGAGAGATTTCACGACATTGGTATATCAAAGTAGGCCTTTAATATGTTTAGTTGACCACGACCCACATATGTGATACGATAAATATAACGGAATAGTGTCAGAAATCATAACCCACATGGAACAACCTCGGGTATAATTAGATTAGGCGTTGCGCGCGCGCCGCGTGAGCGCACTAAGACCATGCTGTTACTTTCATGAATCACCGTCTTCATTTTTATATCATTTTCATTTCAGATTAAGCACAGCACTTTGACACATACTTACATGCAATTTTAATTTTTATGTACCGTCTCTACATTGTTTTAGGACTCTTTTAAATTACGAGTAGTCCATGTGAACAGCACGTTAATCGTGCGTATGCAAGACCGTACCTTGTCAGTATTGACATTTTGAATCTAAGGAAGTTGCCATTTAAATTTTCCGTATTTTATTGCAAACGGACGAGTAACGTCTGGCTTAGTCTTATTTAAAAGAACCCTTACGCCCTTAGGCCTATTTCAGACACACACGATTGCTGGGCAGTTCTCGTACATTTGCATCAAAAAGTAACCGTCAGTACAGTACCTCAGTGCCTTAACAATGAGAACCACCCATAAACCGTGTGGTTATTTCTGTGTCTGAACTAGGCCTTAAAATTGTTAATTCGTCTAAAGGCCCTTGCCCACGGCGACTTTTCGTAGCGATAGCGATGCAGTCGCGCTGCTGTAGCGCATTATTAGCGCGTTGGCATCACTTCCGTATTGCGTTGCAAATGCGACTAACGCGCGTAAATAGCGATGCTGTCGAAAAGTCGCCGTGAGCGAGGGCCCAGTAATACAGCAGAGCATACACGTTTTGCTTCGACGCAAAACAAAACTAAAAAAACTAAAAAATCACTCGTCACGACTACGTAAAATATCTAACAGTCCTCGACACCTAAACGTCACCTCATATTCCAGCCCTACCGCACCACCCCCCTAGTGTTGCCCGGCGCCAAGGTGCGCCGCGAGCCCGGCCCCACCGAGAGCTATCTCCGCCACCACCCCAACCCGGCCATGCGGGCGCCCCCACACCACGACTACCGCGACACACTCATGAAGCAAAAGGTACGGAACACTAGTCTGGTCCGGGAGCACGTAGAATAGGGATGTTAACTTATCAAAAAATACTACACGTATTTTTCACTTTTTCAAACTAATGAAAATTGAAAGAGATAAGCGCGCCAAAGTTCATAAGAAGAGGCCCGTGACGTCAATGCGTGCATAAAAGTGCCGCACGTTGTGACGTCGTGCGGAACTTCAACGCACCATAACTATGTAATTATTTGTTAGATTGACAAATAAAAATATATGTGTCCAATATTTTTTGGTATTAAACATGACGGACTAAAAAAATTTTTTTAGGCAACTAGCCTATTTTGTCTAATGACCCCAAGCTATCCATCCTTATAGCCTATAAGGATGGATAGCTTGGGGTCATTGGACAAAATTCTATGTGCTCCCGGACCAGACTAAACACACATAAAACATCAACAAGACAGTGATAATAATCGATAGCTTTTGAAGTTACGTCCGTATTCACAAACATTACTTTGCGGTCTCACAGGGCGCGTGAACGCACAGTGTGACATACGAATCAATCACAGAGCTGTATTCAACGCTGTGCGTTCGATTTGCTGCTTCACTTAAGCAAGCATCGTTTGTGAATACGGGCGTGAGTGATACTCGATAGCTTTTGAAGGCTCACACTTTCGGGATGCGGTCAAGGTATCAAATCAAATAGTTTATTCCATACATAGGCCCTTTCCAGGGCACTTATACACTTCCCGAATATAGCTTGCCCTACTACCTGCTGAGAAGAAGTGGCGGAAGAAACTCAGTCAGTATTTTGTTATCGAAGCATTTTTATCGATTTTTGATGATATGTCATCTAATTTGATATAATAACAATAGCTGTATTAAATCGAACCAGAAAGGCTACACCCTCAAGACTTTTACGTAGTTTCAGATCTATCTGCCATTGTTACAATGCTGGCATTTTTGTTTTCGTGATAGAGATGGATAGATTCAAAACTTTGGATGACGATGATGTAGGGCAAAGATGAAAAGTTAGTTTTTCTATACGAACTTACTTATCAAAAGCTATCGAGTGAAACTTCACTAATGTTTTGGGTTTTTAGCAGAAAGTCTTTAAACGAAACTAAAACTCTTTTTAAATTCAACTTGCTTAATATAGCTATCGAGTAAAACTCGCACCAAGCTATTGGTTATTATGTTTTAGAAGACATTGTCACTATTTGTAACTATCAAAAAATAATGGTTAAAGCGCTCACTGAATTTGACCCAGAAAAACAGATGTGGGAAAATAAATTTTATCTAATTCGATGTAAAATGCTGCTCAATATTTTTAGTTTACTCTCAATGTTAATTCGTCCACGTTCCACTTAACTTTGGTGGATGACAAGTTTGTAAATTAACTTTATCGTCTTTTAAATTAGTACTATATTCGTTTCAAGAATATTATTAAATTACTTTGTAATTTCAGATAACAACATTGAATACAATAAGTATAGCTAATTGCATTTAAAAACACTGTTACACAAAATGTAATATCAAACGATCACATACACTATATCCGGTTCGAAGGACCATAATGTCACACATTTCTTAGGCCTTGTTGTTTCTGTAGATAGTTCTATATGCACGCACTTTTACTATCTGACACTAGCTATATGCTTTACACATACACATTTCTAGTTAAAGAGCAGCAGGCGAAATAACACAAATCTTTTAGAAACACTACGAACACACTCACTTGATATCCAGTAACATTTTGATTCGAGATACAGCTATTTTTGTAAGAGTATAGTTTTATTGCATATAGTAGTTTTATATAGTTGCATTGCAGACTTCAGTATTTAAATTCTTTTACCAAACTATCTGTACATACACTCTTAAACTTTTTCTTTCACAAGACGCGATAGTAACTCAAGTAAACCCACTAACTAGTAGCATTTAATGCACTAGCGCACGCATAGCACTATGTAATAGATATTTAATAAAATCAGGTGGCAGAGTCGGTGCTGCAGCGAGTGGTCGGCGATGAGAACAAGGTGGTTCAACGAGTTGTGTGACGTTACAGCTTCTAGCATGACGCAACAAACTTCTGTTACGAAGCCGGTCGTCTTTTACACTTTTGATCCACTGCAATGTTGAATAAAATGATCAAGGAAACGATTGCAAAATATAGAAGGATATAAATAAGTCGGAAATGTGCATGAATATAGTCTACGTTAAGTTTTTGGCAGTTTTTTCAAACCTAACTTCGACATCGAACTGTCTACGCCCGTAGCGATATGCCTGTCTTTGAATAGGTACTTATAATGATAATAAGATCGCGGAGAAAATTGAGTTTCAATTTCATATTTTACATGCAGAATTGTTGCCAAGGTATATTGGTGCATCTTACTTGGCAAATGTCAATGTTATTTTAAGCATCCCATTTATGGAAAAATCCAATCGAGATTTCGGGGCAAGCTTCAGCAATGTGCGCGGTATAATCAAAAGTAATTTTAGCACGAATTTTCTGTTAATTATTGCAATGGATCAATGGTAGATTTTCTCACGTGTCTATACATCATTATGTTTGAGCTTCTTGTTGCATCGATGTACAGTTTTTATTTCTCTTCATCGTTCGGTCATCTTCATCTTTTATTTCCTCAATGTGTTAATCGAGAAACGTAGCTATAAGTATTGAACTAATAAACCATTTATTCATCATTAATTGTAAAAACTGATCGAAAATGGTTAAGTAAGAGCCCATACACCACAAATTTATGCGTAGTGCCATAAAACTTTTACGTATCCATTATAGCTACTTGTTCTCAATTTCTTCGATTTTCAATTATTATGTTGAATGTATCGTCCAGCTTCTGTATAGTCAAGACAATTAACGTGTTTCCTTGTCGCTTCAGGTGGTGCACAAACAGTTCAACTCTCCCATTAATCTGTATTCGGACCAAAACATCGCCAACTCGATTAGGCAACAGTCGTCGCCCTTGCCGTGAGTATTTTTAAATATCCGACCCTTTGTATATTAAATCAATTCAGTCCGATAAATATATTTTAACTTTTATACAGACCCTGTTGTTTAAATACATTTTAAAATCAACTGACCCCTCTCCTTATATCATGTAATTGTGAAAAAATGCGAGTGTCATCATATTCCGCCGCCGAATATCTTGGCACCGAATTACAATAACATGGCTGGGTGCCAAACTGAAACTGTTACCCAAGACAATATTTGACATACGCCTGGACAATTTCTATATGAATTAAATGTACTGTATTATAATGTTTGTCTTAAAATTGTCATGTGGTGTCCGTGAACTTAGTTGAAATAGATCTCCCAAGCTTTATGTGCATATCACACAAATTCAACTTTTCAAAATTTTTACACAACTATGATTACTAGATCGAGTTTAGCCAATCAGCAGTGGTCGTGGCAGCGAGTGAACATTTAGCAATATGTAATAACGCAATATTTATCTGCTCACATAGCGCTAACGGCCATTACGGGCGGCCGCACGTTGTCAAGAGGCAAGTGTTTTACTAGAAACGCCGCCAAAACACGTCGACGCCCATCTCCATGACGCATTAATGCTTATTTATTTTTATTTCGCTATCTTTCGACTCTTGCGATCTGTCTACTTCACGCTACACTCCCGTCGAGCATGGTGTCGACGTCGACGTCCGAACTGTCCAACGAAGTGTCGCACTCATAGCACTTCACTCGCCCCATGTCACGCGACTACATTGTGTGTGAACATGCGTGGCGACCACAATTAGTTCTTAAGTACGTTTATCACTATTTAATTTTAATGACTAGAACTTATTCTACATGATTAATGTTAGTATTTTTATCGACCTGTCCTTCCTGAAAAACAAACACAACTAAACTAAACACGTTCGTGCACTAACCGCTTCCGCGCCCCCTAACGTCCTTCGACGGGTCTAATTCGTTTCTCTCTGTTGCGCCCGCTAACCGACTAAAAACTAACGCCCCGCGCCCACGCCCCGCGCCCGACGGACCGCAGCCACAGGCCCACGCTGCTGTACGACCCGGCCAAGTCCGAGACCTTCCGCGCGCTGCAGGAGGAGGGGCTGGGCGACGTGGTCCAGGAGGTGCCCGTGCCCGTGCAGCCGAAGGTCTTCACCGCGCCGCCCAACAAGGTAACTCTCGCGTTCCTTTGCTCATTTGTATTCTAGAACTAAAGTCTATGGACCTAATGGAAACTTTTTCCAATTATTTTAAAACACAGTTTCACAGTGTGTTCTAATTTTGAAGTTCTGAAATTGCATGATGCAATTTATTAAAGTTTACTGTATGCTCATTGTTCAAACATATAGTTCCAAAATACTGGACTGTCCTGTCGATGACATTGACAGTGGGGCGCCACCGTCAATACCGGATCGCTGGTTCAGATTTTTGCCATGTTGGAAACCATATAGTTGAACGATGGTAGCGCCCCCCTGTCATTGAGTTTGGCGGGACAGTTCAGCGTGGGTCATCTATAATTTTTACCTTTTCGTGGACTTTCAGAATTAACTGACAACCTTATTTAATAAATAGGGCAACACATACATTTTTATTTCTCAAACTTTATCAATCGAGTGGTTACAGTAAACTAGTTTTATTTTATGTTTTATAGAGGCCAGCGCCCACCCCGAAACCAACGAAACAGGCTGATGCGCAACCGAAGGGAAAACAAACGACCTTCGTAAGTTACCTTCATCTCCCTTTCCTTATTGCAAATAAATGATTATGATTACATTTACACTTAGAATTAAAATAATAATACAGCAAAGCCATCTTACCTTTCAATAATTACTCTTGTCTTGAGTTATTCTTCTCCAACCCGCTTGGCCAGCGTAGACCAAATTATTGTTTTGCCTCTGGTCAATGAGAGAGGGTGCTCCTACAGTAAAGACTAAATGAGTAAAGAATGTTTATGTTCGCAACCCATTTTCTCCTTGCCAGGATTAAATTTCCTGAAAAGTATTTATACCGTTAATCATTTTAAAAGTAACAATATCTTAATTTAAATATTAATATTGTTTGACAGGTGAACTCACTCCACGAAGAGCATATCCAGCAGTCGAACTCCTTCAAGCGACTAATGTACAACGTGTTGGGCGACACAGAGTTCTAGGGCGGGCCACAATGAAGCCACGCCCTTCGACGTCTGCGGCGAACACCCGACGTTATCACTCCCTTATCATGTCGACCCTCGTCTCTTAGCGCTTAGCACACGTAGCGTGCGCTAACGAAGACGATCGCCCGCACCAGTTGACTGATTCCCAGTTTTATGGCGGTTAGACGAGCGCCAAACTTAGATATAATTGACTTGTTGGATTAGCAACGAATAAGACTAACAAAAATAATTTAGGAGGCTATTTATTTATAATACTCCTGGCAGTGTGTTATATTTTTCGGTGGATTTAATTATTCTAATACTCGAGTATTAGTGATATAATTTATATTTACATTAAGTAGCAATGTAACGTTTATTATTACTAAGTGTTGATTTTCTGTTTGTACAGAAATATATTGTTTACGTATACAATGAAAATGTTGAGTGTACAGTCTAGTCACTTCGACCCGAGCTCTGGTCGTCTCTACGAATATTAAATTCGACAATTTGAAATAAATTATTTATTTTTATCTATCACATTGTTTTATTTTAATATGCCCCTTAAAAGTAAAAATAAATTAAACACTATTAATCTCAAAATAACTATATTTATAACCTGAAGTTAACTAACAATGTTACACAACAAAATAAAATACAGTCTTACAAATTTCATGAATGATAAGTACAGATCAAAAGGGATAAAATAATTTTGAGCAAAAGTAAAACACTTAACAACTTATATCACAATACACAGACGGGTAATCGCTCGAGCGCAGAAAATTTGTACATCTACATTTGGATACAAGGAAGGGGATTGTACGTTAAAACTGCACAAACATCATTTTTTGTACTCGATAGTTCTCAACGTAACTCTGGAACGACTAAATAAGGCACTACGTCTTCCAACGTTCGACAAATAAAGACTACGACTGTCAATTTTCTGCGCAAGAGACTCGTGGAGAATTGTCGACTTACTGCACCTGAATACACATACATCAATTACTCGAAAGCTTTATTTACATTATCGATTAATATAATTCAAATTTGACATGTGATATGTAAAAAAAGTAAGTACGCAAAATGAATTATGAAAATGCGTATAATTATTAATCAAAATGTGTCCAAGCACCCACATATAGCCCACTTATCTTACTTCAAATATACAAGGAGTGACCGTATTATCATTAGCGTATTTATTTATACAATAAAATTTACAACACTCACGAGTGGAAACAGGATATCATCTAAATCGTCTAAGGCCATCTATGTCGATATTTTTGAAAACCAAATTAGTTTTATCACCACTATGGACTAGTTACTACCTGGATATTTTGAGGACCAAATGTATGGTGTTTTGCAATTATACAAGATAACAGTCAGTATCAAACAGACAAAAACAGATTTATATGTAATAATAGGTTATGCAAATAAATTACATAAGAGTCACTCAATCACTTGTCAAAATATAAACAAAAATCATAGTATCAACCAAACACTACCTAGGTACTTATCTTGTTTTTATCTGTTTATAATGTAAACTGTAAAATTGGTTGTGAAATTAGAATAAAATTTCAAGTAACAGCCAAACTGCAATACATACTGCAAAATAAACATATATTGACTGTACTATCGCATTCATACAGATAATAAATACACTTAATAATTCTGAATATCGAACATACATCATATACTATACAGTAAGAAATATTAACACAATACACAGTAAAAATGAGTTATAATTACGTAAAGATGGTTAATAAACCTAACCCGAGGAAGTATTTTTAACAGTCGCTGATTTGGGCCCGTGATATGATGCACACAACTCGATTTAAACTCAAAATAGATTCAAACCAGTGTTTGGTTGAATTTCAATATCTTGACTGAACACAGGTTTGAGTGTGTTCTTGAGTAAAGATTTAAACTTGAGTGTCCTTTCATAACACGTGCCATAAATTGAAACATTTAATTTTAATGTAAATAAGATTAACATATTTATTAACAGATAAAAATATAAATTGTGCATTAAAATGGGCGAAAAATCTGTAAGAAACAATGACAATGGTAGCTAAATATGAACAAAATCTAAATATGATAAGTTTGTCTAAAATAATGTTTTGGCCTAACGTAAAACTCATTGGTAATAAATCTAATTTTGGACTGATATTAATCTTTTAATTCATTAGCACCAAATTTCCATTCTATATAATAAGTAACTATGATCTAGCTACGATATTTACGATATATTCTGCTCCTTGTGATTTGTAAACATAATATTATTTAATGTTAATTTATGAATACGTCACAATTATTACTAGGTACATGTTATATACAAATAAACAGCACATACGGATGTGCATAAAAGAAATTAAATACATAATATCCGTCTACATGTTTAAGAAACAACAGCTAAGATAAATTTGTGATTATTTTTTGTAAATAACGTAGCTGAACGAACATTTTCAACATATTACAACACTGTGGGGAAATTTCGGTCATAATATTGACTTTATCAAGGCATTTACTACGTGGGTAACAATTTTATTGACAACCATAACTAGCATAGCAAAGTTTGCAAGTTAGTAAAATGTGGTTCGGAAAAATGGTTTAGCCAAAATGTTTTTCATATAATTACTCCTTTTTTCATCTCTTCAATTGTTTTAAGTTAACTATATCGAACCAGATTATAACAAGTAATGGATTTTCTTCAGGACATGCTATCGACTGTTTCTCATACTACATACCTACTACTAAAATGCTAAATAAATGCACATAATTTCATTGATTTAAAAAATCCTTTGTTGAATTACCTATATCACATTAATGAGAGACATTCCCACCCACTCTAGAAAAGGGGAAGAAAGAAGAAGACCGATTCTCCCCCATAATGTTTTGCTAATATGATTCACTATGTTATGAATAAAAGAAAAACATGTAAATAAATTATATGGAAGAGAGCTGTATGACAAGATGTAGTTAACAAGAGATTCGATGATAATATAAACTTATAAACAAGTGAGGAATCTCCGAATAAGAGAAATAGGTATAATGGTAAATCCAAGGCACCATAATCAATCATATGATAAAGGATGATTAAAATGGTAAGTAAGTAAGAAATCGTAAACCAAAATAGTATTGATGTTATGCATGACAATGAAATGTCTCATTATATTAAAAATCAGTACGTTTATTTTTTATAATATTTTCTTTGTTAGTTTTGATATAAAAGCAAAAAATTCTAAATATACTACTAGACAGGCTGTTCAGATCAAAAACTGAGCTATGGTTAGTAATGGTTACATAAAATAACATCAAATTGTCACGTTTTATCGATTCATTAAATGATGACGACGACTTTCTTATTCTTATTCGAAGTTTCGACTGCAATGAGGGTTTTCGCGATTGGAAAATCCGCCAGATGGCAATACGTAGACGTGAGGTCCAAATGTTGCATGATTGGTTATTTTTGACATGACATTGACAGATATGTCAAAATCCACCAATCATGCAGCATTTGGACCTCGCGTCTACGTATTGCCATCTGGCGGATTTTCCAATCGCGAAAACCCTCATTACTCTTCTCGCTCGCTCGCGATCAAGTAAAAGAATGTTGATGCTTATTATCAACTTAAGGAGCCATATCTTATATGAACAGCCTGTCTAACAATACAAGAAGTCTTTGTATAACAGCCGTTTCTCCGGAGAACATAATGTATATTACAAATACGCTAAATCTAATAAGTATAATGTGATAGTAATAACAAGGCAGCAGCGTTTTTACTGTGGTGTACAGCCACGCTATACATCAGCCGTCGGCCAACCCGTCGATCGCGACTATTAGTCCAGTCGATCGTGGCAAGGCAAAAAATACTACATGATTGTGTAATAAACTATGCTGTTTCATTTTAGATTTCAAGAAGTATGTAAGTGGTAGATCGCCCAGGGTTTCGTTAGTAAACAGTAGATTTTATGTCTAATCAAGTTGGCCACCCTTGCTATACATTATACGTATGTTAATTTTCTTTACGGCCTATCAGAATGATTTTTATAAGTTCATATTGTAATGTATGTTACTCCCATATAATAAATGGCGAACCCTCACTACACTCAAATTAATGACGGCCAAGCATTTTATGTTAAAACTCATCGAATGACAGTCATTTTTATCGCGAATAGGGTGACCACGCATCACAGTAAAAACGCTGGAACTTGAAATAATCCTTGAGAATATATGGGCGGGCATAGTTAGTGGAATAATATAAATACAGCCAATGGCCAATAAGAATAGCTAAAGCGCTATTTCCACGCTTTATTGATTGATTTTCCAGAAACCCACTGCACATACTATACTGTAGACTCGTATTAGTAAAGGTATAAATAAATTCAATGTATTTGGTTTTAAATAATACGATTTGTTTATGAATTCGTTACGTTGAGACTATAAATATAATGGAACGAACACTTACAAACGATTTGACATTGGGAAGGAAGAGAAAGATGTTAGCATTAATTGACCTTTAAACAAACTTGACACCACATTGTTCTTTATTTTTGCGAACTTGACTTTTTTAAAAAGGAGTAAACAATATGCAAATATTCATAACTCACGAATTGTTACATAATGCAGTATACTCATGACATTATTTTTGTATTTTTCATTCGTATTTATACTGTTTTTGGTGATCGCTTCATTATTGTTTATCACAATCCATTTAGGATTTGTGCCATTTCCGATGGAATGCTTTCAAAATATGAAATATAAGAGAGTTCATAGGTGGGAGAAAATGTCGCGCAGCCAATCTACAATCTAAGGGACAAATCGTTCACGTTATTATAATAATAATGTATATTAACTATTTACATTTCACTCTACTATATACAATGTTGATCGCATAATGCACAGCACAAGTAATATAAAATGGTAAATGTCGGCGAGTCGATTTTGGGAGCGAAGATTTCAATTATAAAAAAGATATTTATTTATAATGGCTTTTGATGATTTAGGTACCAAGGTTTAGTATCTTGGATAAAATTGTAATACCGTATTGGTAGTTCAATAAGCTACGCGTGACACTAGCGTAAATATCTTTAAAATGTACCCGATGAAGAATCGCTCCCTAGAAGCTATCCTAGTTAAAGACTAGACGAACGACATCTAAAACCGGAATTCGTCGACATTCCACGGATGTCTTGACCGAACGCAGTTAGGAGTCATTTCAGTAAAGCTACGGATGCGGTTTCGCGACGTCTACGCCATAAAGGGAACGAGTTCGGCAAACGCCGGTTTCCGAAATCGTCATTTGTCTTCATTTTAGTATATTGTTCAGACATTAAGTTCCCTTTCGCATACCGTAAATTATTGGAGAGATGGGCTTACAGCCGTAAACAAGCCGATACCTATCTGAATCTGACCCCATCACTGTAACAAGGACAATGGGTTACAATAACCTTATTTGTTATATTAATCTTCTATTCCGAACGTTAAAGAATAAAATAGTCTGTAATTTGTAATGTAACATATTTTTTATAAATTTCCTCGCAAATATAATAAAGAGCGTAATCAATCTACCTGCCTTACTGAGATTATTCGGTCATTTAATTGAAAACTAACTGGAACCAAAAATTGAGACAATAGACGCGTTCGGAATATGCAGTTAATAATTTGACTTCGAGCTCGAATTTTAATTTCGAGTATCTAGTGTAAATCGTCGAAAGGTAATTTTCACGAATATAAGACTGGTTTTCTTGAGAAAATCACGCGATTTCAAATGAATAGTCTCTAACCGCACCAAGTCCAGTTTAAGGAACTCACTTGCTTTGAGCATAGTAAAATGTAAGGAACAGGTAGCGTTACATAAACACACCCGAACAAAACTCTACTCTGTCATCTAGACCGATTAGAATTCGTCCGGTCGCCGAGCAGATAAAATTTCGTGCAATGACCCATCCACCCATGAAGCTACCCATCCTTATCGCTCGCATACTCACTGCGCCCGTCGCAAAGTCGCGACAGCAACACAAATACGTGCGAGTGATAAGGATGAGTAGCTTGGGGTCATTGGACGAAGTTCTATCTGCTCGGCAACAAACAAGTGCAATACGAGAGAATAGTATCCATATATTTTACTAAGCTCGTCGCCTATGGTTCTACGGTGTCACCATCGTTTTAGTCGCGACTGGCGCAGCCCTTTTCCATAACCATCAAAGTCTTTAAAACACACCACATTCAATGTGTAGAACTCCCTCACTCGTTCGAGCACAGTTAAAGATAATAGTAAGACATTCCATCACTACATGAGCTTACGTATACTTATTTACAATGTGACGTTACGATACACGAATTCTCACGAGGCAAACAAGTCTGGCAGTAATATGCCTTGAAGTCCATGTAACGGCTGCGTCTATACTCGCAAGGTATTAGAAGCGCTAATAAAATGTTTTACTATTCTCTTCAACTTATTCTCGGTACGCGATACCTTCGTAATAAAGCGTAAGTACTACTTCAAAATGGCGGCGTAATTCCAAAACGAATAAAGTCTAAACCGCACCACTTTCAATATTTATAACTCACTATGAACATACTTTGAACATAGTAAAAGATGAGAGTAAAATTTTATAACTAGCGTATAATTTTGCACACATAAAATCCACTCAGGTTACTTGAAATCACATGAATGACGAGATCTGATAATCGTTGCGTTCATACACGCAGCAAATATGACGCGCTAGTAAGGTGTTTTACTATTACCTTCAACTGTGGCCCTAGTGTCATTGTGGGCAGTTGGCGCGGCCTCAGGCAGGCGGCGCGATTTCACATAATCCAGAGTCTAACCGCACCACGTACGAATTTTGAACTCCCTCACTCGCACAATGAACGGTAATAGCAAGACATTTTTCTTGATCCAATTTACACTTACACGTTTGCATGTAACCTACTACACCGTATCTGCCAAATTTTCGATTGGAATGCGTCCAACGGTGACTGAAAGGTCAACTTCGTGAGTGTAAACGGGGGTGATAGTTGATGATTTACTTATCTCAAACAAATTTTAAAACTGAAAAAGTGTTTTAGGTCATTGACCCCACGACTTTTACTAAAGTCCGGTCGCCGAGCACGTAGAATTTGGTCTACTGACCCGCTCGCACACATTGCGGCCACCCGTCGCACAGTCACGACAGCAATATAACTACACGCGAGCGATAAGGATGGGTAGCTCGGGGTCATTGAGGGTCATCCATAAAGTACGTCACACGTAAAGAGGGGGGGAGGGGGTTGACAAAGTGTGACATAGTGTGACAAGGGGTGGGAGGGGTCCTAAGTTTCGTGACATCACATTTTAATTGTTTCAAATATTTGATATATAATGTTGATTTCATAAAAAAAGTACTTAATTTAAATGGAATTAAAAGTAATTTCGGAACTGCTGTTAATTTAATAATTTTTCGATGTGAAATTGCAAAACATGTGACGTCACACTAGGGAGGGGGGGGTCTCAGAAATGTGACCACCTGTGACAAGGACGGAGGGGGGGTCAAAAAATCATGAAATTCGTGTGACGTACTTTATGGATGGCCCCTTGGACGAAATTCGGCGACCCGACTTTAGTTATAAAATCAGTTTGAGATAAGATAAGATCAGCATCTAAAAATCAAAAATGTCTTACTATTATCATCGTCTAATAGACTGTGTCGTCGTGGTAGAGCGTGAGCGTTAGCGGGCGCGGCGGGCGGCGGCCTCAGGAGGCGGGCGGGGGGGCCGAGTGCGCCGGGGGGGCCGGCGGGCCCGGGGGGGCCGGCGGGCCCGGGGGGGGCAGCAGCGACTCGCGCGACGCCCGCAGGTTGGGCAGCGACCGCGCGGCCCGGGCGGCCCGCCGCGCCTCCAGTGCCAGCAGCGAGCGGATGTCGGCTTCTAGCGGGTCCACGCTGATGTGGTACACGCCCGGCTGCAATAAATAAGAAACACGTTATACAAGAACTGGCTGTACTGGGGCCTGGACACCTAGCAAGGTACAAAGATAGAAGATGGACTATAACATCAACAGAATGGAAATGACTGAAGGGGAAGAGGAATGTTGGGAGACCCAAAGAAAAGAAGGAGACCTCGGCGGCGTGCGCGGGCGGCGGCTCCTCCACGGCGACGGCGACGGGCTGCACGAGGCGCGTGTCGGAGTAGCGCCGCTCGTCGGGCTCGGCGCAGCTGGTGCTGACGTCACAGCATGGTGTACCAAGCTCGCACTGACCTCGGCGGCGTGCGCGGGCGGCGGCTCCTCCACGGCGACGGCGACGGGCTGCACGAGGCGCGTGTCGGAGTAGCGCCGCTCGTCGGGCTCGGCGCAGCTGGTGCTGACGGGGTCATCCATAAAGTACGTCACACGTAAAGAGGGGGGGAGGGGGTTGACAAAGTGTGACATAGTGTGACAAGGGGTGGGAGGGGTCCTAAGTTTCGTGACATCACATTTTAATTGTTTCAAATATTTGATATATAATGTTGATTTCATAAAAAAAGTACTTAATTTAAATGGAATTAAAAGTAATTTCGGAACTGCTGTTAATTTAATAATTTTTCGATGTGAAATTGCAAAACATGTGACGTCACACTAGGGAGGGGGGGGTCTCAGAAATGTGACCACCTGTGACAAGGACGGAGGGGGGGGGGGGTCAAAAAATCATGAAATTCGTGTGACGTACTTTATGGATGGCCCCTTGGACGAAATTCGGCGACCCGACTTTAGTTATAAAATCAGTTTGAGATAAGATAAGATCAGCATCTAAAAATCAAAAATGTCTTACTATTATCATCGTCTAATAGACTGTGTCGTCGTGGTAGAGCGTGAGCGTTAGCGGGCGCGGCGGGCGGCGGCCTCAGGAGGCGGGCGGGGGGGCCGAGTGCGCCGGGGGGGCCGGCGGGCCCGGGGGGGCCGGCGGGCCCGGGGGGGGCAGCAGCGACTCGCGCGACGCCCGCAGGTTGGGCAGCGACCGCGCGGCCCGGGCGGCCCGCCGCGCCTCCAGTGCCAGCAGCGAGCGGATGTCGGCTTCTAGCGGGTCCACGCTGATGTGGTACACGCCCGGCTGCAATAAATAAGAAACACGTTATACAAGAACTGGCTGTACTGGGGCCTGGACACCTAGCAAGGTACAAAGATAGAAGATGGACTATAACATCAACAGAATGGAAATGACTGAAGGGGAAGAGGAATGTTGGGAGACCCAAAGAAAAGAAGGAGACCTCGGCGGCGTGCGCGGGCGGCGGCTCCTCCACGGCGACGGCGACGGGCTGCACGAGGCGCGTGTCGGAGTAGCGCCGCTCGTCGGGCTCGGCGCAGCTGGTGCTGACGTCACAGCATGGTGTACCAAGCTCGCACTGACCTCGGCGGCGTGCGCGGGCGGCGGCTCCTCCACGGCGACGGCGACGGGCTGCACGAGGCGCGTGTCGGAGTAGCGCCGCTCGTCGGGCTCGGCGCAGCTGGTGCTGACGTCACAGCATGGTGTACCAAGCTCGCACTGACCTCGGCGGCGTGCGCGGGCGGCGGCTCCTCCACGGCGACGGCGACGGGCTGCACGAGGCGCGTGTCGGAGTAGCGCCGCTCGTCGGGCTCGGCGCAGCTGGTGCTGACGTCACAGCATGGTGTACCAAGCTCGCACTGACCTCGGCGGCGTGCGCGGGCGGCGGCTCCTCCACGGCGACGGCGACGGGCTGCACGAGGCGCGTGTCGGAGTAGCGCCGCTCGTCGGGCTCGGCGCAGCTGGTGCTGACGTCACAGCATGGTGTACCAAGCTCGCACTGACCTCGGCGGCGTGCGCGGGCGGCGGCTCCTCCACGGCGACGGCGACGGGCTGCACGAGGCGCGTGTCGGAGTAGCGCCGCTCGTCGGGCTCGGCGCAGCTGGTGCTGACGTCACAGCATGGTGTACCAAGCTCGCACTGACCTCGGCGGCGTGCGCGGGCGGCGGCTCCTCCACGGCGACGGCGACGGGCTGCACGAGGCGCGTGTCGGAGTAGCGCCGCTCGTCGGGCTCGGCGCAGCTGGTGCTGACGTCACAGCATGGTGTACCAAGCTCGCACTGACCTCGGCGGCGTGCGCGGGCGGCGGCTCCTCCACGGCGACGGCGACGGGCTGCACGAGGCGCGTGTCGGAGTAGCGCCGCTCGTCGGGCTCGGCGCAGCTGGTGCTGACGTCACAGCATGGTGTACCAAGCTCGCACTGACCTCGGCGGCGTGCGCGGGCGGCGGCTCCTCCACGGCGACGGCGACGGGCTGCACGAGGCGCGTGTCGGAGTAGCGCCGCTCGTCGGGCTCGGCGCAGCTGGTGCTGACGTCACAGCATGGTGTACCAAGCTCGCACTGACCTCGGCGGCGTGCGCGGGCGGCGGCTCCTCCACGGCGACGGCGACGGGCTGCACGAGGCGCGTGTCGGAGTAGCGCCGCTCGTCGGGCTCGGCGCGGAGTCGCGGCGCGCGCGCCGACAGCCGCCGTTGCGGGTCGGCGCGGTACGCTTCGAAGCCGCCGCTCTCGTCCTAAAAGGAACACATTTTTTTATGAACTAAACGATTTAGTACGACATCATCACCAGCCGGGCTAGGAATCCCGCCGTGATAAAATCTTATCGACGATTTTAGATAATAAATGGATGGACTTATCAAGCAAAATCAATAAAATGCCTAGATAAAGTTAGACAGTACAGGTTATTTGGTCTCCATGGAGGATATAGCCTATATTCCACGTAAAACTAATTTTCGCATATTTCTCCTTTAGTCGACTCTTACGACATCCGCGGAAAAAATGGGAGTTGTCCTATCTTGCTTTGCAAAAACCACACAGCAAATAATAATTATTAAATAATAGCTGACCCGGCGAGCTCTGTTCCGCCTTAAAGGCTATAATAAGCTATCGCAATTTTTCCTTATTTGCTCACCGTTTAGACCTATCCTGTAGGCCTAAGATGCGCGCCGTGATAACTTTTATCGACGTCAAAATGTATGGGCAAAATCGATAAAATGGCGTGATAACCGCTCATCGCGGCGCGCATCTTAGGCCTACTGGACAAACATTTTAAAACCAAAATCAGCTCAATAGGCCCAGCCGTTCTCGAGTTTTAATCAGACTAACGAACAGCAATTCATTTTTATTTATATAGATAGATTTGAAAACATACTTCTTCGTGGTACGCAGCCGGCGGCGGCGGCGGCTCAATATTAGCCACGACTTGCCCTCGCGCGCTGCGCTCGCGCCGCTTGGTGCGCACCGGCGGCGACCCCGCCATCGGCAGCTTTTCAGGCGCATTTTGGATTAACAATATCCTGGGGAAATATAATAAATAAAGCATTTATTTCTCTCTTCACCAAATAGGAAACATGCATTCTTAAATACAAGGGTCTTATAATATCGCCATTTCAGCTAGCGGCAGTCCACTCATGCCTATTCTACTTGACACAATTAACACCTGTCTCCTCCTCTTCCCACTATTTTCATTCAGCCTATACCAACAGCATTGTCTTTTTGAGGTGAACCATCAAAAATATATGGGCTTCTTGTGACTTTAACGGTCGGCGAGATTGCGGCATGCAGGTACGGCGTGCAGATTGATTTAAATAATTAATTGCGAAAAAAATGCCGCCTACATGCCCCAAATAATACCTTCAAAAAACTGCTAGTATGAAAAGCTTACAAAATAAACTTGTACAGCGTAGTCTAATTTTCTGCGTGGTGTCTAGTGGTTCTTTTGAGCAATAGCAAGATCAAGAAAATAGCGAGATCAAGCGAGAAGCTCAAGACCGAACGAGATGGAGGACTGTTGTGGACGCCCTCTGCCCCATCTAGGGGACATAGGACCATAAGTCAAGTAAGTCATCACGAGCAATAAAATTGTAAATAAATCAATATTAAAACCGGCTGGACGCAGGCCGCTACCAATCGATCAACATGGAAAGCATTGGGGGAGGCCTATGTTCAGCAGTGGACGTCCTATGGCTGAAATGATAATGATGATGATGATGAATATTAAAATAAATGTAAAAAAAGACAACTATTATTTACCTATTGTGAGCCCGCCACCTATTGCAAAGGTGCAGGTACTGTCGACACTGGATGTACATGAACACCGCTCCGCCAGTGAAGCCCACGGCGACCACCACCAACTTCGTCCAGAACGGCCAAGCTGCAATCAATAGCACAATAATATTAAAAACACACAATATTTTTATCAGTGACTCAACAAACTAGTTCAAGGCACGTTAACACCTCGTCACGGTATTCGATTTATGCAAAATCGATTTTCTGGGAAATGAAATTGTGTATTTTTTTCAATAACTCTGTATTACTTTATATTTTTCTCTGCTAACTCAAGTTTTTTGTCCGTGTTTTCTTATCCAAAAATAGCATCAATGTAGTTGCTGACGTCACTTATTTCAGCGTAGTGTTTTGAATTTGGCCGTGTGGAAGGACATTCCGCAAAAAATATGTCAAAACAAGCTGCGTTGAGAATTCCTTAAACTCTCATAACGTATATTCAATGTTAAGACTTGTTGATCTGCCTAAACGCTGAAAAATCTGGATTACACTAAACTAATTATAAATTGAATATAAGGAAGAACATTATCCTTATGATGACTAAGAGGAATTCCCGTATCTAGTACACAATAATAAACAGTTATCTAATTGTTACTAGGTACTAGAAACAGGATGTTTTACCACATTTTTTGTAAATGATAATGACCACACCCACCATAAGAAATACATATTCAAAGAATAGGCTACATTTAAAAAAAATATTGAATTTATACAATAATGCTACCTGCATTTCAGTTTAAATTGTACTAGGGCACTATTTAAGTTGTGAGCCTCGACAACATAACGTGTTGTTAGACGACATCTGATACTTTTAATGAAAAGTTTGACATTTTTTACTACTACCTTATTCAAAACTTTTTATCATTTGAGCACGTTTTGTATTATTAACATTGAATTGAAAATTATCTTGACTACAAAAACATGGTTTGACTTGCGGAAATTTTCGCGCGAAGATTTATTATGACTTTCGACGTGGTTAATCAATACAAAACTGAAGCGGTCAGCTAAATTTCACTTTTGGTGATAAAGATCTGTTCTTTACCATTGTAAAACGCTAGTTTAAGAAGTATAATATTGTATGTCATTGGCTCACCAGTGAACTTTGCGAAAGTCGTCCAAAATGACTAATAGTGGCGGAAAACATTGATGTTGTCAGAAAAATGGAAGAGAAACCTCGTCATGTGATATATTGTATGATTGAGATAATTCTAGGCATTAATTCCACTAGCAGTAATAAAATATTGTATGACCATAATTATGGCTAATACGTTTTTTTCTCGCTGGATGTCACAAAATTTTTCAAACGCTAAATAGGACGCTTGTGTCGTTTAGTCCTTGGAAATGTTTGATAAATACGTTTAAGAAGCTTTAAAAGCCGTTTTTAAAATTGTGACAGTTGACGAATTAAGGATCTATGCATAATGATCCTGAAAATAAACAGCTATCGACTATGGAGGTGTTTTAAGATGAACCAATTCCAAAAAACGTCCCATGCGCTCGGAACACTTTGAAACTTACGGTCGCCTATTTTTCCGAAATATCCGATTATATGACAGAAACGTCACTAGAGAAATTTAGAATGGGTAATTCTTAATAGTAAACAGCCACTTTTTTTCCAAAAGTCTTCAGTTTAATAAGGGAAACTGACCAGCTTAGTCGAATCGCCATTCGTGACGAAAATGTGAGCTTTTACACGTCTCGTCAAACAACGGATTATACGAACACTCAAAATATGAAATAAACAGGTCCAATGCTACAAAATTCTTGCTTGGAATCTAAACACTTCTTTTGGTACCCATATATTAAAATTAAATGCGTGAACAGCGATTTATGTAGCCAAAAGCAACTGTCGGTGCGGTCAAAAACCATGCTTTGGAGGTGCCTCAAGCTGAGTGGAAAAAATGCTATGAAAAGTGTTTCGGATACATTGAAAAGTACAGTCACGGAATGAAAAGGTTCGTCAGTTTTCAAATTGATTCCTTCAACTAATCGCGAGCACATATTACCTTTTGAAACTATGTTACAGAATCATCTCAAGTTAGAGAAAATAATCTTTAACTGTTTGTCAGTAAAGTTCAAAATTATTCAGATCAAAGTTGTTTGATGATTTAACTTGTCAAGAAGATTATTATGATTGATAAACTAAAACCTTCTTGTTGGTTCAACCTGCCATTATCCATTAAATAAAAAAAACTACATTTTGTAACATTGCACTGATGGGATAGAAAAACAAGCAAAACCTTATTCGTTAGCAAACGTCATATTTATTTAAATGTTAGCAGCACTGTTTCTTGCACGGTTATGTTGGCAGGTTTGACTCTTACAGTGCAAGCGAAAACCGACACTAAGGTGAAGAACCTTTTCATTCCGCGACTGTACATAAATCATGAAAGACAATACCAATAAACGCAATCAATACCATTTTAATAATAAACTACTTTGTTTTCATAGTTAGGCTCACAACTTAAATAGTGTCCCACGTATTAACCCATTAACGCCCAAATGAAAACTACGGTCAATTTCCCATAGCCAATGTTTATCAACCGACTTCAAAAAAGGAGGAGGTTCTCAATTCGACCCGTATGTTTTTTTTTTTTTTTTTTCTATGTNTTTTTTTTTTGTTGACCGGTGTTATCTACTAATATTCGACCGTTTTCATCGTAACTCCATTGCCTTCCAGACGCACGGCTCACGATATCGGCGCTGACGGCGGAGGACAGCGGCGTGTACGGCTGCCACGCGCACAACGCCTACAGCTCGCACTCCTCGCAGGTCCAGATCTCCGTGCAAGGTACTGACTACCATCTAAACCCGATTACGCTAAAAAATTTCATATTCAACGTGCCCGGACGTCAGCTGTTTTGACAAATCCGTATCGCAGAATCGAAGAAATCAAAGAAGCGCGTCTGTATTGGACACGTTAAAAATTAGCGTAATCGGGGCACTGCTGCCTTTGATGCGCAAGCTGAGCTTACACCTGGGCAAGCGCACAGATGTAAAACATATCGCCCCCCAAAAGATACTGCACTACCTAATGGATGTAGGACTCGCGAGGCGAACTGTAAGAAAAATAGTGGCGATCACAACAGATCGGTACCGGTCGCAGTGATACTGGGACTTCATAGACCCAGAATAGCATTAATGCTGCAACTCCTGTGCAGTAGGAACTGCAGCTTGATCGCCAAAAGATAGCAAACTAGCGAAGAACAAGTAGCCAGCACTTATAGATTTTGAAATTGAAACGATGGCACAAACACCTGAAAAATAACAAGCTGAGGTTTTCCTCACATTGCAGATCCTGGCTCGGTAATAATAGGGAGAGACTACCTCGGGAAAAGGTTTCAAACTTTCAAGCAAATAAAAATTAGTTTAAAACACTACAAATCAAAAGTTTGTCCTAAATATCATATTTTAATCACTATCACTCACTGCATTCTCAACGCGAACGAACTATACTTAGTCCCCAACAAGTCAACATCTCGCGAAGTGCAAGCATTCAGGGGCCTACGAGTCACTGACGCAAGGAGGACAATACTTGTTGTTTACTTCAAGCTATCTACTAAAGACATTAAATCAATACTTACGAGCCGTATCCCCGCAGGCATCTTCATCCCGTCGCACTGCACGGACAACCCGTTCTTCGCGGACTGCAAGCTGATCGTGCGCAGCAAGTTCTGCAACCACCAGTACTACTCCCGGTTAGTATTTCATAATTATGTATGCTGTTACAGATAGTCGCAAATTACTTTTAGTAACTATAGCCCAGCGGTTCCCGAAAGGTGGTCCGCGGAACCCTGGGGTTCCGTGGAAAGGCCGCAAGGGTTCCGTAAAAAATATTATCCCACGTTTCATGACCGACGTTGTTCGCGCGAACCGACTTGTGGGGGGTTCCGCTAGGAAAAGTACAATCAATTAGGGTTCCTTGGCAAAAAAAAATTGGAAAATCCTGCTATAGCCTCCTGATACCTGACATTTTAGGCTTATTCCACTATTCCCCGTTGACAATCCCCGTTAACGTTAAATTGGAACTTATAATGGGGAATAATGAACTAAAAAGTTCATTAATCCCCATTACGTTCAAAATAAAATCCTAATATAACGGGGAATAGTGAACTTTTTGTTCACTATTCCCTGTTGACGGGCCACATTTTATAAGCCACATTTTATAAACACCACTAGTCATATTGAGGCCGAATGTTCCAATTTAGAACAAATAAATTAACACCATTGAGCCCAGAACTTTCATGTCCTTGTAATTAGATTCATTTTATTTTATTTATTTATTTAATTAGGACAACCAACAAGACAGACACAAATTCATGATGATTTTGGTATATTTTGGCTCTAAAAAGTTGTTTTGGGACTTCTAATACATAGAGGAAAGATAATAAATTGTGTTCCATTACACAAAAAATGAATGAATTGGACTTAATGAATAAATAATTTTAAATTATAAGAATATTTTGTTCCATTTCTGGAACATTCGGTCACAATGAAAGGTCGTGTTTCAAAAATGTCGGGCCGGACGCAGTGACAATGTTATAGCCTGACCAGGAACATAAAAACCCTCGCCATATTGCGGAAAATTAATGGTACTAATTTCTTTTAATGGCAACAGTAACTGAAAACTTCATTGACATGTCACCTTGCATGTCAGTCTNGCTCGATCGGGTTGTAATTTCCCTTCGTTTCAGCCAAATGACGTCCACTGCTGGACAAAGGCCTCCCCCAAGGTTTTCCACAATTGTAATTTCCCTAATTGTCTACAAATATTACATTGATTTAAACGTGTAACTCCGTTGCCTTGCAGACGCTCGGCTTACGATATCGGCGCTGACGGCGGAGGACAGCGGCGTGTACGGCTGCCACGCGCACAACGCCTACAGCTCGCACTCCTCGCAGGTCCAGATCTCCGTGCAAGGTATGGACTACAACCTAAACTCTCTCCTTCCAAAGGTTCCTGTGCCCTAACTGGGTCCACATTGATCTGCTTGAATTGTAAGACCTAAATGCTAATGTGGTGAAGCAACAAAGTATTGAGTATCGAAAAATTAAACCTGCTGCCTTTATTTTATGATGCGCAAGCGAGCTTACACCTGGGCAAACACATCCTAAGCCCACAGATGTAAAACATATCGCCCCCCAAAAGATACTGCACTACCTAATGGATGCAGGACTCGGAGGCGAACTGCAAGAAAAATAGTGGCGATCACAATAGATCGGTACCTACCGGTCGTAGTGATAATAATATTTGGAATTCATAGACCCATAATAGCCGCTCAGAGAAAAAAAAAACCTGCTAAGAACTATTAATGCTGCAACTCCTGTGCAGGAACTGCAGCGTGATCGCCAAAAGATAGATAGCGAAGAACAAGTAGCCAGAACTTATTGATTTTGAAAATGAAACGATGACTCCGAGGCACAAACGCCTGAAAAATAACAAGCTGAGGTTTTCCTCACATTGTATAATGAGATCCTGGCTCGGTAATAACGTGGTAATAATAGGGAGGGACTACCTCGGGAAAAGGTTTCAAACTTTCAAGCAAAAAAAAAAATTAGTCTCATACACTAATAAGCTTAAAATCAAAAGTTTGTTCTAAATATCATATTAATATCACTATCACTCACTGCATTCTTAACGCGAACGAACTATAGTCCCCAACAAGTCAACATCTTGCGAAGTGCAGGCCATTCAGGGGCCTACGAGTCACTGACGCAAGGAGAACCATACTTATTTACTTCAAGCTATCTACTAAAAACAATATCAATACTTACGAGCCGTATCCCCGCAGGCATCTTCATCCCGTCGCACTGCACGGACAACCCGTTCTTCGCCGACTGCAAGCTCATCGTGCGCAGCAAGTTCTGCAACCACCAGTACTACTCCCGGTCAGTATTTCATACTATGTATGCGACTGTAACAGTTACAGATAGTCGCAAATTAGTTTTAGTAACTATCTAAATAAATATAACTCAAAGGTGACCGACTGACTGATTGACTGACATAGTGATCTATCAACGCACAGCCCAAACCACTGGACGGATCGGGCTGAAATTTGGCATGCAGGTCGCTGTTATGACGTAGGCATCCGCTAAGAAAGGATTTTACGAAACTCCACCCCTAAGGGGGTAAAACGGGATCCACGCGTACGAAGTCGCGGGCGGCCGCTAGTAAAGTATATAGACTAAGGGCCGATTTTTCAATCGTCGGATATCTTTCTGAAGAATAAACCTGTCATTTTGTCTGAACCTGTCAATGTGCCAAACTGAGCAGCTAGTGAACGGCATACCTACGTTATTTTATAAAAGCTAAAACTTTGTCAGCGCATGCTCCCAACATAGGGAAGAATATTGGTGCATCATGAAGTTTGAGACATCGTGGCTATAGTAGCTACCCTTAAAAAGATTGTCTGGCAAGGAGTTGGAACGGTCAAAACTATCTGGCTGATGAAGAAACAACTTCTAATCATTGCCAAGCCAACATTCTAACCTATATTGGGAGCATACGATGACAAAGTTTTAGCTTTTATAAAATGACGTAAGTCTGGCGTTCACTAGCTCTTAGTAAAAGTGATAACAAAATGCAAGCTAAATAAATATTTCACCCTATCAGGTTCTGCTGCGCGTCGTGCGTGCAGGCCGGCCAGCTCAGCGCGCTCGAGGTGGGCCAGCAGGCCGACCAGGCCTGGAAGCGCAAGAAGTAGCCGGCCCGCGCCACACCACACATATTACTCCAACCAAAATTAGTTTAAACCTCTCGACACTCCCAGTTTCACACCCGTATTCACAAACGATGCTTGAAGCTTGCGTGAAGCAGCAAATCAAACGCACAGCGTTTAATAGAGCTGTGTGATTGGTTTGTAGTTTTGTACGTCATCCTATGCGTCATAGTAATGTTTGTGAATACGGGCGTCAGTCTCGATGTAATTGCATGTGCCATAAACTGAATGTTAGCATTGACTGTGTTAAATGTCTGTTGTCCTGTTTTAGAACATTTCCTATTTACAAACTATTGATTTTATGGCGTAGGTAACTGTTTTATGTTGTTCGTCGACAGCTGTAAGTGTACCAAGAGTTTAATGTAGATAGTGATAATGGAAATGTAAATAAATACGTTTAATGACACAAAGTTCCATCTGTGATGGGATATATAAAACTTTTAAGTTTAACTCGAATTCTTAGTAGTCATGGATATAGAAGATAAATTATTTATTTCATAAGATGTTTAGATGCAATGCGTAGGTCGTTAGTGATAAGCTGAAGTCAACGATAGACGATTGGAGCATGAATTTATGAAGTCATAATAATTGTTTAAGTGAATTTTATATTGTGACAGTGTAAATAGCGAACAATAAAGTGGTATTAATTAAAAACGTGTTTTCTTATTACTATTACCCGTTTATTAGAAAATGGAATAAATAGTAGATGTTAAAACATCTCATTACACTAACACTACTCGTAGGTACAATATGGATATTCAATGATCAGAAGCTCATTTATGCTCTTACATTACTGAGTATACGATATTAACATGGGTAATTAAGTATAGAAAAAAAAAGATTATAAATGCGATAACATAAATTTTTATTTACATTCCGAAATTCACAGTCAAATATAACAAGAAACTTCCTACATCAACTTACCTGTCAATGAAAGTACAATGAGATAGTCCCCACGGCCCACTGATGATTTTTATATACATTCACATACACATGACGTAATTTCGTGCGCTGACCCCGCTGCGAGTGCATGTAGCACCGAATCATTAACTAAATCATTTTATTGTCAGTCCATTTACATAATAAAATCAAAAGAATCGTTAAAAGTGCGAAGGCTAGGCCTGTACATAAACATCTACCGAGTGCGGTACTCATTTTACAATTTCCTACTTCGGCTCGATCGCGTCGCCTCGCTTGCGCATACTCTTTGAGAGCAAAACGTCGATACATACACATAATACAATTCTTAGTACAGATAAATTAAAACACGATACAAGTTTATATACACCAAACTATATTGTAATGTACACGCGCTACTCGGGCGCGGGCGGCTCTAGACCGGACAAGCCTCGGACGGCGTCGGGCGCTCGTCCGTACGCATCCTGAATATCTTACAGGGCGCCGCGCGGGCCCATCTTAGTATCACAATACGTGTTAAACTAAACGGAGGTCCCACTAAATCCTAAGTAAAAGCCTACGAAAAAAACTATAGAAAAGAAATCCTCTGGTAGAAAGAAACACTCGTTACGTAGAATAAACCGGGAGGGAGGCGGCGTCGTCGCGGGCTTGTACAGTCGCGGAATGAAAAGGTTCGTCACCTTAGTGTCGGTTTTCGCTTGCAGTAGGTATTGTAAGAGTCAAACCTGCCAACATAACAGTGCAAGAAACAGTGCTGCTAACATTTAAATAAATATGACGTTTGCTAACGAATAAGGTTTTGCTTGTTTATTTTTCTACCCCGTCAGTGCAATGTTACAAAATGTAGTTTTTTTAATTTAATAGATAATGGCAGGTTGAACCAACAAGAAGGTTTTAGTTTATCAATCATAATAATCTTCTTGACAAGTTAAATCGTCAAACAACTTTGATCTGAATAATTTTGAACTTTACTGACGAACAGTTAAAGATTATTTTCTCTAACTCGAGATTATTCTCTAACTTAGTTTCAAAGGTAATATGTGCTCGCGATTCGTTAAAGGAATCAATTTGAAAACTGACGAACCTTTTCATTCCGTGACTGTACTTTCGCGGGGGAGGCGCGGCAGGGGGGGACGTTGATCACCACTGGTGTCCGGTTCAGTCCAGCACCTGCGCGACGATCTTCTCCATGTCGTGGTCGATGTCTTGGGGCGCGGGCGCGGGCGCGGGCGCGTCGTGCGCGGGCGCGGCGGGCAGCACGAAGGGCTCGTCCAGCGCCTCCAGCCCCGGCGGCACCGGCAGCTTGGCCAGCTCCTCCTGAAGCTTCACGTAGTGCCGCTGCGACAAAACGCACTCGTTAAAGCACCCACACATGTTCAATTTGTCCCAAAAACGCTCTCAATAGCCGTAGAGCACAAATCAACGCTGACGGTAAATGACGAATAGCGCGATTTCAAAATACTGAGTTGACATTGGTTGGCCCTAGATCAACAACCATCACTCGCTGCTCTAAAATCAAGCGTGAAGGCGTGCTCTACATAACAATGCTTATATGCCATGGATTCATGTAAATCTAATCGTAAGCTGAAGTTTTGAGCGTGTCCTCAGCATAAGAAACTGCTTTACACGGCATCTTAAAACATCTTATAACATCTCATTCTTTATTCATTCATTTAGATGTTTTTCATGTTAACACAAATTCTTTATTGCTCCATGTTGGATACAAAGGTTCTTACTTAGTAAACACAGCCCCGTAATCACATCAAATGAACGTTATAATCAAATAAGTTGAGCCTACCTTGAGCGCCATGAGGTTGAGCTGTATGGTGCGCTGCGTGCGCTCGTCGCCGCCCTGGCCCTCCAGCTCGGTGATCCAGTTGGCCACCGTCTGCATGATCTCGTTGCGCTTGATCCAGAAGTGCGTCTGGATCACCTGTTAACAATGAACAAATGATAAAAACACTCCATGTTTGAATTGACATTGGTATAATACGAGCAGTGGCATAGTGTGCCTTAGACAGGCCCGGCATCAAAATTTGTTGGGGCTGGGGGCCACATCTAAAAAAGTCTGTCTAATCCGAATAAATCTTATTCGTCACTTATGCGGCGATAGCTAGGCTCCTGAATATGGGTAGAAATGTGACAACGTAAGATGATCATGCGTATTGACATCGATATTGAAACGCTCATATCTAAAATATGACAGTTGTGAAATTTTAAGTTTGAAATGTGTTATGATTGACATTGAGTATATTTATGGGCGTGAATTTTTACCCAACTGCGCCAGAAGGAGGGTTATGTTTTTTGAAAGAGCATCACTAACAAAACAACTGAAAATTGTTGCCCCCGACTGCATTTATTGTGAACATTAAGTTGTCTCGTTTTTATCTTTTCAGTTTAATTTTACGCAGTCGGGTTTTTTTTTTATTTAATTTCAGCGGTTATGCGCATGTATACACGCGCGTTGACTGAGTTTGTTCCGACGTTTCATCTCAGCACTTGCCAATTTGCCATAGGTTTGTACTTTGTCTCGAAGCGCTGGCAGGGCCCAAAAGGACATGTAAAGTGCCCCTTAAGTGCTACCTTGTTTATTATCTTTGACGTTGAAAAGTGCCAAAATAATAATAGTATAGTTCCAAAATACTGAACTGTCCTATGCATGACATTGACAGTGGGGCACCACCGTCAATACTGGATCGCTGGTTCCGATGTTTGCCATGTGCTGGTTGCCATGTTGGAAACCATATAGTTGAACGATGGTAGCGCCCCCCTGTCATTGAGTTCGGTGGGACAGTTCAGCGTGGGTCATCTATACAACACTTTATTATACACCACACATAGAACAAGGACATTAAAAGAAATACACAAGGAATATAGTGTCAAAATTGAATAAAACATGATTGTTCGTACCTCCTTGAAGCAGGGCTCGGGGCTGCGCAGGTGGTCGAGCATGGCCCAGCGCGCGCAGGCCTGGTAGATGTTGGAGTTGTACTCCAGCGAGGCGCTGGAGCCGGCACTGCTGCCGCGGCTGCGCTCGTAGCCCGGCTCGTTGAAGTACGGCTCCGGGACTAGGATCAGCGACTGGATCGATACCAGCACCTGCGGGGTAAACCGATGTTAGCGACAAGACAATTACAAATAGACGTGTTACGCGGAACGGGTGAAGATACTTAGACCAATGGGTTCTGATTAGAAATGATAGGTGAGCATGAATTACTTAGAACGCAAATACTAGTTAATATTTCAAATAAGATATCAATCAAACAAGCATTAAATTGTGGTGGTCAAATTTATACATAATTAATGAAGTAATCGATTGTGATAACCAAGAAATTTAGCAAGGTTATATTATAGTCGACAGCAGTCCACGTTTATTTCGTCACTTTATTCTGAGGCGAGCGCATAGCGTGTCCCGTTCGTGCAACATTTTTATGAGACGTGACTGCGCGCAGAGAAAAAACGGGCTCGTCCACGAAATATTCCGCAGCGTCAATTTTTAATTCATAAATGAATATACAAAAGCCTAATTCGATGCATCTAACTTGTCACAATCTTTAAAATACCATACCTTTTTCATATCTTTAAAATACTATACCAATAACCAATACCATATTAGTTCTTGGTTACAAAAACTTAGTATTATCACAGTAAACATATTATTATTTACCTGCAAGAAGCTAGACGTGTGCGCGTTCCACTTCTCCTCGGGCCGGCCGTGCCACGTGTTGAGCACGGACAGGCAGACCTTGCCGTCGTTGTAGAGGTTGGGGTTGAAGCGCACCGAGTGGCGGCCCGTCGTCTCCAGGTTGATGAGCATGGGCACCGCCGGGTACTCCGCCGGGAAGTACACGTCCAGGATGAAGCAGCCGTTCGCGTACGGCGTGTCGGACGGGCCCGTTATTAGGACCTGGAGGGATAATAAATAATAATAATAATAATTGACTTGGCCCACGAGGTGACCGCCATGTGGGATGTTGACTCGACGATCATTGTCCCGATAGTTGTCTCAGCAAACGGGCTAATAGCGAAGAGCTTCGACCAACATCTAAAGAAGCTCTCGCTAGATGGTTGGCTCAAGGGTCAGATTCAAAAGGCGGTGATCCTCAGCACGGCACGCATTGTCCGGAGGTTCCTCAGCCTGTGACCCTGACCACCGGTAGCCTGGGCTCTGCTCCGCTGCCAGCGGGTTAACTATTTTCAAGATTTTTGTTTTTATAATGTATTTTTATTTTTTTGATAATAATTACATTGTAAAAAGAAAAAAATAAAAATAAGAAAGTAAGATGAATAAAGGAATAATAATAAATATCCTTGGACATTTTACACTGCGCTTCTAGTCCCAAACTAAGCAAAGCTTGTACTATGGGTACTAGACAACGGACATAAACATAGGTACTTAAATACTTTTTTTTTGTAAATACATACATATTATACATAGAAAACACCCAGTCCAATACAAACAAATATGTTCATTCACACAAATGTTTGTACTGTGCGGGAATCGAACCCGCAACCTCTGGAATAGTAGTCCGTTTCGAACCACTACACCAAACGGCCGACTAATGAGAATAACACCCGTATNAACGCACCCACACATGTTCAATTTGTCCCATAAACGCTCAATAGCTTTGGAGCACAAATCAACGCTGACGGTGTTGACGGATAGCGTGATTTTAAAATACTGAGTTGATATTGGTTGGCCAAATCAATAACCATCGCTTAAGCGTGAAGACGTGCTCTACATAACAATGCTTATATCCCATGGATTCATTTGAATTTAATCTTGAAGCTGAAGTTTTGAGCGTGACGTCAGCATAAAAAATGCTTTACACAGCATTTTAAATCATCACATTCTTCATTCATTCATTTTGATGTTTTTTATGTTAATACAAATTCTTTATTGCTCCATGTTGGATACAAAGATTCTTACTTAGTAAACATAGCCCCGTAATCACACCAAATGAACGTTATAATCAATTAAGTTGAGCCTACCTTGAGCGCCATGAGGTTGAGCTGTATGGTGCGCTGCGTGCGCTCGTCGCCGCCCTGGCCCTCCAGCTCGGTGATCCAGTTGGCCACCGTCTGCATGATCTCGTTGCGCTTGATCCAGAAGTGCGTCTGGATCACCTGTTAACAATGAACAAATGATAAAAACACTCCATGTTTGAATTGACATTGGTATAATATGAGCAGTGGCATAGTGTGCCTTGGACAGGCCCTGTATTAAAAAGTTTTAGGCGCCCCATCTAAAAAAGTTGCGCCGTTGCCCAGGGGCCTCATATCATCGTTACGGCGGTAGCTACACTCCTGAATATGAGTAGAAACGTGACACCGTAAGATGGTCATGCGCATCGGCATCGATATTGAAACGCTGATATATCAGTTGTAAAAAATTAAAATTGTACTTTTACCAAAATGATAAGTTTACGTGCGTGCGTTTTTACCCGACTAGCCAGAAGGAGGGTTATGTTTTTCCAAAGAGGCATCAAATACATATCACCAACTACTACAACTACAATTTGATGCCTCCGACGGCATTTGTGAACAATAAGTTGACTCATTTCTATCTTTTCGGTTAATTTTTAAGCAGTCGGGTTTTTGTTTTTTAACTTCAGTGGTTGTCTCCGTGTTGTATCCGCGCACGTGGACTGAGTTTGTTCTGGCGATTCTTCTCAGCACTGGTTATTGTTTGTCTCAAAGCGCTGGTAGAGCCCAAAAGATAACCTTTTTTAAATTATATTATCTTTGACGTTCATAAGTGCCAAAATAATAATAGTACAACACTTTATTATACACCACACACAGAACAAGAACATAAAAAGAAATAGACAAGGAATATAGTGTCAAAATTGAATAAAACATGATTGTTCGTACCTCCTTGAAGCAGGGCTCGGGGCTGCGCAGGTGGTCGAGCATGGCCCAGCGCGCGCAGGCCTGGTAGATGTTGGAGTTGTACTCCAGCGAGGCGCTGGAGCCGGCGCTGCTGCCGCGGCTGCGCTCGTAGCCCGGCTCGTTGAAGTACGGCTCCGGCACCAGGATCAGCGACTGGATCGATACCAGCACCTGCGGGGATACTCCATGTTAAGATAGCATTCGGATCAAGACGACCGCGACGAGAGACCACGACCACGACCCAAGACCGCGACAGGCAACCGGTCGCAGGTCGCAGGGCGACAGCTACTTACGAATCTTCGCGACACGAATCGTGCGACCCATACGAAACTTACTAATTCTATTAAAATTTCGTCTTCGTGCGAAGAAAACACGGCCATTTTGCATCTGTCGCGTCACGGCACTGCCTTGTGAGCGACCGAGTCGCGCGACGCAAGTAGCCGGCAGGCCACGCCCACACGTCGCGCGACTCGGTTGCTTACATCCGTCAGCACTTCCTATTAATTCATATAAAACAGTGGGTCGCGGTCGCCGGTCGCGGTCTCGAGTCGCGGTCTCGCGTCGCAGTCTCGCGTCGCGGTCGTCTTGATCCGAATGCTACCTTTAGCGATAAGACAATCTATTTAAAAAAGCTAAAGGTCACTGATTGACCGACTCACTCATCACGAAATCTCAGAACATGCAAATGCTAAGTCACAAGTTTTGCATGAGGGTTCCTTTTAGAACGTAGGTGCTCACAAAGAACGGATTTTGCGAAACTCCACTCCTAAGGGGGTAAAACGGAATCCACGCGTACGAAGTCCTGGGCGGCCGCTAGTTACGAATATACGTGGTAAAAGAGATAAGTAAAGAAAAACTTACACCAATCGACGGCAATCACGAATAAATGATGAGAGGGACATTATAACTCAGAACAGTGAACTCTGGTCAATATTTCTAAATACTATATCTATGAAACAAGCAATGATATTGTTGCAAATATTGTATGATCTACATATTGTGGTCACGTATAGGTTATAAATGAAGTCGTCGATTGACATAATCAAATAGCAAGGAAATATTATAGTCGACACGAGTGCACGTTTACATTGTCATTTAAATCTGTGGCAAACGCACAGCGTGTTCCGTTCGTGCGACATTTATGTAAGACTTCACGTACGCGCGAAGAAAAAAAACGGGCTTATCCACGAAATATCGCGCAGCGTCAATTTTTAATGCATAAATGAATACACAAAAGCCTAATTCGATGCATCTAACTTGTCACAATCTTTAAAATACCATACCTTTTTTATATCTTTAAAATACTATACCAATAACCAATACCATATTAGTTCTTGGTTACAAAAACTTAATATTATCACAGTGAACATATTATTATTTACCTGCAAGAAGCTAGACGTGTGCGCGTTCCACTTCTCCTCGGGCCGGCCGTGCCACGTGTTGAGCACGGACAGGCAGACCTTGCCGTCGTTGTAGAGGTTGGGGTTGAAGCGCACCGAGTGGCGGCCCGTCGTCTCCAGGTTGATGAGCATGGGCACCGCCGGGTACTCCGCCGGGAAGTACACGTCCAGGATGAAGCAGCCGTTCGCGTACGGCGTGTCTGACGGGCCCGTTATTAGGACCTGGAGGGATAATAAATAATAATAATAATAATAAATATCCTTGGACATTTTACACTGCGCTTCTAGTCCCAAACTAAGCAAAGCTTGTACTATGGGTACTAGACAACGGACATAAACATACTTAAATACTTTTTTTTTTGTAAATACATACATATTATACATACTCGTAGATAACACCCAGTCCAATACAAACAAATATGTTCATTCACACACATGTTTGTACTGTGCGGGAATCGAACCCGCAACCTCCGGAATAGTAGTCCGTTTCGAACCACTACACCAAACGGCCGACTAATAAGAATAAGGATTAGTTTGTTGTGACACAAATTATTTAGGACGACACATGTAATGCAAAAGAAAGGAATCAGCATTAGTCGTGACCATGTATGCCACACGATGATTATAATAGCAATGTTAATAGCATTAAGAGTTGCTGTGGTAGTTACTAGAGTTGGAAATAGTGCATTTAATTCGGTTTGATTGACGGCCAAGAGTAGACCCTGTTTGTGTAATAAAGAGAATGAGAGCTACAATTGTTTAGATTATTACGATAAGAAGTGAACGGTGGCGGTGCATGATCGCCAGAACTTTTGTAACAAATCTAACTTACTTAAGAGTTCCAGCGAACGTTAGTCAGTTCGCAACCCGCCTGGCCAATGTAGGAAGTGTAGACCAAATCCTCCGCTAGCCGCTGGAATCTCTAGTTTCCATAATTCTGCAGTATAAACTAAATGATCTAATGACGATGTCAATGGTACCTTCATGACGTCCAAGCGGTCGGTGTCGGTCCTCACGAACACGGAGGAGGAGTAGGACAGCGGCAGCGACGTGGCGAGCGTGGCGGCCTCCTGCGCGAGGCGCTTCATCCGCGCGGGCGCGGCGCGCGCGCCGGCGGCCCGGACCGCGCCCTCGAAGTGGTACGGCACCGTGAACCGGAACCCCGTGTCGGGACACTCCGCTATCATCTCGAAGGTCTCTGTGGATTTTAATGTAATTTAATTTTAAGTCGTCAGTGACATAGAGAAGACTTTTACTTCTGCAATATCAATTAATTTCAAGGCCGTCTCACATAACACCATATTGGAACATCTTTGAAGCCATGAAATATGCAATGAGGGCTATCGTTTTTATACTTAACAGTTGGCATCACGCACGCATTTATGTGACAGAACCTCTACAGCATACAGCGCCATCCTGGCGAGTGCAAATGCAATAGTCCTCTTACCACTTCAGCGCTCACTAGTTGACACCACTATCGAGTGACAGAACCTTACTCTACTGTGGCGCCGAACGTTGAGGGTAAATACGATAGCCCTGATTATGACAAACTGACAAATATTTGATCAAATCCGAGAGTGGGACGTGTTTAAGCGTCCCGGTAAGGGATGTAAAGTAGTGGATTAAACCTTTGACTTTGACTCTATAGTGACGCCCGCCCACTGATGAGGGCAAATACGAGAAGCTGTGGCAAAATTTAGATAATTTTGAATGTATGTGACTCACCGAACTGCATGGTGCGCATAAGCTCGATGTAGCGCGCCTCGCGCGAGGCGCCGCTGAGCGCGCGCGCCGCCAGCGCCTCGCCCGCGCCCGCCGCGCCCGCGCCGCCCTCCGCGCGCCACACCAGCGCAGACGTCGCCTGCGACACACCAACAGTAGTAGCACACACACAAACTGCGAGCCTGCTTGTGACCACGGCTGCAGCATAGCAGCCGAAACTTCAAGCCGTGAGTACATAATGTAACTCATTAATAGTCGGCCGTTTGGTGTAGTGGTTCAGAACGGACTACTATGCCGAGAGGTCCCGGGTTCGATTCCCGGCCGGGCAGAAATTGAAATGATGAATTTTAATTTCTGTGACGGGTCTGGGTGTGACTATGTATAATATTTATGTATTTAAAAAAAAAGTATATAAGTAGTATATCCGTTAAGCTAGCACCCATAACACAAGCATTAAGTTGCTTACTTTGGGGCTAGCTGGCGCTGTGTGAAATTGTCCAAAGATTTATTATTATTATTATAATAAACGTCGCGTTAAGACCCGTGTCTTACTATTTTAGTTAAAATGGAACGCAAAAGTTCAAAATCTTATATCTTATAAAACACCTGTAAGGAACTCCGATTGGGGATTTCTTGAATTCCTTAAAATGAAATGAAATGAAAACTACAATCTTCATTGGTTGGGTTTTCATGGCGGTCAAGCTGTAGATCCTGGCTACACAAGAGTTGCAGCGATTGGAACGAGAGCTGGAAATTGTCCCGATAGTACTAAAGCTCCGGTTTACTTGAGCTCTAGAGGCCAACTTTGCCCCGAAATAAAAATGAATTTATTTACACCATGAAAGAATAAACCCAATGCAGTAAAATTCAAAAAAATATCGATAAACGACAGAGAAATGTCACATAGCGTTACAGGTGCTTATTTTTAATGGTAACGAGATAGTTTGCGAATTCCAATAGAGCGTAAGAGCGCAAGAGTTTATAACAAACGTAATTTATCACATAATCTACATTTTAATCATTATTCTCACAATAAAGTAACAAATGTATTTTTTTGTTTACCTGTATATCAGCAATGAGCGCTGCGAGGCCTTCGTCTTCTTCCGATAATTCTGAATTACTTGATGTGCTAAATCTTTGGCTATACGTCATCTTTCCGAATATATTCTTTTTACTCATTCTGCAAAGAAAACAACACTGTTAATAAATTTTAAATTAGAGGTGACATAGACATAATGACTTACTCTTTAGTCTTTTTAGTAGGGCAAATTGGGGATTCGGTTTGCTCTCAACTCGAAAGGTTGGCTCGAAAATCGAACATTTGTGTAGTAGTGAGACTTGTTTCTTTGCTTGCGCAGGCGCAGTGATTCTTCTGTTGCAATTATACTATGCTAGCTGTGCCCGCGACTTAGTACGCGTGAAAACCCATTATCACAACATTTTTCATGTTTGCTCTGCACCTATTACTCGTAGCGTGATGGTATATAGCCTATAGCCTTCCTCAATAAATGGGCATCTAACACTGACAGAATTTTTCAAATCGGACCGGTAGTTCCACAGATATGGATTAGAGTAGATACAGCAAGTTGATCGTCATAGCGTGCCATTCCGATATGTCCAAATGGACATACATGGTCGAGTGATGTTCATGTAATCCGATTACAACAATCGGTTACTATTATTTTACGAGGACAGTAGTACGAACACGGTAGAAAGAAGAAATTATTTACGGATTGAGAATTGTAATTAACAGCACAAGTAACAAATAATTAATTAGAATAAAGTAGNTGTAAGGATTAGTTTGTTGTGACACAAATTATTTAGGACGACACATGTGATGCAAAAGAAAGGAATCAGCATTAGTCGTGACCATGTATGCCACCACACGATGGTTGTAATAGCAATGTTTTTTGTTAACGACACAATGCAAAAGACAAAGGATTCATCATTAGTCGTTGACCATGTATGCGACACGATGATTATAATAGCAATGTTAATTTGTTTTCTGGTGCGTATTTTATTGGTGGACGAGCTGGCTATATTACGAACTGCAGCGGTAGATACTAGAGATGGAAATAGTCCATTTGATTCGGTCTGATTGACGGCCAAGAGTAGACGCTGTTTGTACTCGTAATATAAACAATGAGCTATAATGGTTTAGTTTACTACGATTAGAAGTGAATGGTGTATGGCCGTGCCAGCACATCTGTAGCAAATCGTAACTATTAATTACATAAGATGCCTCAGCGATCTTCAATCTGTTCTCAACCCGTCTGGCCAGTGTAGGTAGTGTAGACCAAATCCTCCGCTAGCCGCTGGAATCTCTAGTTTCCATAATTCTGCAGTGTAAACTAAATGATCTAATGACGATGTCAATGGTACCTTCATGACGTCCAGGCGGTCGGTGTCGGTCCTGACGAACACGGAGGAGGAGTAGGACAGCGGCAGCGACGTGGCGAGCGTGGCGGCCTCCTGCGCCAGGCGCTTCATGCGCGCGGGCGCGGCGCGCGCGCCGGCGGCCCGGACCGCGCCCTCGAAGTGGTACGGCACCGTGAAACGGAACCCCGTGTCGGGACACTCCGCTATCATCTCGAAGGTCTCTGTGGATTTTAATGTAATTTAATTTTAAGTCGTCAGTGACATAGAGAAGACTTTTACTTCTGCAATATCAATTAATTTCAAGGCTGTCTCACAAAACACCATGTTGGAACATCTTTGAAGCCATGAAATATGCAATGAGGGCTATCGTTTTTATACTTAACAGTTGGCATCACGCACGCATTTATGTGACAGAACCTCTACAGCATACAGCGCCATCCTGGCGAGTGCAAATGCAATATTCCTCTTACCACTTCAGCGCTCACTAGTTGACACCACTATCGAGTGACAGAACCTTACTCTACTGTGGCGCCGAACGTTGAGGGTAAGTACGATAGCCCTGATTATGACAAACTGACAAATATTTGATCAAATCCGAGAGTGGGACGTGTTTAAGCGTCCCGGTAAGGGATGTAAAGTAGTGGATTAAACCTTTGACTTTGACTCTATAGTGACGCCCGCCCACTGATGAGGGCAAATACGAGAAGCTGTGGCAAAATTTTGATAATTTTGAATGTATGTGACTCACCGAACTGCATGGTGCGCATGAGCTCGATGTAGCGCGCCTCGCGCGAGGCGCCGCTGAGCGCGCGCGCCGCCAGCGCCTCGCCCGCGCCCGCCGCGCCCGCGCCGCCCTCCGCGCGCCACACCAGCGCAGACGTCGCCTGGACATGACACGCGTAAAGCATAACAATAAGAATGTCTTTATTCACCACAATTTAAGGTATACAAAGCAAGAGTAAACATAAAATTTATTGAGTAAGTCGTCTTTCAGGTGTTCTAGACCTAACGCAAGACACGGAAAAACTTTTATGACGCCACTATGTAGGACTAATTATAGAAATAACTGTTTTGTCATTAGAGCCTGCAAAAAGTATGACAGTGATTATGGTCACGTTGACATATTTCACGAGAGGCCTATGCGGTTCCGTGGCCTAATAAAGGCATAAAATGATGTGTATTAATACACCTTACAAATAAAATTTGTCCATGGTTTTAAATGTTTAAGTTAGATAATTAAGTATTGTGAATCTGTCTTTTCAATTTTAAATTACCAGTGAAAACTCATAGGCTTGTGTAAGACTTATTATTTTTATTCTACATGTATCATAATATAAGCTGTATGTTTTCCTAATAAAGAAAAATAAAAATAAAATAAAAAATAAATAAAAACATATGCTGTATAGGCGCCCGCTCAGCAAAAATCGCGACATGAGACAAACGTCATGCCGAGAAGCTGGTTTTCAGCGGGAAGCAATGCGTAATGAGGATTGTGCGCCCCTCTGGTCGAGACGGTTTAGCATATTTATATCGCAAATATAAACACATATCTGTAAGGTGCTCCTAAAGGGGATTTTTTCAGTACCAAAACTGCGGGTTGCTTCAGCTTGAAAGGGTAACTTTGGTTCCAAGGTGCAGATCACTTCAGCTCTAGAGAGCAACTTAGCCCCAAAAAATTATGCCATGACCGGATAAACCCAATGCGACAATGAAGAAAGATAATATTGAATTTCTCACTTCATAGAATCGATAAACGTAAACATAATTCGACAGTGAAATTTTACAGGTGCCTATTTTTACTTGGTAACAGGACAGTTTGTGAATTTCAATAAAACGGAAGAGCACAAGAATTTATAGCAACTTATCACATGACAATATAATCAATACTTTGACAAGAATAAATTAACAAATCAATTCTCACAATAAGATCACAAATTATTTACCTGTATATCAGCAATGAGCGCTGCGAGGCCTTCGTCTTCTTCCGATAATTCTGAATTACTTGATGTGCTAAATCTTTGGCTATACGTCATCTTTCCGAATATATTCTTTTTACTCATTCTGCAACAAGAAATAGCGACACTGTTAAAAAGATACTCGAAACACAACTGAAAGAATAATAATATTAAAACTATACACATTTTTACACTTATGGGGATTTCTTCTGTTTTTAGTAGATGATAATATACTGACAACTCGTGTAAAATTTTGAAGGCAAGAGAATTTATAGAATCATCAAATCCAAAAAGGGGGTGTTATTCCGTAATTTATGTAAGTATTTTCGGCTTACACTCCTCTCCGGGGAGGCATATGGCTGTGGCTTGATGCTCCATAAACTTTGCAACTCTACCTTGTCGTAAGAAACGGACATACCAAGAGAGAAAGACGGCATGTTGTAGGTGGATATGAGCTAACTAAATTGAACTTTATTGCGTAGTAGTGAGCTTATTTCTTTAAACATTTTTGCTCAGTGATTCTTCTGTCGCAACTATTCTAATATACTACAGGGTAATATGAGACAAATCCAAGGAGATTTTTTGTCATTATTTGTATTAGTGTGCTCTTATAGAGTTTAAAACCATTGTACAGCACATCAGCCAATACATTTTGTTGCAAAATAACACCTATTACAACGAAATACGAATACCACAGAATAAGAATTGATGTGCTGTCGTCTGTACAAGATTTTAAATATTGAAGTTTTAACTCATTAGATTTGTCTCATATTTGGGGAATGTACTATGTATCATCATCAACAGCCCTTTATGTTAGATTGTAAACACAAACTAAACGCAAAAGTGTTTGACAGTGACGTTTGTTAGTGACAATTCAACTTCCTGTTTTGTCTCTTCCGCTCTCGATGGTTGTTGCGCTGTGTAACCTGTGTTCTTTTAATTACCGAAATAAATCTCTGATAATACTAAATAAATCTAGTTTATTTTGGCCAAACCCATCAGGTTATGGGCCCAGATGCGCGAAAGTAGTAATATTTTGTCGAAATTTGCAATTCTTGACAAAATATCGAACAACCATTCGTTCCACACCCGGCCGGCAACATGGCAAACGGTACCGGCGCCTCGTCCCTCGTTGTGGAGAAGTTGAAAGGCATCGAAAATTACCATTCCTGGAAGTTCACAATGAGGATGGTGCTGATACACGAAGATCTTTGGGAATACGTGGAAAATGGGAGCCACGATGCAGCACATGAGAGGTACGTGCAGAAGGCACTTGCGCGTATTGCGTTGTCAGTGCACCCGGCAGTCTTCCCACACATTAGAACGGCTGCCACGGCGCACGAAGCGTGGAGCAACCTACAAAAGGCGTATGAGGACCGAGGGTTATGTCGTAGACTTGGCCTGCTGCGGGTACTCTTCGGCACCAAGCTGCAGGAGTGTGCAGGTATGGAGAGCTACTTGAACAAAATATGTGACACGGCCCAACAGCTCAGTGATATTGGAGCTCCTGTGGATGACGACTTTGTGGCTGTATTGATGCTGAGCGGTCTTACTGAAGATTATGACCCACTCATCATGGCCATTGAAAATTCAAATGTGAAGTTGTCAACGGAGAACATCAAAGGAAAACTGCTGCAAGAAAATATTCGGCGAGATGACAAACATGAGAATGTGACAGCGCTAGCAGCCATAAGAAAGCCACCGAAGTGCTTTGGATGCAAAAAGGTTGGTCATTTTATCAGAAATTGTCCGACAACAAAGAAAAAGACCAAACCAAAGACGGAGGAGAAGTCCAGATCTGAAGCGCTGCTCACAGCATTATCGGCCAACGTACAGAAGGATCTCTGGTACGTGGATAGTGGTGCAACTCGTCATATGTGTCGTGATAGAGAGCAATTTAGTGATTTTGTGAGTGAAAAGTCATTACCAGTGTCAGTGGCTAACGGGGAAGTCTTGTATACTGCGGGACGCGGGACTGTGAAAGTACAATTACAAAATGGTGTTATTAGAGACATTAGTGATGTGTATTATGTACCTAAATTAACCACAAATTTACTATCTGTTAATGCTATGACAGAAAAAGGTTATAAAGTTGTATTCAGTTCCCAAAAGTGCACAGTATATGGCCATAAGTCATCAGTTTTAGCAACTGCAACTTTGGATGCAGGTGTTTACAGGCTTGACACTGAAAAGAAACTGTTGTTTAAAGCTTTATCCCCACAGGCAAATTTAGTAGCTAGCGTGGCTGCTGCTGATGGTGAAAGTGCAACTGGAAGCTTCTCGGAGAAGGTATGGCATCGGAGGCTTGGTCATCTCAACCGCAGAAGCATGAATCTTTTGAAAAGAGGTATGGCACTTGGTATTTCTTATGATAATTCTGAATTTGAAACTTGTATTTCATGTCTTGAAGGGAAGAAAAGTAAATTACCATTTCCAAAGAAATCTAGTAACAGGGCCACAGAAGTATTAGGGCTGGTGCACACTGATCTTTGTGGACCAATGCAAAGCCCCTCATTTAGTGGTGCACGTTATTTTTTACTTTTCATAGATGATTACAGTAGAAAAACATTTGTGTATTTTCTTAAAGAAAAAAGTCAAGTTTTGGAAAAATTCAAGGAATTTAAGGCATTGGTAGAAAACGAAACTAGCCAAAAGATAAAAATATTAAGAAGTGATAATGGTGGTGAATACATTAATAATGCATTTCAGATATTCTTGAAGAATAATGGCATTCGGCACCAGACAACTGTTCCTCACTCGCCACAGCAAAACGGGGTGGCGGAGCGTGCTAACAGGACAGTAATGGAGGCCGCACGGTGCATGCTCCAAGACGCAGAGCTGCCGAAGCGATACTGGGCGGAAGCTGTCAACACAGCTGTGTACATCAAGAACCGCTGTCCCACCAAGGCCGTCCTGAACAGCACTCCGGAGGAAAAGTGGTGCGGGAAAAAGGTATCTATCAGTCACTTACGTATTTTTGGATGTACGGCCTACGCACTGAATCCCAAGAGGACTAAGTTGGATTCGAAGTGCAAGCGATATGTATTTGTCGGTTATTGTAATGAGACAAAGGGGTACAGACTTTTAGACCCAGCAGACCCGACAAAAGTTGTAAAGGCCAGAGATGTTACATTTTTGGAGCATGAAATTGTACATAAAATGTCACATGATGATAATTTATCTCAGAACACTAAATGTGTTGAATCCCTATCTATTCCACGTTCTGTACAGACAGAAACATCTATTGTGGATACTGATTTATCTGATGACATAGATTTAGCGCCAACAACACAGATTACACAGCGCAACGTCGCAGATAGACACAGTACAATCACAATAGATGATTCTGCGAGCTCATCAGAGCCCGATGATCCGGCGGATGAAACTTATATTCCAGAGGAGAGTGAAGAAAGCACTACTGGAACTTCAGAGCTTGAAGAATACAGTGACACATTGGATGCTATGTGTGCCGCCATGGTAAAGACGTCCTCGGATGCTGACAACCCGCAGACTGTACAGGAAGCACTGGGAGGGCCAGATGCTGAACACTGGAAGAAAGCAATGTCTTGTGAGTACGATTCCTTCATTAAAAATGAATGTTGGACTTTGGTTGACCTGCCTGCCTCACAGAAACCTGTGAAATGTAAATGGGTTTTCAAGATTAAAAGGGGGTTGAATGGCGAAATATTAAGACACAAAGCTCGCCTGGTAGCCAAAGGTTATACTCAAAAGTACGGTATAGACTATGAGGAGACCTTCTCTCCCGTTGTAAGGTATTCAACTATTCGTACTTTACTGGCCATAGCAGCAGAACATGACATGGAGATAGAACATCTGGATGTGAAGACTGCCTTCTTAAACGGTGACCTCAAGGAAACCGTTTATATGGAGCAACCTGATAACTTTGTCATTAAGGGCCAGGAGAATAAGGTATACAAGTTGAATAAAGCTATTTACGGTTTAAAACAGGCGTCGAAAGCTTGGTATGAAAAAATCGATAAAGTTTTGTGTAAAAAGCTGGATTTTACTAGGTCATGTTCAGAACCTTGTGTTTATATCAGATCACATAATAATTCACTGATAATTATAGCACTTTATGTTGATGACATAATTTTGTTCAGTTCTTGCAATTCTCTTGAGAAACTGAAAGTAAAAAGTAAATTAATGGAAATATTTGACATAACTGATCTAGGGCCAGCACATCAAATATTAGGTATGAGACTGTGTAGGGAAAATAATAAGATAACGCTTGATTTATCTAACTACATTGAAAGATTGCTGCAAAAGTACAAAATGGAGGATTGCAAGCCAGCACCTACTCCAATGGAAACAGGTCTAAGATTACCTAAGGATACTGTCAAGGATGTAACTCTTGATTACAGGGGCTTAGTAGGTTCGCTCATGTACATTGCAGTTTGCAGTCGACCCGACATTGCCTATGCAGTGAGCTATCTTAGCCAGTTTAACGAATGTTTTTCAGAAACACATTGGAAAGCAGCCAAGAGAGTGCTGCGATACTTACGGGGTACTACTAACCTTTGTTTAACATTCCAGAAAGGTGGCCTTGAGGTCTCCGCCTATGCTGATGCAGACTGGGCGAATGATGAGGGAGATCGGCGTTCGTATACTGGTTTTGTTTTCAAGTTGGGTAAGTCAGTTATTTCATGGGAAAGCCGTAAACAAAAGACCGTAGCTTTGTCGAGCACTGAAGCTGAATTTTAACGAATGTTTTTCAGAAACACATTGGAAAGCAGCCAAGAGAGTGCTGCGATACTTACGGGGTACTACTAACCTTTGTTTAACATTCCAGAAAGGTGGCCTTGAGGTCTCCGCCTATGCTGATGCAGACTGGGCGAATGATGAGGGAGATCGGCGTTCGTATACTGGTTTTGTTTTCAAGTTGGGTAAGTCAGTTATTTCATGGGAAAGCCGTAAACAAAAGACCGTAGCTTTGTCGAGCACTGAAGCTGAATACATCTCTTTAGCCGACTCTTGTAAAGAAGGCTTATTCATTTGTAAGTTGTTGAAAGATATTTTTAATAGAGATGTTAAAATTACAATTTTTAACGATAATCAATCTGCTCAAAAATTGTGTAAAAATAGTCTTTATCATGCTCGAACTAAGCATATAGATGTAAGACATCATTTTATAAGGCAGTATGTAAATGATGGAAAAATTTCATTGAGATATTTATGTACTAATGATATGTTAGCAGATATCTTCACGAAAGCTTTATGTAAAGAAAAGTACAAAGGGTTTGTAGGACAGTTAATGTTATGTTAGCGAGTCTAGTGATTAATGTAAACTAGAACAAGTATTATTATAAGTAATAATGTGTTTTTTTTGCATAACTGAAATTGCATTTAATTTTGTTGTTCCTTTTTTTTTCTTTTGTAAAGCAACTTGATTTGTTGATACAATGTTTGTGATAAGTAGTAGGTACATGTAAGCCTAAGTTAACATTGTTTAATGTTTTTAATTTGTGTTTAAGGGCCAGTGTTAGATTGTAAACACAAACTAAACGCAAAAGTGTTTGACAGTGACGTTTGTTAGTGACAATTCAACTTCCTTTTTTGTCTCTTCCGCTCTCGATGGTTGTTGCGCTGTGTAACCTGTGTTCTTTTAATTACCGAAATAAATCTCTGATAATACTAAATAAATCTAGTTTATTTTGGCCAAACCCATCACTTTACAGTCCACTGCTGGACTATGAGCCTCCTCCACTATAGTGGAGGGTTTTGCCATAATCTCCACGCTTGGCAGGCGGGTTGGAGATCGCAGTTTAAAAGATTGATGTTTTTCAGAGAGCGCTGCTGCTGCTGCGCTGCTGTATATGAATAGTCTATTTTAAAAGGATGCCAACGATTTCAAAGTCACCGTGTATATTGTATGCGTACCTAAGCTTGGCGGCGTAGGAGTTGGTGGTGCGGCTCATGTTGTGCAGCAGGCGCGGCAGCGGGCGCAGCGCGGGCGCCAGCCGCCGGCTGCGCGCGCCCACCAGTGCGCGTGCGCAGCGCAGCACGCACACGTACAGAGGGATGTGCCGCGACATGTCCAACACTGGGAAGAAAGTTCAATTGGTTATTTTTTGAGAACACTTAGGCTGAGTTGCACCACCTTATTTTAACAGTAAAAATAACATAGAACCGGTGCTTTTCGTATCTAGTTTGACAGATTTTTGACGTTTGTCAAAGTTAAAGGAAAATGGTGCAACTCAGCCTTACAAGCGCTAATTTAACCCATAACTAAGCATACAAAGTCAAAAAATTTAATTGTTTTGGACCTTAAACAAAGCAAAGGGAATAAACGTACAAAATATGGCGAGAAATATATTCTCACCACCTCATTAAAAGTTAACGCTACCGCTGCTTTGGGGCAGTACATTGAAACTGACCTCAAAAGACAAAGAGGTTTTAATTTTCTACCTCTCTTATTTGTTAGTAACAATGATCAAAGTTATGCAAACCACAAAAACATCTATGCCTAAAACTTACTGAGATACCAATATTAAAAGAACTTTGAGTTTACATGAATATTTCATCAACATTATCATTTCAGCCATAGGACGTCCTCTACTATGTTCAGTAATAGACGTCCTATGGGTGAAATGCCTCTCTCAGGTTCGTTTTAGTGTCACGCGGACCGTCCGGTGCGGACCCGCTCCGCACGGCCAATCTGTATAAACTTCTAAGGAGCGTTTTAGAGTAATGCGGTTCGAAGAAACCGCTCCGCTCCCTAGCAGTTCATACAAATCGCCTGTGCGGAGCGATAAAAAAATACATAAAAAAACAAAACAACTCACCCGAGTCATTCCTAAGGTACGAGCATATCGCGGGCACCAGCGAGCTGCCGGCGATGAGGTCGATGAACTCCGCGGGTAAGTCACGGGGCTCATCCTCTTCGGCTTCCCCCTCCCCCTCGCCCTCAGCCTCGGCGGGGGTCGACGACCGCCCGGAAGAGGACTCGTCTTCGGAGGTGTTCTCTTCGGGAGGCCACTTCTCGCCGGGGTTCATGTATGAGGCTATGACCTGTTGGAGAGAAAGATGTTTTTAATAAGGCAAAAAATCTTGCCGTTAGTTTTCAAGTTAGTATTACGCTTCCATTGAGTTCTACCGCCAAAGAGGAATGAACTAGAGATGTCTAACGGAGCGGTCTTTGTTTACATAAAATAGGATTGCAATATTTCGGGGGAATTGATTCGATGAACGAGCAAATTTTTACTCCTTTTGCTCTCTTTGTAATTTTCGCCGACTTTTGTTGGTGAAAACAAATATGCAAATTATTTTTCATTATGTATTTTTGTATTGCGATGTAAACGGAGTCATTAAATAATAACCGTATGTTTTCCCAACAAAATAAAATAAACAAATAATAGGTTTGCTCATCTCTCGGTGGAAAACCCGCTTTAGACACTGAAAAGAGGGCTTAGTGTGAGTTCAAATCAAACGTCGTCACTAGCGAGCGCGTTAAAAAATATATGAAGAATTTAGTTCTTGAAAATTTCCGCTAGGGACGCTGTACTATCTGTCATACATTTATGTCACTTTCTTACGCAGTCAACATCGAATGCGTTTGACGTGAACTCACACTACGCCCCCAGATGTTAACAGTTTATCGTAGTCAGTTTGAATATTTTATTGATATTCAACCTAGAGTCAAGGCAATAAAGTTCAAACCACTAGCCACTTACTTGCAAGAGCACAGTGACGTGCTCCTCTTCAGTGCGCTGGCGCACGAGCGCCTGCTCGACGTTCCACGACTGCTGCGTGGAGCCCGTGCCGAAGCCCGTGCCCTTGGCCCAGTACAGCTGGCTCTTGTCCTCCGACTTGCCCGACCCGTTTGAGGCTTGGCTGTTCTGTACGAACAAAAAAGGAAACAATGAGAAATAATTTTGAACTGAACGCTTCATTTTGTCCTGAAATGCGACGGAATTTGTTATTAACTTTGCCATGCCGTAGATTATTTTATTCGTCAGTGCCGAAATTTTACGCGTATCTCCGCATTAGCGTTCCAAGCTATATTGAAGTCCATCTGTGCGGCTCAACACTCATAACGTGTTTTGCATGCTAAAAATGTAAGCAGAATAGTAAGCACTGTGTAAATTATATTATAAGACCTCATGTAAAATACCTATTCTATGCAATAAATGTTTGAATTTGAATTCGTTAAATATTGACGCTATAATGGTACGGTACAGATCCGTATGTTTTAACAGTGAACGGGTTAAGAATATCTAGATAAGGATCAGTTCTTATATGTTACTAGCTTTCCGCCCGCGGCTTCGCCCGCGTGGAATTTAGTCTGTCACAGAAAAACTTTATCGCGTGCGTCCCTGTATCAAAAACCAGGATAAAAAGTGTCCTAAGTCCTTTCCCGGGACTCATACTATTTCTATGCCAAATTTCATCAAAATCGGTTCAGTGATTTAGGCGTGAAAGCAAGACAGACATACGGTGCAGTACACTAAATACTTACATCGTTTGAGGCGGGTCTATGGTGCGTGAACACAGCCAGGCAGGCGAGCACCAGCCGCACGGCGCCCAACGCCAGCAGGGCGCGGCGTAAGGCGACGGCCTCGGGCGAGCCGAGCGGCCCGCTGGTCTCTAACAGGCGGGACACCACGCGGAACGGCAGAGTACCGAGCGACCAGCCCGCTTCGCCGGTGCCGCTGCCGTTGCCGCCGACTACTATGCTCCCTGTGGAGTACAAAGTTGAGGTTAATATTAATAAAATCTCAGTTACCAAAAATCTAGCACACATTTCACGTGAGCTCCACATGAGCTGTAGTTTAACGCCACGTGAGATCTGGCACAACGTTATGCTCGTAAACACAAATTCAACATTGTCACGTGCCAACTCCAGCTAAACAATATACTAAGCGATCTCCAGCTCAAATTGGCATGTGATCTCCAGCTCAACACAATGCCACGTGACCTCCACGTGACGTGATCAACGTTATGCACGTGCGCAGACACCCCGCTGCGCACCTGCCCGAGCTTAAACTAGCTCCATAAAGGTTATAAAATGCTACTCTACATTACTTAGACAAAGGATATTCGCCTTTGTCCGAGTAGTGTAGTGTCGAAGTAAAGTCATGTCGATATTCTGAAGTGTCGGAGTAACGTAATGTCGAAGTTTACTTAGGTAGCCCTCCAAAAACTAGCGATGGGCGATTATTACTAAATTAATCGAATTATTCGAATGGTCTCTATAATCGAATGTATTCGATAAGCAATAGCAGTCATTCGATTAATCGACGCGTGCCGTATTACTAATGAATAAGTTCGTTCGCTGCGGTCCTGTGAGCGCGCGCCGCACGGTACAATCTACTTTAACGAATTTATTTATATTTTATTTATTTATTTATTCATGAATAGAACGGTAGTACCAATTACACTATTCAAACAAGAATGAATCGTCGCGTGAAGATTGGCAAATAGATTTATCTGAAAATTATAAATAACTTGAAAAAATCGAACTGCCTAAGGCGGGAATTGAACCCACGACCTTCCAACTCAAGAAAACGACGACAAGATGCGACTCTTAACGCTAAAAATTAAATAACTAAATAGATTTATCATTCGATTATTATCGATTTTTTTTCGAATTACTAAATTGACAATCGAAAGTTCGATTGATCGATTGTCGATTCATTCGATTATTTTTTTTCGAACAATCGCCCATCGCTACCATTGCCCCAACGGTACTTACGGCCGTCCTCGTCGTGCGCCACGCCGAGCAGCAAGCGCAGCAAATGCGCAGCACGCGCGCCCTCGTCCAGCAACGCGGCGGCGTAGCGCGGCAGCTTCAGCAGGAGCCCCAGGGCTCCCAGCGCGTGCGCCGGCACCCCGCCGCCTTCCTCCGTCGCTGCACTACTTCCTGAGATCACGCCTAGTTCCACCACCTCCTGTGTACACGGATAAAGCGCGATTAAAAGTATGTTCTATATTTGGAAAGTTTAATGTGATGTGCGAATTTTGAATAGCCGGATCCCCAGCGGACAATCTATAGCGCTCCGACCGCGCGAGGCACCAGGTGCACGAATCGTGGACAAGCCGCGCGCGATTGGAGCGCGCTTCACCCAGGCAATTTTCCCACCTTGAGCGAGAATATAATCGATAATGAGTTTCCATTAGAAGGGGGAAAAGTGCTTTGGTGATAGCGAGATACTGGCTTGAACCACAGCAACAAACATAAGGCAGTTCTACTACCAATTGACTCCAAACTTCCCATCTTTATCGCTTGCGCGTAATTATATTGCTCTCGCGCTCGCACACTAACTGCGGCCGCGCGAGCGATAAGGATGGGTAGCTTGGGGTCAATGGACGAAATTCTATCTACTCGGGGACCAGACTTTAATCGTGAATAAGATGAGGACTGACCTCATAAGGATCGTCCAGCTTGACCCAATCAAGGTCGTGGTGATGATGGTGCTGCGCAGGCGGCGGGTGCGGCGGCGCGTGCGGGCGCGGCAGGCGAGCGGCCCTTAAAGCGAGCCTGCTACGCGCCGCGGACGTTCGTAACAAGTGATAATATGCAGGATTTTCATCTAACCGTGTAGTGTGTAATGTATCAGATACTGTATCAAGTGATTACATAGGCACGAGCCCGCGCGTGGTTCGCAGGGAGATCGCAACGACCCGCCGACTGGCGGTATCACTGCGAGCACAAAGGCGGCTCGCAGTAGGATTCAGGAGCTCGCAGCCAGGTACGCGATGACCGTGGACGAGCCTTACTCACTCGAAGGTTGGTTACGTTACATGCTACGTTACGCGCTACATGGCAGGTGAGTACCCTGCCATTACAAGCACACTAAGGACTGACCTCATAAGGATCGTCCAGGTCATGGTGATGATGGTGCTGCGCAGGCGGCGGGTGCGGCGGCCACTGCGAATGTTCGTAGGACTATGCAGCCTGACCTATACCTATGATAGCAAACACACTATCCTGGCCACACAGGACTTGCAGCGGTGAGAATAGTTCCGTAAGCACAGGGAACGCGGACGAATGCTTGAGGCAAAACGCCGATAGTGATTGTTGGCGGTGGAAGTCTTGCAGTTCATAAATGAAAAGCCGTTTCTTCAAAAGGACTGTATTTGTTCAACATAAAAACCAAGACGAAAGTTCCATGACCCCTTGACAGCTTACAAGTCAAAAAAACATATTTTATTTTTAAATCTAGGGCTAACACCATAAAGGTTAATCAAGGAGTTTAACTAACTAACTAACACTATAAAGGTTCTTGCTAATCGCGTCGCTAACAGTGATGTCCCGCGTTCCTGACTCATATGGCTACCGAGGGCAACGTCAGGTTTTAGTGGGTAGGCCCTGTCCTTCTGGAGAGGGAGAACCCCACATAACCCACTAGCTGCCAATGTATTTTCCTGACGAAAAAAAAGGCCCGTAAGCACACTAGAACTTGCCTCATAAAGATCGTCCAGCTTGACCCAATCAAGGTCGTGGTGATGATGGTGCTGCGCAGGCGGCGGGTGCGGCGGCGCGTGCGGGCGCGGCAGGCGAGCGGCCCTTAAAGCGAGCCTGCTACGCGCCGCGGACGTTCGTAACAAGTGATAATATGCAGGATTTTCATCTAGCCGTGTAGTGTGTAATGTATCAGATACTGTATCAAGTGATTACATAGGCACGAGCCCGCGCGTGGTTCGCAGGGAGATCGCAGCGACCCGCCGACTGGCGGTATCACTGCGAGCACAAAGGCGGCTCGCAGTAGGATTCAGGAGCTCGCAGCCAGGTACGCGATGACCGTGGACGAGCCTTACTCACTTGAAGGTTGGTTACGTTACATGCTATATGGTAGGTGAGTACCCTGCCATAACAAGCACACTAAGGACTGACCTCGTAAGGATCGTCCAGCTTGACCCAGTCCAGGTCGTGGTGGTGATGGTGCTGCGCAGGCGGCGGGTGCGGCGGCGCGTGCGGGCGCGGCAGGCGAGCGGCCACGAGGGCGAGCCCGCCGCACGCCGCGAACGTTCGCAGCACCACGCCGCCGCAGCGCGAGGCGCCCGCGCTCGTGTTCGCCGGCGGCTCCCATGTGGGACCCGACCAGACGTCTGGCGAAAGTACGTTAAGTTTAGGATCACAGATACATCTAATAGTCGTCTCTTCAACAAAAAGGGTGCATCCCAATCAGAGGTTGAATTGTGTAAAGCAATCGTTATCATTTGACAGTTCATAACGTACGATTATTCTATCAAACGCTTTGTTTAACTCACTTTATCGTACGTTATGAACAATTCCACCTCAGTTCACGAATATACAGCTCTTTACCACTAGCTCTTAAACTGAACACAGAAGTGGTAAAACTTATTTTAAATACCCCTCTTTCTGAGTTGAGAGTTAAAAATGGATTGATAACTGCAAGGGGCTAAAAGAAAGAATGTAGTTAAAACTGAGTAACAATAATTGACAAATCTTTCTTGATTAGTTTACTAATGTTTCCATGTACTATGGGCCACACTTCTAGCTAGCCATTTCCGGTCATGTCGTCTCGTTCTATCGCAAAAAATCGCCATTTTATGAGAGCGAGAGAAAAAACGGACGGATTGCTGGTCCACTGTACAATTATAATCAATTTCAGCACATTTGACCACTATGACGAAATATCTATTGGATTTTGAATGAAAGATGACAATGATGGTGCTTTGACGTGTCACATCACATACCACCATTGGTGTTGAGATGCAGCGTGAGCGTGAGGTGCGGTCCGAACGCCTGCGGCGCGGCCATAGCCAGTTGTGCTAGGGTGGTGCTGGGCGGGATGAAGCCCTCCAGACCAGGCACTTGCACCCGGATTGTGGACTCGATGAGTTCTGTGGGACAAAGGATCGATAATATAATTATTATACACTGTAGAACCCTGGTTTTCCTAAATAAATAAATAAGTCTTCCGTGTCACGTTTATCTTCAATCGCAAATAGAATAAAGTTGTTTAATTGACACACAAAATATTTCCGCTTGTTCCCAACGAGTCACACCCATACGAGTAACCTTAATCGTTGGGGAAAAATTCCCATCAGTCACACCGTTACTCGATGGGACATCTCTTTAAAATGTTTTATCCCAACGAGTCACACTGCGCGTCCGCCGCGTCGCTGCTCCGTTTTGAATCCGCTTGTAATCCGCCAGTGTGGCAGCTCACTAACAGTGAAGTCAGTAGCAGTGTGACTTGTTGAAACAAAACATTTTAAAGAGATGTCCCATCGAGTAACCGTGTAACTGGGTGGGATTTTTTCCCCAACGAATAACAGGGTTACTCGTTTGGGTGCGACTCGTTCGTTGGGAACAAGCGAACATTTCGCTTCCAATAGTACAAGTATGCACAGAACAAGGCGCAACAAAAATATCTTCGACTCAGCAGCAGCTTGTCACCCGTGGCAATCTATGCCATGGCCCTGATATTCAGCATATGAAATAAACTAACTATTAATCCTATTCTACAATCATTGTTGTTGCATTGTAACTTTATCGATATTTGTTATTTTTAAATGTACATGTATAAATGTAACAATGTTAGCAGACCTAATAAATTAATAAACAAAGTTCTGGGGTACTTACCATCACTCACACACAGCACGGAAGGCTCATTGGTCGCCTTCAGCTGCCTCTTCTTGCTGTTCTGGTGCTTCAGAGACGTGTTCTTGACGTCTTTGACGCGTTTGTCTTTGGACGCGCTAGCGGCGGCCAGGCTAAGCTCCCAGGCCTCCGCCACGGTCATAATGGCCGTATCCGAAGCGCTGCGAAGCACCGAGTTGGCGCCGCCTGGAGCGGTGCTCACGCACATCTTTGCCGTGTCGTCTATTATTGGTACTGAAAAAAACACGGTAAGGATTACACAAACAAATTATAGTCAAATGGTCATGTCATTTGAAATTGAGGGTAACTACTAAAGTGGAAGAGAGGAAACAACCCTGCGATGCGTCTTAACCGTATCCAGTTAATTGAATTTTAAAATGACGGGACCAAAATTGCATGTTGAATGGAAACCTTGTCTCGGCAAACAGTGTAAGACGCTCTCTTGCGTAATGGACTATTTGGGGAAGAGGCTTTAATTAGTATGAGCGCACTCGCTAGCCCTCATTGATGAGGAATTACTATCTATTCACACTCACGTGGAGGCCTATGCTCAGCCAGCAGCGCCCTCACAGTAGTATGAAGCGGTAGCGTCAACATAGAATGGTGGACGGCCGCCGGGTGCGAGGGATATTGTGGCGACACTGGTGGAGGCACAGATGTCGCGACGTCGCACGCGCACTTATTGTCACAGAGTAATAACTATCTATTCACACTCACATGGAGGCCTATGTTCAGCCAGCAGCGCCCTCACGGTAGTATGCAGCGGCAGCGTCAGCACCGCATGATGCGCAGCCGCCGGGTGCGAGGGGTGCCTGGGCGGCGCGAAGGGTGGCGCGGGCGGCGCGGTGCCACATGAGTCGCACGCGCACTTATTGTTACAGAGTAATAACTTACATGGAGGCCTATGTTCGGCCAGCAGCGCCCGTACAGTAGTATGAAGCGGCAGCGTCAGCACAGCAATATACGCCGCCGCTGAGTACGCGTGGTGGCCAGGCGGGGGTATCGGGGCGCAGCATGCGCATCATTTATCTATAGATTTATCTATTCACACTCACGTGGAGGCCTATGTTCAGCCAGCAGCGCCCGCACAGTAGTATTCAGCGGCAGCGTCAACACAGCGTGATGCGCCGCCGCCGGGTGCGAGGAGTGTCTGGGCGACACGGCGTGGTACGCGCATTTATTGTCACAGAGTAATTACAATCTATTAACACTCACATGGAGGCCTATGTTCAGCCAGCAGCGCCCGCACAGTAGTATGCAGCGGCAGCGTCAACACAGCGTGATGCGCCGCCGCCGGGTGCGAGGAGTGTCTAGGCGACACGGCGTGGCACGCTCATTTATTGTTACAGAGTAATTACTATCTATTCACACTCACGTGGAGGTCTGTGTTCGGCCAGCAGCGCCCTCACAGTAGTATGAAGCGGCAGCGTCAGCACAGCATGATGCGCCGCCGCCGGGTGCGATGAGTGCTTGGGCGGCGCGGAGGGGGCGGGGCTTAACACGCTCATTTATTGTTACAGAGTAATAACAATCTATTCACTCACATGGAGGCCTATGTTCAGCCAGCAGCGCCCGCACAGTAGTATTCAGCGGCAGCGTCAACACAGCGTGATGCGCCGCCGCCGGGTGCGAGGGGTGGCGGGGCGGAGGGCGGCGCGTGCGGCGGGGACCCGCAGGCGCCGCACGCGCATTTATTGTCACAGAGTAATAACAATCTATTCACACTCACATGGAGGTCTGTTGTTCGGTCAGCAGCGCCCGCACAGTGGTGTGCAGCGGCAGCGTCAGCACAGCGTGGTGGGCAGGCGCCGGGCGAGCGGTATATGGTCATGAGTCCGAGTGGCGTGTATGACGGGGAGCCGCAGGCGCCGCACGCGCACTTATTGTTACAGAGTAATAACTTACGTGGAGGTCTGTGTTCAGCCAGCAGCGCCCTCACAGTGGTATGCAGCGGCAGCGTCAGCACGGCATGATGCGCCGCCGTCGGGTGCGAGGGGTGGCGGGGCGGGGCGGAGGGCGGCGCGGACGGCGCGGCGTCGCACGCGCTCTTATTGCCACAGAGTAATTACTATTTATTCACACTCACGTGGCGGTCTGTGTTCGGCCAGTAGCGCCCTCACAGTAGTATGCAGCGGCAGCGTCAGCACAGCATGATGCGCCGCCGCCGGGTGCGAGGGGTGCCTGGGCGGGGCGGAGGGCGGCGCGTGCGGCACGCGCACTTATTGCTACAGAGTAATAACTTACGTGGAAGTCTGTGTTCAGCCAGTAACGCCCTCACAGTAGTATGAAGCGGCAGCGTCAGCACAGCATGGTGGGTTGCCGCCGGGTGCGAGGGGTGGCGGGGCGGCGCGGAGGGCGGGGCGGGCGGCGCGTGAGGCGGGGAGCCACTGTCGCATTTATTGTCACAGAGTAATTCCTATCTATTCACACTCACATGGAGGCCTATGTTCAGCCAGCAGCGCCCGCACAGTAGTATGCAGCGGCAGCGTCAGTACAGCATGATGCGCCGCCGCCGGGTGCGAGGGGTGGCGGGGCGGGGCGGAGGGCGGCGCGGGCGGCGCGTGCGGCGGGGACCCGCAGGCGCCGCACGCGCACCAGGCGCCGCCCCAGCGTAACGCCACGCGCATGCGCGACCCGGATAACACCAGGCGGAGGATGAGAGATCGGGTGAACCCGGAGATACCCTCTGGACCTAAAATATAAATGTGATGACATTTTGTAAAGTAGCTGACACACAAATCCATGACTCAACTGCAACTCATTTAAATCATTAGGAAGCAATATAGCTAAAAGAGGGTACAGTTAGTTGACATGTTGTTACTCTGATTTGTAGTTTGGAGTAGAACTCCGTTTATGGTCATTAGGGACCTACACATGGTCATAACAAAATAGTTTTCGATTAATTCACAGATGTGTTACATTATATGCGTAAAGTCAGAAAAAAGATTCCATGCCACGTTCTAATTTAATCATGTAATGGTAGTCTGACACTAGAGTTGTGACGTAAATTATTATGACCCATATGCACACGCATCGACATCGATGCACGAGTATTAGTATACAGTGACTCGCTCATATGCTAAATGGTCAAAAAACTCGTACGATTTGACTCCTCTTCCTCCTGAGTAACAGTATGAATAGGTACCAAAACTCATCATACATACCAGTGCAGTGCATGGACTCGAGTATCCGGTGCAGCGTGTGCGCGAAGAGCTTCTGGTTGGCGGCGTGGCACACGTTGAGCTCAGCGAACAGCCGGATCGTGGCTTCCTCCAGCGCCGCGTACTGCGCGCCTTCCTGCCACGTGCTGATGGGAACGCACGAGCGTGAGATACGAGTTACAACTAGGGATGTTATGGATATGTAATTTCGGTTATGGATACGGTTACGGATATAGGAATAATATTATGCCGGTTTCGGTTACGGTTACGGATATTTTTTTGTTTCGGATATCCGAAAGTTTCGGTTACGGTTACGGTTACGGATATCTATGCTTTAGAATGCAATTTGCAATAGTTGTCCAAAACGGTTCATTCATAGCGGCACACTTCGCATCGAATAAAAAGTAATAAAAACAAAAATTGATACTAGATGGCATTATAAAGGTAAATCAGGCTATTACCTATACCTTTACATCTAATGCTATACAAAAAATAATTAAAACTGCCCACATACGAAGCTATCCTAAACTTTTAATCGGTTACGGTTTCGGATATTTTTTTTATTTCGGATATCCGAAAGTTTTGGTTACGGATATCCATAACATCCTTGGTTACAACCTACATGGTACGATCGTGAGGCATGATATAAATGTTCTATCTATATATCTATCTATGTTCTATTTTATAATTAGGCTTCAACACATAACATACATAACGTGCATAACGCATTGAGCTGTCTTCTAAACGTTATAACCAAATGCTAATACAACCAGTTATTAATATTGTTACGAAAGCTACACGGAAATAGTAAAAAACAATGTGATAGAACGGTCGCATACATTTGGACTTCAATTATTGAGTAATGAGGAATAAAATTGTAATCTTTTGTAATCCTACTAATATTATAAAGACGAAAGTTTGTGTAGACGTTTGTTACTCTTTCACGCAAAAACTACTGAACGGATTTGGTTGAAACTTTACAGTATTATTATTTGTAACCCAGATTAACATATAGGCTATAATTTATGTAAATCTGTGTTTTTTGTATAGCACTAAATTTCACGCGGGTGTATTTCATAAATGCTTTTTGCCATTGTTCAAACTAAAAATATACGAAAACGCGTAAATTGTTTTTTTTTTTATCCACAACGAGGAAGCTCTTGGTCTGTATCTCACCTGATGGTAAGTGACGATCAGGCCGAAGGTGGAAGCGAGCTTCACCCGGAATCCTCAACCACGGAGGAACTGGCTATCTTACCTCTAACTGCCGGAACACAACAATGCTGTAAACATTGTTGTTATGGCGACAGACTTAGGTAAGATGGTGGTAGCTAGCCAGGCGGACTTAGAACAAGCCCTACCACCAACCAAACCGAACAGAAAAATCTGCCCCCACTGGGAATCGAACCCGGGACCTCTGCGTCTGAAGCAGGTGATCTTACCACTAGACCACAGAGGCGGTTTAAATTTTGTGATTGGTAGGGCACAGAAAACCTACGTTGTTATGTAATTAAGGACAACTTTTTAAGCCATCACTTGAATATACTAGCATAATATACTACTCACGTCTCGGGCGGTCGCGGGAAGCACAGCAGCGTGAGCAGCGGCTGCCAGAAGCAGGCGCCGGTGGTGCCCAGCCACTCCTTCAGCCGCCGCTCGGCGCACAGCGACCGCGCAAACTCCACCAGTTGGCATACGTTTTTCATTGACGGTAGTTCTAAAAAGATGTACAAATGCTGATAAATACTTGTTTATTATTCATTCAATAGGAAAACCATTAGCTAAAACAATTTTACAACGTTTTTCATCTTATAGGCCTATTCAGACCTAAGCGGTATTCGCTACCATCTGCGGCAGAGAAAACCCAGTGGGTATGCGGTAATAATACACCTAAGCGGTATTCGCTACCGACTGCCATGTACCTCTACCCACAGCGGCAGCGAATATCGCTCAGGTCGCTCTAGCCGCGATACTTGATACTAAATACCTGAGCGAAACCCGCGCGGTATGTACCTCTACCCACAGTGGCAGCAAATATCGCTCAGGTTTGAATAGGCCTTTATCTAAGTGTTGCCTTATTATAGGTTGCCATTGTCACGGCGTCAACTGGTGAGCGCAAATAAGATATTCCTCATAGCGTGTGTTTAAAAAGTAACTTACCAGTATTGGGTTGAGGCAATTCCTTCTCACATTCAAGCATGGTTACGTCGTCTTGTGAGGACATTTGCTCTTTGATAAGTTCTAGTTTTGCTTCGCTGAATTCTGCAAAAAGAAAGATTTTTTATTAAATTTTTGTAAAACCAGAATCAATTAAAACACTCTTTTGACACACATGAGTATGATAACAAGGGTAGCTGGCCATTATCACTGAACGGAATAATCGTTAATAGCAAACACATCAAACTACCAGTGCATCAGTTTTAAAAATCCCAAATATAATGAGACATTGATTGTGCTAGCACTGGGGCATTTTTGGAGGCTTCGTCGAACCGTCTAGCTACACCGCGGTGTACTGTCGTTTAGGCATCACAGTTTCAACAAAACAGTTGAAAGATCTGTTTGGAAACGTCACCGATCTTCAGTTCGGGCAAGCGGCAAACGCAAACAGTACAGTCCAAGACAAAACAGCTGTAACTCCTGGTTTATAAGGCCCCCACCTGTGATGGCGCGCACGGCGCAAGCGGGCAGCCGCGAGTGCAGCAGCGCGGGCGTGGCGGCGGGCGACATGGCGGCGGCGGCCACGGTCTGCAGCTGCCAGCCGCGCAGCTTCCAAGCCACGCTGCTGTTGCACTCCGCCGGTTCCGGCCGGCCGGTTGGCATGGCGTGCACTTTAGTGTCGTCGGTTAGGCCTTCCATGCTGAAAAAATATTCATTTGTTAGTCAACATTTTTCTTGAATTACCGCCTTCACATTAGGGCGTCAGAAGCGCGACAGCGTCGTTTTTATAATGCAAAGGCAGACATCCACTGTCTATAGTACGAAATGTGCGCGCTGCTAAAGTCGCCTAAATGTGAAAGCGCACTGAGTCTTTGTCAAATAGAACGCTGTACGTAGCGCGCGCTAGTGAATTGTTTTGGTAGAATATGGATAGTTATATGTCAAACACACACAATGCAGCATGCTAGCAGTACGCAACGTCCTATCGTGGCGTCCTAACTAAAGTACGGCCAACTAGAAGCGATACCAAATGTAAACAAACCCAATGTCATGGTCATTTGGAATAGCAGGGGTTTGACTCTGACATATTTTGGCGGCAAAACGAGATATTACGACAAATACACAAGATGGGACAGAATAGATTGTCAGTTCGACAGTCGAATCGACCTTTTGTATCGCTGCTAGTTGGCCGTACTTTAGATGTCTAGATTTTGTTTGGTTAAGAAATTGGTCAAAATCTTAAACATACCTTTCTTCTTGATCCATTGGAATATCCATTTGTTCCAAAAGCATCTTGAATAATTCCGGGCGAATGTAGCACATTGAGCACAATACTGAAACGATAAAATGATACATAAGTTTAACCTTTATTTATTTATCGAATGCCATGTGAAAATATATCATGTTACTTACTGGAATCAAGGGATTTCTTTAGTAGACTAGATTCGGGAACATCCTTGACCCACGTGTACACTAACTCGAACAAGTCATCTGTGATGAGCTGCTCCAAGTCTTCTAGAGATCTTTCTTCTTTTAACGTCCACAACACCTACAAAAGAAAACAATATTAAATAATGTCGAAAAAAAAACGACTCTATGAGGTAGTCTATGATTGACATATGGACTTTCGTAGTCAATAAGTACAATTTTTATACATGTGTACGTTATTAAACTAAATTAACAAGAGGGCGTCTTTCCCTATGTCGTATAAACAACTGAGCGGTGCTACATCGGTGCCGCCGCGACGGAGCCGCAACGTATTGTATGGCCTCTGAGCCAAAGGACACGATGCTGCCACAGATTTCGCCGTGTCGGCGTACCGCCCGCCACAGATATTTCTATGTAAGCGCTCTTGCACACGACATCGCCGCACCCCTACACTGTAGATACGCGCCGCGTAAAGCACGTCACCGCGCCACTCCCGCGCCGTCAAAGCATAATTTTACCGGTCCACTACACGTTTATTAGTATACAGGGTGGTGGCGGGGCACATAGCTCGTAGAGACGATGGCCATTGGGGCAGGAAAGTTCTCGAGTGGCGACCACGGGTTGGTAGACGTAGCGTGGGCAGGCTTCCTACTAGGTGGACCGACGATCTGGTAAAGGTCGCGGGAAGAACTTGGATGCGAGCAGCATACGACCGTTCATTGTGGAAAACCTTGGGGGAGGCCTTTGTCCAGCAGTGGACGTCATTTGGCTGACACGAACGAACGATCCACAGTATAAAAGCGCGGCGTAGGCACGGCGACAGCGCGGCAGCGGCATCGCGTGCAGGAGCGCTAAGGCCTCAGCCTCGAACTTAGCGGGCAGCGGGGCGGGAGCGGCGGCGGCGCTGGAGCGGGGCGGGCAACGCAGACCCGTTCTCGAAACCAGCGGGCAGCTCGCGCGGCGCTTTAGCGGCGAAATGTTGTGTTCGGGGTTGTGTTGTCGAGATATTTGTTATTATTCGCAAACGAAATGTCTGAACAACAGCGACAATTTTATTTCGATTCAAATTTATTCCTAACGCTCGATTTATTGTGGGCAAAAGAAGGAGTGCGCTGCCCGCTCGTTGCCCGCTCCCTCGCCGCTGCCCGCTTGTTTCCCGCTGCCGCGCCGCTGTTTTCGAGAACCGGTCTATTTGATTTTACGCATAAGATCCTGCCGCTCCCGCGCCGCCGCCGCCGCCGGCGCCCCGCTGCCCGCTAAGTTCGAGGCTGAGGCCTAAGACGATTCAGCGACACCGCCGTCGGAACACATCATGAGCTCTCTCTGCCTATATCATGTTCGGTATTGTCCTCACCGTGGCCACGCCGCGTAGCCAGCGCTCGGCGGCGCCGGCCAGCCACTGCAGGTAGCGTGCTGCGAGGCGTCGTGTGCTCCCTGTACATGTGTGCTCCCTGTGCATGTGTGCTCACCGTGGCCAGCGTGTGCGTGAGCGCGGCGGAGGGCGGCGTGCGGTCGCGCAGCCAGCGCTCGGCGGCGCCGGCCAGCCACTGCAGGTAGCGTGCTGCGAGGCGTCGTGTGCTGCCTGTACATGTGTGCTCCCTGTGCATGTGTGCTCACCGTGGCCAGCGTGTGCGTGAGCGCGGCGGAGGGCGGCGTGCGGTCGCGCAGCCAGCGCTCGGCGGCGCCGGCCAGCCACTGCAGGTAGGCGTGGGCGGCGCCGGCGGGGCAGCGCGCGCATAATTGCCGCACTAGCTCGCACACGCCGTTCATGGCGCCGCCGCAGCCGCGCATGTTGGGGGACACTTGGAACTCTGGTGAATAGAACGATGGTCAAATAAGACACTTTTAGAGCTGCCATACACGGGAAGCCTGGAGCAGTCTATACAGTGTGAGGAGTACCTAAAACTATCTTAGTTTTAGGTACTCTTCACACTAGTCTCACTAGTGTCTTTCGAGTCTAGTTCATCTTGCCACCACCTGCGCGACGTCAACACGTCGACACGGCGGGGGCGCTGGTTTAGTGTTGCTGCGACGCCGACGCAGAGCGGCTGCCGAACGCCGGATCTATAATCCCCTCACTCTGCTGTTTCGTTACTTATCCGAAAAAACATAGCGTTGACGCTGTGCAGGCGCTGGCGAGACGACGCGACATTCAAAAGACGCTAGTGTGGGGGAAGATTGCAAATGAGCTTTCAGATTGATCCAAACCACTCTAATCCCATCCCACTTAACATCAGGTGCGATTGTGGTCAAATACCTGCCTTGTTATAAAAAAAAAAGATTGCCAATTTGAAATTACATGTGTGTAGTTGTAGTGTTAGTACACAAGTATACATTATAAACTTTATATAGAAGAGTACAAGTGGTCTTACCGTGAGCTCTAGCAGCAGAATCGGTCTGCAACAACGCAGTGAGCACTCTCGCGCGATGCGCAGGCGACGGCGCGTGCACGGCAGCGGCTAACAGCGCGTGGTGCGCGTGGTGCGCCGGCGGCCCGCCGCCCAGCACGCACGCGCACAGCGCGTTGATCGCGCCGGCGCCCGCGGCCGCGCCCCAGCGCGTCGCGCCGGAACGCGCGCGCGTGCACGCGGATATCACGCACGCCCAGTTGTTCCTGCGGGAACCGGTACTATTAATACGGTGGCGCTGCTCGTTCGACAAAGTTGTTAGTGGGACGACGGGGCGTTTTTGTTAGTTAGAATTAGGACTGCTTTGGGACAACGCAGTCAATTAAAATAGAGAAACACGGGTCTTAACGCGACCACACCGCGCGTTGATCGCGCCGGAGCGCGCGCGCTTGCACGCGGATATCACGCACGCCCAGTTGTTCCTGCGGGACGCGCTACTATAAATACGGTGGCGCTGCTCGTTCGACATAGTTGTTAGTGGGACAACGGGGCGTTTTTGTTAGTTAAAATTAAGACTGCATGGGAACAACGCAGTCAATTAAAATAGAGAAACACGGGTCTTAGTGCTTGTTCACGTAGGTACGCGCGGGCGCGGGTGCGGGAAACGTTGCAAGCTCGTGTTCACATTAACCACCAGGCGTTCGCGCGAGTGTGACGTACTATCGTTTCTAGCGACAAGTTCAAACTGGTTGAACTTACCTGACGTCGCGAGTGAAACGCGCGCGCCGCCGCTAGTTTGACATGAACACACACAAACATCTTCACGCGTTGAAATTACCGCGAGCGCTCCGCGCGCACCAGTCGCTAGCTTGCCCGCTAGTTAGACCGCACCTGCGTTTCGTGCGTGAACACTTGGAATCACTACATATGTTTGATATTTCGTCACCGCGCCCGCCACCGCGCCCGCGAGTCAACGTGAACAAGCACTTAACGCGACCACACAGCGCGTAGATCGCGCTGGAGCGCGCGCGCGTGCACGCGGATATCACGCACGCCCAGTTGTTCCTGCGAGACACGGCACTATCAATACGGTGGCGCTGCTCGTTCGACATAGTTGTTAGTGGGACAACGGGGCGTTTTTGTTAGTTAGAATTAGAACTGCATTAACAACGCAGTCAATTAAAATAGAGAAACACGGGTCTTAACGCGACCACACAGTGCGTTGATATAGCGCCGGCGCCCGGATATCACGCACGCCCAGTTGTTCCTGCGGGAACCGGTACTATCAATACGGTGGCGCTGCTCGTTCGACAAAGTTGTTAGTGGGACAAGGGGGCGTTTTTGTTAGTAAGAATTGGGACTGCATTTGAACAACACAGTCAGTTAAAATAGAGAAACACGGGTCTTAACGCGACCACACAGCGCGTTAATGGCGCAGGAGCGCGCGCGCGTTAACGCGGATATCACGCACGCCCAGTTGTTCCTGCGGGAGCCGGTACTATTAATACGGTGGCGCTGCTCGTTCGACATAGTTGTTAGTGGGATAATGGGGCGTTTTTGTTAGTTAGAATTTGAACTGCATTGAAACAACGCAGTCAATTAAAATAGAGAAACACGGGTCTTAACGCGACCACAGAGCGCATTAATGGCGCCGGAGCGCGCGCGCGTGCACGCGAATATCACGCACGCCCAGTTGTTCCTGCGGGAACCGGTACTATTAATACGGTGGCGCTGCTCGTTCGACAAAGTTGTTAGTGGGACAAGGAGGCGTTTTTGTTAGTTAGAATCAAATTACGAATGCATTCAATTGGGACAATGCAGTCAATTAAAATAGAGAAACACGGGTCTTAACGCGACCACAGAGCGCATTAATGGCGCCGAAGAGCGCGCGCGTGCACGCGGATATCACGCACGCCCAGTTGTTCCTGCGGGAACTGGTACTATTAATACGGTGGCGCTGCTCGTTCGACAAAGTTGTTAGTGGGACAACGGGGCGTTTTTGTTAGATAGAATTAGAGTCAATTAAAATAGAGAAACACGGGTCTTAAAGCGACCACACATCGCGTTGATATAACGCCGGCGCCCGGATATCACGCACGCCCAGTTGTTCCTGCGGGAACCGGAACTATTAATACGGTGGCGCTGCTCGTTCGACAAAGTGGTTAGTCGGACAACGGGGCGTTTTTGTTAGTTAGAATTTATAGGATTGCATTGGGACAACGCGGACGCAGGCCGCTACCAACCGGGCAACATGGTCAGTGTTGGGGGAGGCCTATGTTAAGCAGTGGACGTCCTATGGCTGAGATGATGATAATGATGATGATGATGGGACAACGCAGTCAATGTTCGTTGGGTAATATCAGTTATGGGCATGATGCTGGCTGGAGTTCGACGATGTTCCAAAGGCCTCACGAGTGATCGTATTACGGTCGTCATCCTTCACGCCTCGGTAGTTCAGTAGGTAGTAAAAAACCTGTCTCGAGTCGAGTCGCGCGGGCGGTAGCGGCGCAGCACGGCGGGCACACGGCCGCTGCTGACGTCACGCGGTACTCACGGCGCGGGCGGCGGCGCGGGCGGCGCGTGCGGGCTGAAGGCGGGCGCCACGAGCAGCCGCAGCTGCAGCAGGCCCATGTTGGACGAGTCGCGCGGGCGGTAGAGGCGCAGCTGGACGGTGGAGCACACCACGGGCCGCGCCAGCGCCAGGCGGATGAACGTCATGCCGGCCGTGCACTGCGGCGGGCCCAGCGGCGCCACCGTGTCGCCACAGCCGGCTTCGATGCCCACGGCGCCTGGGCACGCTGCATACAAAAAATAAACTTTAGCTTCTGCTACTAAGCTAAGAATGCAAGGACCGCTGCTGCGGATCCATAGCTCCCAAAGAATGCAGATTGTATGTATGTAAAATTCAGTAACACATTTCACGACGCGGTTTACACCCGCGGCAAGCACGGTTATTCGCGGCGCCCATTGTACAGGAGGGCAACTTGTAGAAACATGCGGGTCACGGTCAACAACAGCCTCAAAGGGTAGCTCCCCTGTGCTCTGTGATTGGTTGGCGTCTTACAATAATCGTCCGCCAAGTGTGCAGCGGCTTCTTAACCGCACAGAACTCCAGCCTCGTACGTTTGGAAATATAGCCTATGTAATAATGATAACGCTTCTGGGACTCACTGGCTAGACTAGTAAGATGCGACTGCAGCTGCAGCTCGTGCAGCGCCGCAGCGTAGGGCAGCGTGAGCGTGAGCGCCAGCGACGTGTCGTCAGCGCTGAAGAAGTGACTGACACAGTAATAATGTTGCTGGGACTCACTGGCTAGACTAGTAAGATGCGGGTGAGCGTGAGCACCAGAGACGTATCATCAGCGCTGAAGGAGTATACAGTAGTAATGTTGCTGATACTCACTGGCTAGACTAGTAAGGTGCGGCTGCAACTGCAGCTCGTGTAACGCAGCAGCGTAAGGCAGCGTGAGCGTGAGCGCCAGCGACGTGTCGTCAGCGCTGAAGAAGTGGCTGACACAATAAAGTAAGGTAGCTGGTACTCACTGGCTAGAGTAGTAAGGTGCGGCTGCAACTGCAGCTCGTGTAACGCAGCAGCGTAGGGCAGCGTGAGCGTGAGAGCCAGCGACGTGTCGTCAGCGCTGAAGAAGTGGCTGATACAGTAGTAATGTTGCTGGGACTCACTGGCTAGACTAGTAAGATGCGGCTGCAACTGTAGCTCGTGTAGTGCAGCAGCGTATGGTAGCGTGAGCGTGAGCGCCAGAGACTTATCATCAGAGCTAAAGAAGTGGCTATAGTATGTACAGTACAGTAGTAATGTCGCAGGTACTCACTGGCTAGACTAGTAAGGTGCGGCTGCAACTGCAGCTCGTGTAACGCAGCAGCGTAGGGCAGCGTGAGCATGAGCGCCAAAGACGTATCATCGCTAAAAAAGTGACTGTAGTAAGTACAATACAGTAGTAATGTTGCTGATACTCACTGGCTAGACTAGTAAGGTGCGGCTGCAACTGCAGCTCGTGTAACGCAGCAGCGTAGGGCAGCGTGAGCGTGAGCGCCAGCGACGTGTCGTCAGCGCTGAAGAAGTGACTGACACAATAATAATGATGTTGGTGGGTATTTCTTATGAAATCTCGAAATTTGAGATTTTATTTAAATTTCTTTTTTTTTTACATAAACTTAGATATTTTTTGCAGAGATCAGAAAAGTTACTTTTAAAGATCTGTCCAGGGGTATTGGTCTTATATATTTTTTTATATTACCTATAAAAAATGAGGTTTTAAAAAATTAATAAATGAGGGAATGATTAACGGAGTGAGGGAATGATTTATTATTATATTATAGTAAAAAACAACATGTACAAATGGCATATTGGCATGCTTTAAGTTTTGACAAGTATTTCGGGTATTCACTAGTCTTAAGTTTTTACTTAAACTTTCGCTTTTTCCTTTAAATATTTTAATCTTTCTTTTTCCCGCAGTAAATTAAANGAGAATGATTTTCACGGTAATAAAGTAGCCATATCTTTTTTTTCTTTAGAGGTAATACGTTTTCTTTTTATGCAATAGTGGTATAGACAGCGTACATTCAAATAAAAAAAAGACTTATGTAATTTAATGCATGTGACTCGGCACTAATGGCTCGGGAATCAAACTTCGCAATTTGATGAGAAATACCCTGGTATAACTCACTGGCTAGACTAGTAAGATGCGACTGCAGCTGCAGCTCGTGCAGCGCCGCAGCGTAGGGCAGCGTGAGCGTGAGCGCCAGCGACGTGTCGTCAGCGCTGAAGAAGTGACTGACACAGTAATAATGTTGCTGGGACTCACTGGCTAGACTAGTAAGATGCGGGTGAGCGTGAGCACCAGAGACGTATCATCAGCGCTGAAGGAGTATACAGTAGTAATGTTGCTGATACTCACTGGCTAGACTAGTAAGATGCGGCTGCAACTGCAGCTCATGCAGCGCAGCAGTGTAGGGCAGCGTGAGCGTGAGCGCGAGCGACGTGTCGTCAGCGCTGAAGGAGTGGCTGATACAGTAGTAATGTCACTGATACTTACTGGCTAGACTAGTAAGATGCGGGTGAGCGTGAGCACCAGAGACGTATCATCAGCGCTGAAGGAGTATACAGTAGTAATAAAGCTGTGACTCACTGGCTAGACTAGTAAGATGCGGCTGCAACTGCAGCTCATGCAGCGCAGCAGCGTAGGGCAGCGTGAGCGTGAGCGCGAGCGAGGTGTCATCAGCGCTGAAGAAGTGGTAGGACCAGGCGGCCGCGCGAACTCGCCGCGCCGCGCACGTGCCGCGCCCGCTGCTCGTGCCGCTTCCCTCTAGGAGTACGTCCGCCGCCTGCGCGGTCGGGTTGCCGCACGACACCGAACCTGCAACAAGCATTACGTTATACTTCTATGTTTGACGACATGCTTTTTTTGAACTGATATTGCGACGATTATGGAATGGAGCAAGGTTCTGGAATGGAGGCCGCGTACCGGAAAACGCAGCGTGGGACGTCCACCTACAAGGTGGACCGACGACATCGCAAAGGTAGCAGGGAAGCGCTGGATGCAGGCCGCTACCAATCGATCAACATTGAAAGCATTAGGGGAGGCCCATGTTCAGCAGTGGACGTCCTATGGCTGAAATGATGATGATGATGATTGCGACGATTGCGTGCGAGCAAGCACTTTTACTCTACCTTTACTTGCTCTCTCTGAACAGGTGTACCATGAAGATTTTATTGTCAACTAGCAATCAATAGTTTCTCATTAAACAAACTTAAACTACGGACGTGTTATTTACATGATTAGGAATAATTTTAGGTAACCAACGCCTAACGATCTTACATTGTAGAACTTATCTGGTTACTTAGAATCTGCATTTCAAAAGAAACACAAATAATAAGATTGATATGGACAGATGGTCAACCTTAGGATAATATCATTACTTGGACAAGTTTGGTTGATATGGTGACCATAACAAATGAGATAACTTATATAAGATTATAAAACAAAATATCATGAATAGACCATCATTGTCTCGTTAATTACCACATTAAAAACCACAACATCGATATAATAATATTCACAAGTACAGTTGACTTACACAGCGGTGCAATGTTGACGAGCCCGTTAGTGGTCTCAATGACGGGCGGCTGGTTCTTCTTGCTGCTGGTAGCGGGCGTGGACAGGTTGATGAGCTGCGGCGGCAGCTTCAGGTAGTTCATCAGCGAGGACACTAGCCCCTGGCTGTTGCTCGGTCCTGACTGCAAAAGAAATGGATTGGAAATTGAAAATTACTTCACAGTTCAAATAAAGTCTTATTTCCGTTAAATATCACGTGGCTGTGTTTCGTTTACCGTCGGAGAAGCCTGGGTATTCATGCTAACGTTTGTCCAAACCAAAGTCGCCAGTATACAAGATGTATCTGAAAAAATATTGCAGCTTCAATCCACTTCGGAATAGCACCTTTAGTACCGCTGGTCGGGAATAGCATCCTTAAAATTCATGCTTACTTGACCTTCGATGAAGAAAGTAATGTAATAATCATGCAAGCCGTGGTGGAAATCCTTGAGATGAATTTGTCCAGCAGTGGGTGTCATTTGGCTGACATAAACGAACGAAGTAACCCGGTAACGGGACGATGCCCACCTCTCATCTTTTCCACCGCTGCAACTCCTGTGTAGCCAGGACCTACAGCTTGACAATTAATAAAAACCCAGCCAGTGAAGGTCAAGTTTGAAGTGCCCCGGTAAAAAACGGGACTATTCCCACCTCTCCTTCCCACCACTGCAACTCCTGTGTAGCCAGGATCTACAGCTTGACCGCCACAAAAACCCAACCAATAAAGGTCAAGTTTGTCCCGGTAGCTTACCAGGTGGCAGGCGGTGAGCTTCTCGACGGCCAGCTCCAGCCCGCCGGCCTCGATGAAAGCCGCCTGCGCTTCGGGCTTGTCCAGCAGCCGGATAATGAGCTGCTGCATGGCTTGAGATAGGTGGACGACCTCTTCTTTCCCTGAACAAAAGATAGGAGAGTTTAACACCAAGACGCATAACTAGCGGGACTATTCCCAAGTTGCAACTTCTGTGTAGCCAGGATCTACAGCTTGACCGTCAATAAAAACCCAACCAGTGAAGGCCGAGTTTATCCCGCAGAAAGTGGCGAATAACTAGTGGGTTCACATCTACAAGAATACATAAAGACTTACCCCCTTCCTAATAAAACTTATACTCTAACGTTTAGTATGGAAATCTACTATATAAAAATAAGTCGGGTTTTCCTCCCTGACGCTATAACTCCAGAACGCACGAACCGATTTCCACGGATTTGCATTCGTTGGAAAGGTCTCGGGCTCCGTGAGGTTTATAGCAAAGAAAATTCGGGAAAAGGGGGTAAAACACGCGTACGAAGTCGCGGGCGGCCGCTAGTGTCATTATAAAACATTCATTGTAAGGGGGGTAAAGAACTAAGCTCAATCGGCATCTAATTCTCAATTTAGTAACCGAGTGGTTCTGGGAAAAAAAATAGTATATCGAAATCTCAAGTTCATATCAGATGAAAGCGTTTCAAAAGCCTAGTTGCAAAAATAAACTAACCCTTATTACGTAGGTAATGACGACGCAAAACAATGGTTACTTACTGATGAAGTCCATAATGCTAGAAACCATAAGCACAGGGTTGGCAGCCACGCTAGGGATGGTGGCTACAAGCCAGAACACCTCCTCCTTCAGAGACGCGTAGTCGCCAGCCGTCTCTGAGTTCATTCCTGAATATAAAAGGCAATAAATTAGGAACATATTTCAAACACTTGATTGATAGTCAATGTTATTCAGTTAATAAGATAAAGTACATATTAATTATTTACCCGAGTTCAAAAATAGGTTACTCATGCCGTCGCACATGGACAGCGTTCTGTAGAATCTCTCCATAATGAGTGGGTGTTGTAGTACTGTGGACAAAAAAGATAGATTAAAGGTACAGATTAATTTTCTTTCCTTGATAAAAATCGACCTTAAAGATTAATAAATAGGGTTGATTGTCGTTGGGGGCAGCATCCTATGTGTGCTGCGCCCGCGCATTTCAACAATCAACCTTGTGCACATAACATTAGGGTGTATTTACCTGTGTCAGCGTGGCAAGGTGTTCTCGCAGCTTGCTGCTTGCGTTCGTCTTCCACATTAGTAGCGGCGTGCTGTGAATGCTGCGCCTTGCTCTCGTCCGTTTGTGACTGTTCACCGGTAGACATGTTCGGACTTGATCCAGACTGGAATTGGAAAAAAAGTTGTTAGAGGAACTTTTGCGTGGTTTCACAGTTAGAAAGTGGTATTTTAGGGTTCCGTAGTCCTGACAAAGAAAAGGGTTCTTTGTCTATAGTTTCGATGTGTCTGTCTGTCTGTCCGAGGTTTTGCTTGGAAACTATTGGCACTAGAGAACTGTAATTTTGTAGAGGTATGTATATTAATTACGCCGACAAAACGGTAAAATAAAATTAAAAAAAAAATACCCTACCCTACCCCCTACGTGTAAAGTGGGGATGAATTTTTTTTCGTCTTCTACCCCATCGAGTAGGGTATCGTTAGATAGAGGTCTTTTAAAATGGCTTAGGGGTTTCTAGGACTATTTTTCCATCTAGGGATTACCGGCGCGGGCGGCGGGTAGGGCACGGCCAGCAGCTTGCGGCAGTAGTGCAGCAGCTGGGCCAGCACGGCGCGTCGCAGCGGGGCGCGCCGGCCGCCGCCGCCCAGCACGTCGGCCAGCAGCCCGGACAGCCGCGCCTCCGACCCGGCCTCGCCGCGCGAGCTGTTGCTCTCGCGCACCCAGCCGGCTGACATGTGAGCTGGGGAATAAAGTGCTGTTAGTGAAGGAACGAATTTTAAGCGGCACGTAAGGGAGAAGCCACACGTTACGGTGCGGCGCCGCCTCGCTCAATCAAAGTTCGGGGCAGGCCTGGCTCACTCCGCGCGGTACATCCGATAATTACCTACAGCGAAGCGCCCCGCCGGCGGGTATTATATCAGTCGAGTGTCACGCGCGCGCTCGTCAGGACGCTGGCGTGCGTTGTAGTATGATTATAATTCTATGATCGAAGTAAAAATGGACATAAAGAGAAAGAAATATTGTGTGGCGTTCGGGTGTTTAAATTCGAAAAGTAATCTACCGGATTCATCTTTTTTTTCGCTTCCCAAAGATGCTGAGAGGTATGTTGGCCATGTAGGTAATCAATAATTCTTATAGTATATCCAATATAGCTTGATTAAAATGACAGCTGTCATCAAAAGTAACGACATAACTTTGTAGTAGCGATCAATGAGAGCTAAATATTGGCGGACAAGAAATAATTCACGTCTGACCTACAAACAATATTTTCGACGACAGTGCTTCCAATAAAAATGTTAATTTCGTGTAAATGCAGCGTTAAATTACACCAATAAGTAGTAATTCGAAATTATAAAAATCAAGCTAGAGTATTAACGACGTCTCTACAAGGTTATCTCGAGTTACAAAAATGTTAGTGTTGGGACATAATAATATCGACATATCATATTAAATTAAAACTATTTTTTTAACATATTTAAGTCAAGTTATACGTTTTTCTAAATGTTCACTATTAAAAACCAAAAAACATTTCATTCTTAAATAATAAAACATCGGAAATCAATCACCGGTAATTTTTTGGGTATTCATAACACCGTTGCTCTAGAAGAGATGCCCACCGCCCTTAGCGAGAGGAAAAAACCACTGAAGAACACTGATGATAATGACTACGACTTAGGTTGTACACCCTTGACATGAATTTTATATTTTACTGTCTTTAAATTTAAATTATAATTGTCATTTTTATGAATGAAGATATGAAGAAAAATTGGGTGCATTTTTTTATATCATTTTTTCGAAAACTTATCGATACATCTATGTGAACCGTACGAAACATACCCAGCACTAGTCACATTCGTTTGACAGCTGTCATTCTAATCAAGCTATATTGGATAGACTATAGTTAAGGAACGAATTTTAAGCGGCACGTAAGGGAGAAGCCACACGTTACGGTGCGGCGCCGCCTCGCTCAATCGAAGTGCGGGGTGTGCTTGCGGTGCGGCGCCGGGACGCACCGTCTGGCATATCATTGAGTTTTATAAGCAGGACGCCGCAGCGGCGACGACCGCACCGCACCGTGTGGCTTCTCCCTTACATGGCACTGCGCTGCACGTCACTTATGTAGATACTATACATCGTTCCTCGATGCTACAAGAATGTTATGACGCTTTGTGCTGCGCCAAAAAGCTCAGCACAGCGCCAATCGATTGACGTGCGTTGTATCATTAAGAGATGTCAAAACATAATTATCTCACAAATTTTGTATATGCAGGCTGGTGAAGTCACTGTTACAGAGCAATCTAAACGCACACCTCGCTGAAATGCGACTCTCCCTCCCCGCGTTTGCCCCGTCCGCACCGGAGCGTCAATGTGACGTCACGGCTGCCAGGTGCACAGTCATAACGACAGGGTAGTAATGTTATGTTATTTCAGAAATGTTGTCTTGGAATGATTTATTTATATTTAGGTATTTATTTATTTATTTAGGAAAACTAGGGTTTTACAGTGTATAATAATGACATGAGATAGGCAACGAGTAAACCACTTAAATAGGTTCCCACAGGTAAAAACAATTGAAAAAATTTAGTGAGCCTTTGCACCAGGGCTATTACATACTACGTACTACAATACTATAATATACTACGTATACCTAAATAAAAAGTATTGGAAAACATTGCCAAACAGAAAAACTATTTAGCTATCCTTAAAAAAATTGGTGAACGAGATCTAATATACAATTTAGTCTCTAAGCCAGTCACAGCGTCAGCCACTCACCGACGGTGTCGAGCAGCGCGACCGCGTGCTGCGTGTGGCGGCCGCTGAGCAGCTGCAGGATGGACAGCGCCAGGCGCAGCAGCGTGGCCTGCAGGTCGTAGGCCTGGCCGGGCTCGCCGCCGCGCCGCCACACGCTCGCCACCATCCGCAGCGACGCCAGCGCGCCCGCCGCGCCGCGCGCGCACACCACGCGCGACAGCAGCGCGTGCAGGGCGGACGCGGCGCCCGCGCCCGCGCCGATTGTGGCTCCGCCCTAACCGACACAATAATGATCAATCGCATGATTCGTGTTCTTCGTGTCACACCAATAACTTTCCTGGACTCAAACGATAGTGACAATCTCACAACTCATGCTCCATCGTAGCACACCAATAACTTCGCTGGACTCAAGACCAGCAAAGATTGAGGTATGGAAACAATATAATGAAAGAGCATTATTATCAGTGTGTGCGTGCACGCGGCATACGTATTGGCGCGCTCACATACAAACCGCGCTCGGGCGTTTCTATGAAGATGACCTACTCATTTGTATTTACTCTGATATTACGGGACTATTCCCACCTCTCTTTCCCACCGCTGCAACTCCTGTGTACCCAGGATCTACAGCTTGACCGCCAATAAAAACCCAACCAATGAAGGTCAAGTTTGCCCCGGGGGAAAGTTAAACTGACATTGGACCTACAATGAAATTAATCAGAAGAACATAGGAGGAGTTCGAAGTTAAGGTTCGACTTCCCTCCGTTGCAAAGCGGATGACGAGGAGAGCATACAAATTATAATAAAAACCATTGTGCTCAACCTCTATTATGGGTTTCAAAACCGTAACTAATTACGTACTAACGTCATTTTTTTTTAAATATGACGCTCATTTTCTCATCAAAAAGTCACTACATAACGTATTTATGCAATGTATAAGTATCAAACTTACGAGATAAGGTTCTGATGAGATTACAGCACCATCTGTAGCAACATTCATGGTAATGAACTTCACCACAGCCGGCACGAAGTGCTCGCATTCAAGTATCACTCGACCCATCGTCTGAGTGCTGCCTTCCATCTGCAAATAATGACAAAATGTTAGTTACAGAAAGAGGATTTTGAAGGTTACGAAAGCTGAAAAATTATTGTTAGTTTTACAAACCTGCAAAGGCAAATTGGTGATCCAGGCGAGGGTTTGCATGGATAACACCCAACACCTCAGCGATACGTTTTCCAATCTGAAAACAAAAATCAACATTAGTCTTCCTAGAAGGATCCATATACATAACACATTTTGGTGCTAAATTATACAACGGAGATAAAACATACCAGCAAACTTCGCAATGCGAAGCCAGGCATTCAATCAATTTTGAGACAATCTGTGTAATTTGATGTTCTATGGTTTGTAATTTTTTTTTTTAAATTGGTGTGGGGCTTGAGCTTAGGGCTTAAACTTACGCGGGCGCAGCGCAGTGCGGCGCAGACGCGTGCGACGAGTTTTCACATGCGGGCATGTATTATTAGGCGTGTACCTGTGCAAGTTTTAGGCCCGATTTCCACCAAAACGGAGCGGAGCGGAGAAGTGTCGGATCGTCAATTTTTTCTATAGAATTTGACAGCGACGTTGAGTGGAGCTGTACGGAGCGAAGACGAGAAGTGGAAATAATGAAATCTGATTGATTAATTCAACACACTTCCCTGCTCTGCTACGCTCCACATTGGTGGAAACCTTGAGCTTGAGCCTTAAGCTATAGTCTGGTCCGGGAGCACGTAGAATCTTGTCCAATGACCCCAACCTACCCTAATTATATTGCTGTCGCGACTGTGCGACGGGCGGCCGCAGTGAGTGTGCGAGCGCGACAGCAACATAATTACGCGTGAGCGATAAGGATGGGTAGCTTGGGGTCATTATTTATTATTATTGGTTTTGGGCCTTCATTTGCGCCAGCTCGACCAGGTTTGATCTATTGTGGCAGCCCTTGTCTTTAGAGTTCAGCTGCTTAGTCCCGTTGAGTCTATAAATTTCCAGATTCTTTGGAGCGTGACATCTGCTATCTCATCCGGGTGCATGATGTGTCGCCCGAGATGGATACTTCTTTTGCTCATAAGCGGGCCGCATGAGCAAAGAACATGCATGGCCGTTTCTTCTTCTGTATGGCAGAATCTGCACAGAGTTTCCTCGGTCATGTTCATGTTTGATTTGTGTTTGTTTAGTTTGCAGTGGCCGGTTAGTATTCTAGTCACTGCACAGGCTTTGTATCTTTTGAACTTTAGCAGTTCCTTAATTACTTTGTTGCTATATCCCTGAATGAGTGCTTTTGAGTGTTTTTGTCCCGATGTAGACTTCCACCACTCAATAGCCTCTTGTTTGCAGAGGGCGGTTGGACAAGATTCTACGTGCTCCCGGACTAGACTTTACAAGTGTGTACCTCACGTGCACAGCGACTGCAGCAGCGCGTTGACGATGTCGGCGGGCACGGCCAGCGTGGCCAGCGACCACGCGCCGCCCCACGCCGACCCGTTGAGAGTCAGCGTGCAAACCTTGAGCTTGAGCCTTGAGCTACAAGTGTACTCACGTGCACAGCGACTGCAGCAGCGCGTTGACGGTGTCTGGGGCGAAGCGCACGCGCGGCATGTCGGCGGGCACGGCCAGCGTGGCCAGCGACCACGCGCCGCCCCACGCCGACCCGTTCAGCGTTAACCAGAGAGCTATCACGTTCTCCATGAACGTGCAGTCCATCTGTGGATTAGTAAAATAATAAAAAAAAATTGTAGCCAATTACAAAAGACAATGCCGGAAATTGGCGTCTTTTTTTTTCGCGCGGCAATCGACCAAACTTTGTTTTTTTGATTACAAAATAGTGTAATAAACCAAACTTACTATGACATGTATACCTCTAAACTCAGTCTGAACTGAGTTACGAGCGTTAGAAGTTTGATGATTTACATACTAGATGTTTGTAGACGCGCAAGTTTTGTGTGAAATTGCAACAAAATAGTGACATTGTATGTGTAAACAAACAATACCATCCATTAAAGGCCCCAGACATCAGTGTGGAGTAGAATCAGCGCAACAAAAAAATAGCGGAATATTTTATTGCAATCCCAACTAATATTATAAATGCGAAAGTAACTCTGTCTGTCTGTCTGTCTGTCTGTCTGTCTGTCTGTCTGTCTGTCTGTCTGTTACGCTTTCCCGCTTAAACCTCGCAACCGATTTTGATGAAATTTGGCATAGAGATAGTTTGAGTCCCGGGAAAGAACATAGGATAGTTTTTATCCCGGTTTTTGAAACAGGGACGCGCGCGATAAAGTTTTTCTGTGACAGACAAAATTCCACACGGGCGAAGCCGCGGGCGGAAAGCTAGTTTCTTATAAAACTTGAGCGCAAAAAGCAAATCTAGTATGTAAATCATCAAACTTCTAACGCTCGTAACTCAGTTCAGACTGAGTTTAGAGATATACATGTCATAGTAAGTTTGGTTTATTACACTATTTTGTAATCAAAAAACAAAGTTTGGTCGATGGCCGCGCGAAAAAAAAAAGACGCCACCTTCCATACAAAATCTGGCATTGCCATTTACATAGACAAATATTAAAGCGTTAATGACTGCAGCAGTCGAAGACTGTGTCGCAGTCATTAGCGCGCTCCTCTAAGACAGACGCTATAAAAGCATTGGTTCCCAAAGTGGGGGGGGCGCGCCCCTCAGGGGAGGCGAGGGGGGGGCACGAAATTTTTTGGATGTTTGAAAGGGGGCGCGTCTCAAATAAGTTTGGGAACCTATAGCATTAGGATTTAACACATTGAATTAGTGACGTAATGAGAAATGACGCGTTATCAAAGTCGGTGTAAGTGTACACAGTGTCAAAGGTAACGCCGACCCGTTTAACGTCAGCCAGAGGGCGATCACGTTCTCCATAAACGTGCAGTCCATCTGTGGATAGGAGCGAATTAGTGACAATCAGAAAAACAAATAGGGTCTTACACCTTTTTTTGAAATATGTTGTAAATCAATCGTAAGGTTATAATGAACCAGTGGAATTTTAATTTTAATTTTTAAAAGCCTATAAATGACTTAAAACTTGAGTGTAAATATGATTTTGACTTTTAGCGCGGAAACGCTAGCCGCCATGCTGACTCGGCTCGTGACGTCACTCCGTTAGTTTCTTTAACTTTACTTTAACTTTTTGCTTTCACAAAATCGTCCTCCATGACGCCATTTTTCGCCATTATCACAAACAAATTCAATATTTTACACATAAATCTAGCCAAAATCTACTTGTTTACTAACGTAGTGACGTCACTGCGGATCCGTCATGGCGGATGGCGTTTTAGACATTTGAAGAACAGATTAAAAAGATGCGTTTTTAAAAGTGAATTTAAAAATTCTATTTGCACTTTTATGTAAAAAATATCAACGTTTCCCGTTTAGTTTTTATGAAATCTATTAAAGACATGCATTTTTATATTTTTTCTTACATGGAGTAAAATACCCTATTATCAATGACTGCGATCGCAGTGTCAAAGTCAACGTTCGTCAACGAACGTCCGTTCAGCGTTAGCCGAGGGCTATCATGTTCTCCATGAACGTGCAGTCCATCTGGAGGCAGGAGCGAATTAGTGACGTCATCAGAAGAAGCGAGTGTTATCAAGTCTGCGATAGCAATGTCAAAAGCATTTACATAAAAAACCGGAATTGACATTTTATAGAATTGAAATGGCGGGGTAGAAATCTGAGAAACTTTTGTGTTCTGTTGTGTATAGGTCGCGCAGCAAGAGTTGCGGCGATCAACACCTTTCCTTGTGTACTACCCGTTCGCGCTAAGTTTCCGGACCGTGAAATGCGGGTCCCCTCCCCCAACCGCGATTAAACGCAATTAATGTGTTTTATTTTACGCAAATACACAATTTTTATCAATAATAATAAATAAACAATATTTTATTTAAATACGACGCTACCCTTCGAGTGAAGTCATATCGCCAGCGGCAAACTTAAAGCGAACGGATAGTACTGTATCTGTATACGCTTGTCGTCATCTTGTACGCTTCTTCTCAGCACTAGCTCATTCATTGTCCCGAAGCAGTGGTGGAGTTAGTACTGGGACGTGTAAAAGTGCTTTTTAAAAGTCTACTTGCAAGAATAATATGAGTTTTATGACTGAGCAACTAGTGATAATCCCACCTGATAGTGGAACTCCAGCGCCAGATGCCTGAACACGTCATACAGCGTGTGCGTGAGCGGCGGATGCGGTCGCGAGCTTGGCGACGTAGGCTGCGGCGGCGCGGGCGGCGGCGGCGGCGGCGGCGTCGGCGCGCGTAAAGCGGCGGCGAGCGCCCCGCCGGTATTTAGTAGGGCGCGCCTCGCTAGTGCCTCGGCGGCGATGCCCGCGCCTCCTGCGCCGCTCTCTAGGCGAGCGTCGCCGCATTCTGATACCACGCTGAAAGCAAACAACAAAGTTTACACCCGTATTCACAAACGATGCTTCAATCAAATCAAAATCAAAAATATTTATTCAGTTTAAACCACAAGTGGCACTTATGAACGTCAATAGAAAATAATAAAAAAAAGAAAAGGTAGCCCTTATGGGGCACTTTACAAGTCTCCTTATCTTTTGGGCCCTACCAGCGCTTCGAGACAAACTTGCTTGCTTAAGTGAAGCAGCAACTCGAACACACAGCGTTGAATAGAGCTCTGTGGTTGGTTCGTGTGTGACCCTGTGCGTCCATGCGAACTGTGAGACCTCATAGTAATGTTTGTGAATACGGGCGTTAGTCTTTCTATGACTTCTCGGTCGCAAGTTCATGGTGTCGAAATATGTTTAGGACTCCACATTCAGAATTAGACTGTTACTTATGAGATGGTGTATACAGGGTGTTAGGTAAATGGGTATACAAAATAAATTTTATATAATCCGATTTGTATGAAAATTAAAATAATTAAAATGAAGATATCAATTTTCTGACTTCACCATACCATTTATATGACCATGTTAACATGGGCTAGTGTCGGCTCATATACCCATTTACCTAACACCCTGTATACTAAGTTTTAAATAATTATCATCATTTCAACCACATGACGTTTACTGCTGAACATAGACCTCCCTCAATGACTTTTGTATCGTCCGGTTGGTATAGATGACCTACACTGAACTGTCCCACCAAACTCATTGACAGGGGGGCGCCTCCATCGTTCAACTTTAGTTTCCAACATGGTAAAAATCGGAACCAGCGATCCGGTCGTCCTCCTGTCAATGTCACGGGTGGGACAGTTGGTATTGGATCTACAGCAGCATACACCCAGCGCGCCTTCCTGCTACCTTTATAAGGTCATCGGTCTACCTTGTGGGTGGAAAGATTCTTAAAAACTTTAAATCCTTGGACAGTCCTTGTGGGTGCAAATATTCTTAAAATCTTTAAATCCTTGGACAGTTATTTTCTAAAAACACATATTGCGCCATATCTCCATGATTCACAACATCTAACGTTCATAACACAGTACAAAGCACATACCTGGTGATATTATTATTATTGCTTACTTTGGGGCTAGATGGCGCTGTGTGAGATTGTCCAAAGATATTTATTTATTTATTATTATACCTGGTGATATTGTCAATGGCCAGTTTGCTCCTGGTCTCCTTCTTGACGGCGACGGCGTCCAGGAAGTATTGCTCGAGCTTCTCCTCGGTCTCCGAGTCGTCTGACTCGGTCACTTGAGCAAGATGCTCCTCTATCTCGATGTCTTTGATCGATTCTGAATGGACAAAATAAGAGTCAGTTAGCTTTTGGATAACGGTCTGAGAAAGAGGAACGCGTTTGAGCGGCGCTGTGCTGCATACTATTAAATTAATTTAATTAGAAAGACGGTTTCAAACTTGTCATTGAATCCAGTGAATTAGTATTCAATCTCGTTTGACTTTGGGGTCGTGGCACGTTGGACACGCCGGCAAGTTTACAGAATAGTCTCAGTCAGTATAGTGTATGACAGTGCTTGGTAAACAACATGGGGGTAGAATTATATTATTCGATTCGATTGCTCATTCGACGCTGCAGCCAGCCTGTGGCCACTGGTGAATCGAATTTCATTCTCGAGATTTATTGGAATATTTTGACGTTTTATGCCGCGCTACGTAACACCGCTCAAGTATGGCCCAACCATAAGTAGTATGAGGTGAATGATGGTTATTGTAGCAATGGCCGAGATGACAAAATCTTACAAAATGGCAGACGATTACCCGCGGTTGAGTTAGTCACATCACAGGAAAATTATGTCGTTTTAGTGTGATCATATCATCAATGTAGATGACTAATCGATTAATTAAATCGATAAATATCTAAATATCAATCAACGAAGCAAAAGCTAAAGTAGAACTTTATGTTTAACATCATCTAGCATCTATCGTGTGCTGCTAGGTTTATGTTTAAAGATGCGTATTAAAATTCCTCTAATACATAGGCGATTGTGCTGTTTCTCTACTTTTTGCTAATCTAACCTAACACAAACACACAAAGCGACGTCTTGTAACTGAGAACACAATATAATAACCCTCCTTCTGGCGCAGTTGGGTAAAAAGTACATTGTCTGTCGAGAGCAACAACTTCTGCAATGGCGTGCAAATAATATGAAGCGTTGGGTCCATATTGCATTATCAAGCGGTTATTTTCCAATATTATCGATTTATGCGCCATAAATGAAGTCTGCTTGTCGTCTGCTTCTGTATAAAGTGGCATTATACTCTCTTATTGTAAAACACTAATATTGTGGCAGTTACATATTTTATGTGAGTGAAATGTTATGTTACATCAAAAAAAGCAAATAAAAATGAAATAAATAAAAATAACCTCTAATAATTGTGATTTTAAGTGGGTTAACTAAAGGATGAGCTTATTTTTGATGGGTGTACCCGGCAGAGTGAATGCGTAATTCATAGTAGGTCACAAGTGCATATTTTTTAGAGCTGACTCCTGGACTATCACTGGCTTTGGCATATGAGTGCACATCGTACTGTGCGTTAAGCTAACAGCCTAGTCGCCATAATTGCAGACGCCCTAAGAAACTTGGCACATAAACTGCGTCATCTCTCTGCCATACCATCGGCAGACAATCTCCCGATAAAATCATCGTGGCGATATTTGTCAATGGAACCAGAAAAGTCATAAAGGCAAAAACTATCTTTAATTTATTAGAGTCTAATCAAAACTAAATAAAGGCGATATTTTCGGGAGATTGAACTACCGTCACATTTACCCACCCCAGTTATAAGTGCAATAATGTAATGTATGATAAGGTGCAAGCTACACTTCTCCGTATGAACCGCGATGTTTAGAAGCAAGCGACAAACAGACCACCGCGGCCGCCGCACTGATTGTTACTGCTGTACCTTGTGTGACAATTTTGGGCTTGCTAAAGTTGCTACTCTTCACCAGACCAAAACTATCGGCTAACGCATCTGCAAAAACAATAATTTTGTACGTGAGATCTCTAATTATGTCAGAGAACTGTTATTTTGTTTCGGTGATGCCACTTTACTCTCATCAAGTCTGTTTGATGCAGTATGGCAAAAACTAGTCAGAGAATTATTAAAATAAAAAATCAATTCATAATCCTAGGTTTTAAAATCTGCTTTTTGTGAACTACGATTTTTTCAAGAGCTTAACACTTTACAGGACTAGCATTTAACTATTAACGTTATCTTGTATTGATCACACAATATTGTAGCACACATCACATGACAGTAGACTAAAGAGTCCAAGCCAATGAGCTGCTTCAAATTGATCAACTTCACATTTTCCGCCACCATAGGAGTATCTATATTGAAGCACCATTTTCATACACAAAACTAAGCACAACAGTGTCGCATAATCGATTTAACAATTAATCGATTTTGCTCCACCTATCGATAGTATCGAAATTGATGATATCAATTAAATTAGATCTTATTTTATAACAATCAATTATATCGATTAATAATCGAATAATTCTTTACTTTGAGCTCTATTGCACTATCGATTATGCATCAACATTATGTTCGAATAATACCTGCGACAGTGGCGCCCTTGGGGCGTGGCTTGGGCGCGGGCGGCGCGTGGTAGCGCGACGAGCCGGCAGCAGGCCACGCCTCTTCCGTCGACGCAGACGGGCTCGTGTTGGGTGAGCCGCTTTCGAATTCTACTAAGTCCTGGGGACAAAACATTTTATTTTAGCCACCCGTTAAATAAAAATAAATAAATAAATAAATCATTTATTTGCTCAGAAACATGGTAACAAAATGGTCGATAAAAAATGTCAAGTCCAACATGTTTTGTCCAGGGTAGGCATGCAAATTTTACAAAATTAGAATCTACATATTAATAACAATAAGAACTTTAAACACCAAAAATCATGAAGTATACATATTGATTGACACAGCACTCTCGACTCTATTGCCATACCTGTAAGAGCGTGGTGAGCGCGTGGCGCGGCCAGGGCGGCAGCGTGACGGCCAGCCGCGCTAATCCTAGCACGCCGGACGGCTCTAGTAGGCCTGCGCCGCCACACACGCAACACAGACGGCCCACCACCTGCAAAGTGACCCTCTTATTACAAACAGCTGGCTTAAAAGGGCCAAATATAATGAATAAATTGTAACATCCTGCGCATCACAAAACAACGCTCAAATCACAGATGAAACGTCAAGCCTAAGAACTTCGCGTCGTTCACAGTTTGAATGCTTAAAATTATATCAATACAAGAGCCCAACGATGTCGGCAGGTTAAAAATAGGACTGCAGATTCGAATTCGATATAATATAGGATAACTTTAGGCCTCCAGCTACATGGATGGATGACCTCAAAAGACATGCTTTTTTATGCTCCTCTTGAGAGGCTTAATTTCATCATTAGAATAAAGAGATTGGATCTTTAAATAATATTTTACAACGTCGCTGCTCTTATAAACTACCATTAAATACTCGCTATGGAACTTAGAAATAAATAAATATAATTAAAACCACCAACCTTAGCGCACAACAGCAGCGCATCCCCATCCGAGGCGCTATCAGCCGCTAGCATATGTGCTACCAGCGCGGCGCCAAGTCGCGAGCCGAGCTCGGGCGGCATAGGGCGCACGGACCGGGCCTCCACCGGCGGCCCGGAGGCCTCGGCCTTCGCCCCCGCGTCGCGCTTGCCCACCATCGCCATGCGCGCCTTCAGACCGAAACGGGCACGCTGATACAGACGGCAAAAGTTTGTGGTGTTTAGCTACGTTTGGGGAATTTGATTTTGTTGAGTTCATTTGTTAGATATGGCGAAGCGAGATGAAGCGCAAGTGTAGACTTTTAACGATTGTGAATTTAAATTCTTGTAGTTTTTACAAGTATTGTAAGATAGTTATTTAATTTTTAGCGTTAAGAGTCGCATCTCAAAATTTGAAAATTATAAATAACTGGAAAAAATCGAACTGCCTAAGGCGGGAACTGAACCCACAACCTTCCGCTTGCCGGGCAAATTCCCGTTAATCAGTTAAATTTTTTCAAGTTATTTACAATTTGCAAAATATTGTAAGACAGTAAAAATTCAAGATAATTATTAGCATCATCGTTAATTTTTATCATTTTCTATACACACAAACACAAGCCCAATGTCCAGTCGACAGCACATCAAATATTTGATAAACATTTAACTAAAACCACACCTATTATAACTACAACAAATTCCAGTGGTATTGTTGTGCCGTCGTCCATACATTGATTAAGTTAAGTTAGAAATAGCTTCTAAATTATTCTGGTAAAACAAAGCAAACAACATCACGTATTGCGTCTCAGCTTCATAACATTAAGCTCGTAAGCGCACACGACTAACCAACCACCAAACCCGCAACAAAGTGTGAGAACGTATATAATACTTGTAGTTTCACCTGCTGCTCCTCCAGTGCCACCTGGATGCCACGACGAGCTGCTTCTAACTCCTGCATCTGGTGGAGGAGTTTCTTGTGCAGCTTGCGGCGGTGCAGGCGGCATTCTGGGCGGGCGCCTTCCCCGCCGCCGCCCACGCGGCCCCCGCTTACCCAGTCCCAGCTGTGAAATGCAGGTGTGTTTAGATTTTTGTGTTAAGTCATGTTTTATGTTGACGGCGTTTGCACAAAAAAAAGAAATAGACTCTTAGACTTAGTTATAATTTTTGAAGTATTCGATTTCACGCTGGCTGGTTCACTCGTCATGTCTGTGAACAGGCGCTGCTTTCGGGGACTGGTCAATCCAAGTTATTCAAATTTATGTATGCGAGTCATTTCTACTAGTATCTTAATATGTAAGTCTAGATATTAGCACGTCACTACCTTGTTTAATATACCACGCAATCTTGTATACCCATTCTTATAAGATACACCATACCAGAATGCAAGGTTAATTCAGTGAACTGTTCCTGAATCGAATGTACCTACTACTACTATTTCTATTTATTTATATTAAGGCGATTAGTGTCCTCAATCCGCGCCAAATGGGCATTTTGTAAAGCACTTGCCAAATGTTGGTCTCGAAGCGCTGGTAGGGTAAAAAGATTATGAGACATGTAGAGGCTCCTTAAGAGCAAATATTAACCGGCAGACAGTGGTGACTGAGTTTGTTGCGGCGCTTCTTCTCAGCACTTGCCAAATGTTGGTCTCGAAGCGCTGGTAGGGTAAAAAGATTATGAGACATGTAGAGGCTCCTTAAGAGCAAAATGACGATTTGTAAGAACTATTTATTAGTCCAAACAAATAAAGAAATTTTGACTTTGACTTTGACACGTATATTATTATCCATGTTTCATGTTCATTACACTCACACTGGCCTGTTTGCCTTATAGAAAGAAATATGAATACATTACAATAGAAAAAAATACAAAAAATTTTGGCACCTGGCTTAATTCTGAAGATCCATGTATCTTACTTTTTTTTCTGGTTTTTATTTTAGTTGCCTAAAAAGAACGTAAGTTAAATTAGTCTTTGGTCACTCAGACCAATGGCACTGTCAGTCAGCGGCGTCCAGTACAGCCGCAAGTGCCGTCAGTACAGCGGCGGTCAGCGCCGGTTGTGCTCTCGGAGCCCTGACTGGAGTAAGAGTGACCTAGACAATCTACGACTAGTGCGTCACTCACCGGTTGTGTTTTGTTTGGCTGGCCGGCGCGGCATCCAGTACAGCCGCTAAAGCCGTCAGTATAGCGGCGGTCAGCGCCGGTTGTGCCCTCGGAGCTCAGACCAGAGTAAAAGTGACCTAGACAATAGACAATCTACGACTGGTGCGTCACTCACCGGTTGTGTTTTGTTTGGCTGGCCGGCGCGGCAGCCACAACGTCGAGTACAGCGGCCAGGGCCGTCAGTATAGCGGCGGTCAGCGCCGGTTGTGCTCTCAGAGCCCTGACTAGAGTAAGAGTGACCTAGACAATCTACGACTAGTGCGTCACTCACCGGTTGTGTTTTGTTTGGCTGGCCGGCGCGGCAGCCGCGGCGTCCAGTACAGCCGCAAGTGCCGTCAGTATAGCGGCGGTCAGCGCCGGTTGTGCCCTCGGAGCCCTGACTAATGTGAGAGGAACTTAGACACTCTACGACCATGGCCTCACTCACCGGTTGTGTTTTGTTTGGCTGGCAGGCGCAGCAGCTGCGGCGTCCAATACAGCCGCAAGTGCCGTCAGTATAGCGGCGGTCAGCGCCGGTTGTGCCCTCGAAGCCCTGACTAATGTGAGAGGAACCTAGACAATCTACGACTAGTGCGTCACTCACCGGTTGTGTTTTTTTTGGCTGGCCGGCGCGGCATCCAGTACAGCCGCTAAAGCCGTCAGTATAGCGGCGGTCAGCGCCGGTTGTGCCCTCGGAGCTCTGACCAGAGTAAAGTGACCTAGACAATAGACAATCTACGACTAGTGCGTCACTCACCGGTTGTGTTTTGTTTGGCTGGCCGGCGCGGCAGCCGCGGCGTCCAATACAGCCGCTAAAGCCGTCAGTATAGCGGCGGTCAGCGCCGGTTGTGGCCTCGGAGCTCTGACCAGAGTAAGTGACCTAGACAATAGACAATCTACGACTAGTGCGTCACTCACCGGTTGTGTTTTGTTTGGCTGGCCGGCGCAGCGGCCGCGGCGTCCAGTACAGCCGCTAAAGCCGTCAGTATAGCGGCGGTCAGCGCCGGTTGTGCCCTCGGAGCCCTGACTAGTGTGAGAGCGCGCTCGGCCAGCGCGGCCGCGACGCCCTGTTCCGGGTCGGTTTGAGCGAAGAGACTCTTGCGGCACATGTACATCACTAGCACGAGACATCTGCGAAAGAACAGGTATGACAGTTTTAGCCAATTAAGAAAGATACGAAGCCCAGAATTTGTCAGTGGCAAGACATTCAAGATGGGCGATGGCCCTATAAAATATCTTTGGACATTTTGACAACAAATGGTTTACATTTCTCGATTTTCCATCATCCAAAGTCCCTCATCTGCACAGGCCTTTATTAGTCACAAGGAGCCTGATAAGCTTTTCCAGCACCTAACTAATTTTTGTGTGACGGTACCTATACAGCGTCTTGCAGTGCGGCGATGAGTGTATCAGTCCCACTCTCACGACACCGGGCTCACTTCCTTGCAGCACACCTCCTCGTGCTATAAAACGGTCCTAAGTTTTTTAATAGCTANGCACTCACAGTGAACTGCTCACTAGTCTGCACTCAATAATCAAATCAATAAATAATTATAAAAAAAATATAAATAAACATAAGTTATAAGTTGCACTTTCATATCGACAATAGAAAATATTTACTGAAACAAAAAAGTACAACTATTAAAACAAAAAGGAGTAATCTAGTTATGACAAAAAAAATCATAACATAGATCACTCTAATCCTAAAAAAAAACTATATGAAAGTAATCTAATTATGAACAAAATTATGTCATAATTTAGATCAATCCACTTCATTAGATAAAAAACTAAAAAGGAGTAATATAATTATGACTAAAAACAAAGTCATAATGTAGATCACTCCAAACCTGAAAAAAAAAATGCTTCGATAGTCAAGATCAAAGGTCTTTCTAAAGCATAACCTCCTGAGACCCAGACCCCTAAAAATTGTCGGATTGTCTTGAATTTTAGAAGGCAGCCTAAGTTTCATATGTACAACTAACAAAAAATGCGAAAAAAAATCTAGCCCCCCTACATACGCCAAAATGGGGGGTGTCACCAGTGACACTACGGGTTTCAAAGACATTAAAAGGGGCTAGAATTAATTAATATTTTAATTACATCAGGTATGGTAAAATAGGTGTTTTTAGTTTCAAATTGATCTGCAATTGTTTAGAATCATTTATGATTTACTTTTTAACAGCTTTTATTGAACTTGTTATTACAAACTTTAATTTAACTTGCAACAAATGTGTGAATGTATGTTTGAGTAAAATCTTGGAAGCTGAATTAGAGCTACTTCCTGCCAACCGATTGAGCTGAAATTTTGCATAGACATGTAACTCAGATGAAACTTCAATGTAATGAGGTCATGGAGTTGATCTGATGATGGAGACGGAAGGTAGCCATAGAAACTCTGTGACTAAACGATGTAACTCTGTCGAGTTTTGACTTATTTGATTGGTATTGACAAGTACTCTGGTCTTGGATGATATCCAGGGTCTGATCTGAGGATGGGGCATCAATTTTTTCATCATCTGTCTCATCAAAGTTGCTTAATAGTGACTTGACGTTACCATCAGACATCCCTAAATTCAAGTCACGAGTCCCCAAAGTGTCACCAGTAGGGCATGTAATATCGGAAGGTTTTCAATTCCGATATTGGTTTCCGATATTAGATCTCAATATCGGAATTCCGATATTAATATCGGAATTGAGTTTGTGTTATAAATTTTAAATATTTGGTTATATTCGTATAATTTCTCGATTGTATACAGTAAAATAATGATTTTAATCAAAATCTTTAATTTATTACAAAATAGCACTTCTTAAAATTATAAAATTGAAGTATTTAAAACCATTTTGTGTGTTAAGGGTAATCATTGGTAACTGATAATGGGCCAATTATGGAAATGGACTAGCAAAGAATTTAAGTGTTTTTGTAAAACAGGTATCAAACAAACTTTTACTCCTTCAACCAATACTGGCGGAACGATTTGTAGAGTCATTCAAGTCACATGTTACAAAAATATTAGACAGTGGTAAAAAACTTGAATATGCTTGTAATTTGTTCCTTTTTGATTATCGATGTACAACTCACCAAACCACGGGGCGATATCATCATCATAATTTCAACCATATGACGTCCACTGCTGAACATAGGCCTCCCCCAATAATTTCCACAATGGCCGGTTGGTGGCGGCCTGCATCCAGCGCCTTCCTGCTACCTTTAGGAGGTCGTCGGTCCACCTTGTAATTTCAGCTTGTAAACTGACGCTAAAGTGGAAATTTACAAAACCTGTGTGGACTTATCTTGATAGAATTCTTAAATACTAAACTAATCGCAATATTTTCTCAATTAACTATTTAGACGACGAAATTGCCTAACTATTTATGCCTATAACATATTTGTAGTATTACTGGTTAATGATTGTAACGAGTTGAAAAAGTACTGTTTTTGCGCCAAACGGCGTAAACGCTCTTAAGTAAAAAATAATAGAAATAGAAGTTTTAGTTTTTAAGTATTAGGCTGTTGCATCATTTCAACTTTTACCAGTGTTTTTGTATGGAGTTTAAACAGTCTTTTGGCATTTGTTTTTAAAGTAAGATGATGGCACCCAGAGTTGATTTCACGTATATGCTTAAATTATGTTCGCACCGGCCGGCCTGACTACATCTTAGAAAGAAATGTTATGAATACAATACAATAGAAAAAAAAAACTTTGGCACCTGCCATAAATGCTGAAGATGTGTATTTTCACAAATTTTCCTGGTTTTATTTTAGTTACCTATATGTTATAGAAAAAAACGCAAGTTACATTGTCATTGGTCACTCAGACCTTCTTATCGTGTCGACAAACCTACACTGTATCAGCCCAAAACTCTGCACCGAGAGTGGCGTTGTCAGTAGCACCCGCACCACCGATCACCAATGGCACTGTCGGTCCCTAAAATGCTTTCACCATGGAAGAAAAAGACCAACGATAGATATTTATCGCCAAGCATCTGCCTCACTCACCGGTTGTGTTTTGTTTGGTTGGCCGGCGCGGCAGCCGCGGCATCCAGTACAGCCGCTAAAGCCGTCAGTATAGCGGCGGTCAGCGCCGGTTGTGATCTCGGAGCCCTGACCAGGTTAAAAGTGTCCTAGACAATCTCTAAACCTACACAATCTACGACTAGTGCGTCACTCACCGGTTGTGTTTTGTTTGGCTGGCCGGCGCAGCGGCCGCGGCGTCCAATACAGCCGCAAGTGCCGTCAGTATAGCGGCGGTCAGCGCCGGTTGTGGCCTCGGAGCTCTAACCAGACTAAAAGTGACCTAGACAATAGATAATCTCTAAACTTACACAATATACGACTAGTGCGTCACTCACCGGTTGTGTTTTGTTTGGCTGGCCGGCGCGGCAGCCGCGGCGTCCAGTACAGCGGCCAGGGCCGTCAGTATAGCGGCGGTCAGCGCCGGTTGTGCCCTCGGAGCTCTGACCAGAGTAAAAGTGACCTAGACAATAGACAATCTACGACTAGTGCGTCACTCACCGGTTGTGTTTTGTTTGGCTGGCCGGCGCGGCAGCCGCGGCGTCCAGTACAGCCGCAAGTGCCGTCAGTATAGCGGCGGTCAGCGCCGGTTGTGCCCTCGGAGCTCTGACCAGAGTAAAAGTGACCTAGACAATAGACAATCTACGACTAGTGCGTCACTCACCGGTTGTGTTTTGTTTGGCTGGCCGGCGCGGCAGCCGCGGCGTCCAGTACAGCCGCAAGTGCCGTCAGTATAGCGGCGGTCAGCGCCGGTTGTGGCCTCGGAGCTCTAACCAGACTAAAAGTGACCTAGACAATAGACAATCTACGACTAGTGCGTCACTCACCGGTTATGTTTTGTTTGGCTGGCCGGCGCGGCAGCCGCGGCGTCCAGTACAGCGGCCAGGGCCGTCAGTATAGCGGCGGTCAGCGCCGGTTGTGGCCTCGGAGCCCTGACTAGAGTAAGTGACCTAGACAATAGACAATCTACGACTAGTGCGTCACTCACCGGTTGTGTTTTGTTTGGCTGGCCGGCGCGGCAGCCGCGGCGTCTAATACAGCCGCAAGTGCCGTCAGTATAGCGGCGGTCAGCGCCGGTTGTGCCCTCGGAGCCCTGACTAGTGTGAGAGCGCGCTCGGCCAGCGCGGCCGCGACGCCCTGCTCCGGGTCGGTTTGAGCGAAGAGACTCTTGCGGCACATGTACATCACTAGCACGAGACATCTGCAAAAAAGATAGCGTGATATACTATGTTTCATTGAGTTTTAAGTATTGTTGTTTAATACGGGCGCTAAAAAGATACTAAGTTCAGATTTTGCCAACGGCTAAAAATACTGCTAAGCTATTTAGGCTCTATAAGATGGTTCATAATTTTCTAGATTTTTTCCATTACACTTCAAAACGCAATCAACTTTAAAGTAGTTATGAAAAGGCGTAAATCTAGGACAAATCCTCCTTATTTTGCAGTGGAAACTAAATGACATAATAAATAGCAGTAGTAACTTCATACAGGAACAGTGTGACGCTGTGTACTTGTCAAACGCTCGTGACGGCGCTTCAGCGTCGGCCTCTCTCCCATGACAGCGGGCTCAACAACTTGCACCACTCACGGATTACCCCCTCGTGCTATAAAACGACCCGAGCTTGGTAGTACGTTACAGTCTCTGTCCAGCGCTCTTGGCGGCTAGCCTGTCGACACGACCACTAGGGAGTCACTTTTTTCTTCACGGCCCTAAGCTTGCTAGTGCGGTAAAGTACTTGTCTAGCGGCGGCACGTCGGCGTCGTCTAGCGCGGCCACGAGTGTGTCAGCTAGCGCGGCGACGAGTATTTCAGCCCCACTCTCACCTTGCACCCCTTGTGGGTCACCTTTTTGGTAGTGTTGTATAGCTACCTGTCCAGCGCCCTGGGCGGCGCGTCGGCGTCCTGCAGCGCGGCGACGAGCGTGTCGGCCAGGTAGGGCCCCCACCAGCCCGCCCCACTCCCACGAGACTGGGCACACTGCCTTGCACCACTCCAGGGTCACTCCTCGTGCTATAGAGCAGCCCTGAGCTCGCTAGTGCTGTATAGCTACCTATCCAGCGCCCTGGGCGGCGCGTCGGCGTCTTGCAGCGCGGCGATGAGCGTGTCAGTTCCATTCTCACGACACCGGGCTCACTTTCTTGCAGTACACCTCCTCGTGCTATAGAGCAGCCCTGAGCTCGCTAGTGCTGTATAGCTACCTGTCCAGCGCCCTGGGCGGCGCGTCGGCGTCCTGCAGCGCGGCGACGAGCGTGTCGGCCAGGTAGGGCCCCCACCAGCCCGCCGCGCCGCACAGCCGCGCCGCCAGCGTGGCCAGCGCCGCGCCCGCGCGCCCGCCCCACTCCCACGAGACTGGGCACACTGCTTTACACCACTCCAGGGTCACTTCCTCGTGCGGCTGAATAAAGGAGACAATTCATTTAGTTCCTCCGCTGAATGCATCATCAAACAGCAAGTTTCGAGGGAAAGCGCCACAGTTAGTGCGTTTACATACTACGTCGCTTGCGCTGGGATTCGTACGCCGCCAAGGCAGTTGTATAAAACGCGACTGTTTGTGTAAATGCACTTTCAAACGAGTTTTAGTATCACACAATTCATGCATTTCGTTCCAGTTATTTTTTTGTTTAAAAGAGTAATAGACGTCGTAGAAGGTAATTTTAATGTAAAGATCACTGAAAAGTGTCTCTATTAAGAATTGGACAAAGAATCAAGAGAAATTGGTCTCTTTAGCAAAAATAGCTTTCGCAACGTTAATCTCCAGAATGTTACTGTACTGTATCTAATATTTCACTGTCAACTTACCACATCGCCCATTTGTAAGAAGAAGTACAGCAGCATATCGACTACATTCTCGCTGATCACCGTCAGCTTGTCGGTCGACGACCTCTGCAGCAGCGCTTCAGAGCTGATCTTGCCCTTGTTAATAAGGTTCAATATCGTCGGATTGCAATCCGGCGTGTTCTGCAGCCTCTTCAGTATGTTGTTGCAGGTGTGTAGTTGCTGCTGGAGTTCAATGCACTCGGTGTAGGCCGCGACTACACTGTTGTCGGTGTCGTTGGCGATGTTTAGGTACGCCATCATGTGGGCGGCGTTCCCGTTGTATAGTTCGAGGTAGGGGTTGAGTAGGTCCATTAGTTTGCCTGATGCAAGCCTGTGGGAGAAATTTTAGGATTAGGGAAAAGTTATCCAGCAATATTATTAAAAAATAACATTCTTCTCAATTCAAAAACATCCTGGCCACACAGTAGTTACCGCGGTGAGAACGAGAGGTGGGAATAGTCCCGTATTCTTCTCAATGAACCACGACAGGGCGGTTAAACATCTGGATAAAATACAACACAGATATACTTAGGTTTAAGTTTAAAATAGCACATAGACATAGGCATAAGTATGAATAGATTAACTTAATAGGTCCTGTATGATTTACAGAACAGAGGATGGACATGATTTTTTGCATGCACGGTTCCAATGGGATAGCATTATTTTATTAGGAACCGTGTATTTCAAAGGTTTTGAAATAGCGCATTATTTATTAGATAATAATGTTTCTGGAACGAGGAAGCGCGCATGATAAAGACTTCCTGTGACAGACCGACAACTACGCGTATCTAGTACAATAATTAAATGACTGAATGAAGATTCCTAACTACTTACCTAAACCTGCAGGCCAGGTCTTGGTGCAAAGCGTTGAGCGCGTTTACGGACGCTTGCACGTTAGCGATTTCGGCGATCTCACCGTAGAACCAGCCGAGAGGTATCTTGCACTTCATTGCCGACATTCCATAGCGGCCTATTGTTGTGATCTGTAGCAGACAAATAAATAATAATAAATAGTTTATTCATTAAAATAAGAGCATTATAAGAACTTATTATGCTAGAGCTTACATTATACAGTTCATAGTCTTTTGTAGCCTGAGCTAGGTTAAGAACCTGTGTTTCAGACGAAAAAAGCTCACACGTTAAATAGTAATTAAAGAAATTAACAATTAGCTTTATTAAATACACAAATGAGAGTAAATGAGTGTGAGTATAAATAGGCCCAAACAAGATAAGGTAGAAATGAAGATTTTTTTAAATATAGACGTTCGGGACATCGAGCTATAAATAGTTGCCGTTTTGCAACAAAAATGTTTTAGTATGTGTCGACTGCACATGCATATTAGTAGACGATTCGGTCACCCTACAGTAGTGAGATTTTGGGTCATTATCTGATTTACAGTCTCAGGTACCAGTACCTCTTGGCCTGCATCTCACCTGATGGAAAGTGATGATCAGGCCGAACGAAGATTTCCTTTGATATCGCCAATAATAAAGGCGGTTTTCGTACCTTCATGTACCGGCAGAGCGGCGGCGGCTGTATGTCGGTGAGCAGCAGATGTTTCGTGGCGATGTCGGTGGCGAACACCAGCTTCACGCAGTCCGTCTCCTCGCCCGCCACCCAGATGTCGATGCATAGCGTCACCAGGTCCGAGCACGACGGGATTATCTGGAAATAGACTTTAGTTACAACAGCATAGATTCCAAAATACTTTAATCACATAAAAAGTTAAAGAACAAAGCCCACTATTATTTGTGTATTTGTTAGATTGAACTCAGTTGTGCAACTAAATACGTCTTGAAATGCTGCTCATTAACCCTTTAACTTAACTTAAGGTTAACTTTTGTTTTTTCAGCTATGTTAACTGCGTGTATAAAAAAACCGCTGTGAAAGTAACGCTGTCAACATATTGTTATCTATCTCGTTCAAGCTTTGACCTAATAATTAAAGCACCAATGACACAAACGCAGCAAACAATTATGTGTGAAGTGCACAAATGTAGTCGTATCGACCACGCCCACAAGATGACTCTATCATATGAGCGAGGTTTAGACTAGCAATAAAACTTGCAGAAGTTCACTTGCTACAGCTATTTACACAGTGGTAAATAGCTTGCGGAAGTCAACTTCTGCAAGTTTTATTGCTAGTCTAAACCACGCTTATGGGCTAGTGTAAGGGAGCACACATACCACGTCTGTGAGGCGAACAGTGTGTCCGAAGTCGAGCACGATATATCTGCGCGCGCCCGAGTGCATTCGCTCCACAACTAGCGTATGCTGCGGCGGCCGCGTCACCAGCCCCGCCCACGGGATCTTGCACTGCTCCTGTTCCTGTAAAAATAATCCAGGTTTATACACATTGCTAATGACAACTAAAACCGCTACGAAAAATCACAGACGACATCGCACAACTACATTTCTAACCTTAAAAAGCTTCTCTTCAGAAAACTCGAGTTTCTCTTGAGGATCACAGTCCATCAAAGAGCTCTCGACGTCCTCTAAAGAGTCAGGATCTTGGGAAGTTTGTTTCATTTGGCCCTCTTTCACGGCGGACCAAAGCTGTGAACAAATATGCCTCTTAACTTTTACACTAATCTAGACTTACTTGAACAATAAACATTCGTTTCGCACACAAACATGCTTGGACTCGTCGATAGCCGCGTAGAAAGTTAAAAACAATGAAGACTTCATGCCTCATATCCGGCGTGTCGGCGAGAATTTTTCACACCCATCCCCGAACATTATCTGGCCAGCAGTACCTCTCCACCGATTAAGACATGATACCTAAGTTTCACCGCAGACTATAGCCTTTTTGTCGACCTATAGTGTGGTCGACTTCAATGGGTAGTCTGTATTTTGCTAGGACTCTAAAATAAGCAACACACATTACGTCATAGTCATCAGTCTCCACATACCTGGTTAGGATCAGCCACTCCCAGCGCGCCAGGCATGTAGCTGACAACAGAGGCGTGGTGACGGCCACCAGTGGACTCCAGTTTGGTCCCGTCGGAGGCAGCATGGCACGTCACGTGCAGGGGCATGGCCTCGCTAAGCCCCGCCCCGAACACGCCCACTCCGTTGCTCTGCGCCCACGCCGCGACGGATGAAGGCGGCGACTTCGCATCTGGGGGGGTGGACGCTGAATGATCTGTAGTATCTGCTGTGCCGACTTCAGGGTGGCGAATGGTGTATTAAAAAACAAAAAAAATAACAGATGACAGCAATGTAATGTAATAAGAACTATTTTTCAACAAAAAAGACTGCTGTTGTGCTGTTGTCTGTAAATTGCGTAATGAAATAATCATGTCAAATTCAATAGGTTAGTATAGTAACACTTTTCATGAGCTATCAAAACAAGACTTATAATTTTAATGTTTAATTAATTTAATTTTAGTTTGCAAATAATTATCTATTTTAATGTTATTTTTAAGTTTTTGCAACGCCTTCACTGGGCGTCACATGTACCTACAATATTATGTTCTTGTCAACCCTTACCCATGTGACATGCAATAAATAATTTGAATTTGAATTTGACTCTTCCATACATATTGTAAGCCAAAGGTTACTCTGACGTTAAGGTCTAAAATAATTTTACAGCAAATTGCGGGCTAGAATGAAGTGTTTTAAAAGAAGTGTCATGAACGGTTAATGGTGTCAGTCCAACCCAATCAGTGTTCCCAGCTCCATCACTAATTTACTATCATAGCCCTTATTCCCATAACAAGTCGTCTGCAAGTGGCAACACTTACCGATATCCGGGGGTAGATTGAGTAGGTCTTTGAGCTGGCAATCAGTCTTAGCGCTGGGCGGCGTAGCGTTGTCGCCCGCGAGCACGCTGGCGTATGTGACTGGCGTTGACGAGCCGCGTCCCAGTTCTGGCACTTCTGACGCGAAGATAGTGCGTTCTAGCGGCAGCCCGTATAGGCCGAACCTGAAGGGAAATCATTTTTGATTATTTATTTATGCCTGTGCCTAAAAACGCAGTGTGTATCAGCCATTAGGGTAAGGGACTATTCTTACTTAATTTACCAGCATTAAATTTCTTGTATAGCCATCAGCTATAGATTAGCCTAAGCGAAATCTAAAGTCAAGTAGACCCGTGGGATAGCTTACTGCTAGTGTCAGATAGCACTCCTCGCCTAGCTTTGATTATCAGGGTGTCCACTGCAAATGTTCGAAAAAATTCCCTGACTTTTCCCTGACTTTCCCTGACAATTTTTTCAAAATTCCCTGACCAACTATGTATACAACGTGTCCCAAAATTCAAGGATAAGCCGACGCCACAGGACTTTAGGAAAAATAAGGAAAAAAATCTATCTCAATTATTTTTTAACTTCCACAATAAATTATTTCATTTAGTCCCTCCACTGCGTCAAACAGAGTTTCATGCAAAGGAACGCGCAGTTACGGCTGGGTCGCACACATCGCAGTAACATTCAGCCGACAGTCGTCGTTTCAGCCAAATGACGTCCACTGCTGGACAAAGGCCTCCCCCAAGGTTTTCCACAATGAACGGTCCTGCGCTGCCCGCATCCAGGTTCGAAAGCTTCGCCATATACTCACGTCCGAAATACCGCAGTGTCTCAAGTCGAAAGTATTTGACCATGTGTGTTGCCAGTGATGGTATACGGATCTGAGACGTGGTCGCTTACTATGGGCCTCATAAGAAGGCTCAAGGTCACCCAAAGGGCAGCCGACAGTGCGACTATGCAAATAGCACCGAAGTATACGCGAATACTTTGGCGATAGCGCAAATGTTTGGGTTACCGCAATGTGTGTGGCTTAGAGATTATGAAACGTGTTTTAGTATTTCATTTCGTTCCAGTAACTTTTTGTGCAAAAGAGTGAGACAGACGTACCGTCGTAAAAGGTTGCAAGTTAATAATTCTCCCATTTAGATTAGAACAGCGAATTCAAAGATAAAGAAAATTGATTAGAAGAAATATTGGTTTCTTTAGAAAAAAATAAATCATAACGTTAAGCCCCAGAAAACTATTTGTTATAACTACTGGAATGTAAACAGTACATTGAAGTAAGGAGTGTCTATAGGTACTATTTAATTGTGTAATATTTCACTGTAAGCTTACCACATCGCCCATTTGGAAGAAGAAGTACAGCAGCATATCGACGACATTCTCGCTGATCACAGTCAGCTTGTCGGTCGACGACCTCTGCAGCAGCGCTTCAGAGCTGATCTTGCCCTTGTTAATAAGGTTCAATATCATCGGATTACAATCCGGCGTGTTCTGCAGTCTCTTCAGTATGTTGTTACAGGTGTGTAGTTGCTGCTGGAGTTCAATGCACTCGGTGTAGGCCGCGACTACACTGTTGTCGGTGTCGTTGGCGATGTTTAGGTACGCCATCATGTGGGCGGCGTTCCCGTTGTATAGTTCGAGGTAGGGGTTGAGGAGGTCCATTAGTTTGCCTGATGCAAGCCTGTGAGAGAAATTTTAGGATTAGAGTTATCCAGAAATGTTATATTGATAATAACATACTTCTTACTACTATTGTAAATGCGAATGTTTGGATGAATTTCTTTAAGTCAATCACACCAGAATGACTGTAATTTAACAAGGTGTAAATTATTTACAAACAGAAATAGTTTATAGTCTGGAATAACACGAAGGGTTAATATTACAGAGTATAGATCGAATTGTTTGCATATCCAGAAAAATGCAAGGTTTCAATGGGATTACATGTATCAGGAATTGAACATTTAAAAGTTGTTTTGCTAGAGTTTGTGACACAGTTTTATCGCATTATCTAAATGTATTTCTGAAACAGGGAAGCGCGCACTGTAAAGTCTCCCTGTTACAGACCGATAACCATGCGGCCGAAGCTATTTATTAATGGATAACCTTTATTAGATACCTAATTCACGTAAGAGCTACTTACCTAAACCTGCAGGCCAGGTCTTGGTGCAAAGCGTTGAGCGCGTTCACTGAGGCTTGCACGTTGGCGATTTCGGCGATCTCGCCGTAGAACCAGCCGAGGGGGATCTTGCACTTCATTGCCGACATTCCATAGCGGCCTATTGTTGTGATCTGTGGCAAATAGATGTAAATGAGTGCGAGTGTAATAGGGCCTAAAACAAGATAAGGTAGAAACGAAGATTATTTCTGTTTTAAGTACAGACGATCGTTTCATCCACGTAGACGCGCCTCACCATTCTTGCGCTAATGTTTAAGTGTTATCGGTACACGCTAAATTATCCATGAGTGCACACGCACACTACAATAATGACACTCGGATTGCTCGGATCAAACTCCCCGCACCCCGCGCGACTGAAACCAAAAATTGGTGGGGCGCTTCTTCGTTGATGATGAAACGATCTATGTGGTTGCTGCTCATTGGAAATCGAAAATGAGTAGGTCATCATATAGCAGATTTTGAAAGGAAAAGATAGTCTTCTATAAGTACGCGGGTTTACAGTCTTTTAACAACACATTTCCTTTGCCAATCTTTTAATATTGCTGGTATACATGAACCTTATTGGCATAAAAGTAAAGGCTGTTCTTGCTTGTTCATACCTTCATGTACCGGCAGAGCGGCGGCGGCTGTATGTCGGTGAGCAGCAGATGTTTCGTGGCGATGTCGGTGGCGAACACCAGCTTCACGCAGTCCGTCTCCTCGCCCGCCACCCAGATGTCGATGCAAAGCGTCACCAGGTCCGAGCACGACGGGATTATCTGGAAATAGACTTTAGTTACAACAGCATAGATTCCAAAATACTTTAATCACATAAAAAGTTAAAGAACAAAGCCCACTATTATTTGTGTATTTGTTAGATTGAACTCAGTTGTGCAACGATAAATACGTCTCGAAATGCTGCACTCGTTAAACTTTTGTTTTTCAGCTATGTTAACTGTGTGTATAAAAAAACCGCTGTGAAAGTAACGCTGTCAACATATTATTGTTATCTATCTCGCTCAAGCTTTGACCTAATAATTAAAGCACCAATGATACAAACGCAGTGTTTTCGTGACTCATGAAATAATTCTGTGTAAAAAGTGCACAAATCTAGTCGTATCGACCACACCCACAAGATGACCCTATCATATGAGCGAGGTTTATTTACACTAACAATAAAACTTGCAGAAGTTCACTTGCCACAGCTATTTCCACAGTGGTAAATAGCGGAAGTCAACTTCTGCAAGTTTCATTGCTAGTCTAAACCACGCTTATGGGCTAGTGTAAGGGAGCACACATACCACGTCTGTGAGGCGAACAGTGTGTCCGAAGTCGAGCACGATATATCTGCGCGCGCCCGAGTGCATTCGCTCCACAACTAGCGTATGCTGCGGCGGCCGCGTCACCAGCCCCGCCCACGGGATCTTGCACTGCTCCTGTTCCTGTAAAAATAAATCCAGGTTTGTACACATTGCTAACGACATAATAAACGACTCCAGGAAAAATCACAGACGACATCGCACAACTACATTTCTAACCTTAAAAAGCTTCTCTTCAGAAAACTCGAGTTTCTCTTGAGGATCACAGTCCATCAAAGAGCTCTCGACGTCTTCTAAAGAGTCGGGATCTTGGGATGTTTGTTTCATTTGGCCCTCTTTCACGGCGGACCAAAGCTGTGAACAAATATGCCTCTTAACTTTTACACTAATCTAGACTTACTTGAACTATAAACATTCGTTTCGCACACAAACATGCTTGGACTCGTCGATAGCCGCGTAGGAAGTTAAAAACAACGAAGACTTCATGCCTCATATCCGGCGTGTCGTCGAGAATTTTTCACACCCATCCCCGAACATTATCTGGCCAGCAGTACCTCTCCACCGATTAAGACATGATACCTAAGTTTCCCCGCAGACTATTTTTTCGCCTTTTTGTCGACCTATAGCGTGGTCGACTACAATGGGTAGTCTGTATTTTGCTAGGACTCTAAAATAAGCAACACACATTACGTCATAGACATCAGTCCACATACCTGGTTAGGATCAGCCACTCCCAGCGCGCCAGGCATGTAGCTGACAACGGAAGCGTGGTGACGGCCACCAGTGGACTCCAGTTTGGTCCCGTCGGAGGCGGCGTGGCACGTCACGTGCAGGGGCATGGCCTCGCTAAGCCCCGCCCCGAACACGCCCACTCCGTTGCTCTGCGCCCACGCCGCGACGGATGAAGGCGGCGACTTCGCATCTGGGGGGGTGGACGCTGAATGATCTGTAGTATCTGCTGTGCCGACTTCAGGGTGGCGAATGGTGTATTAAAAAACAAAAAATAACAGACGACAGCAATGTAATGTAATAAGAACTATTTTTCAACAAAAAAGACTAATGTGCTGTTGTCTGTAAATTGCGTAATGAAATAATCATGTCAAATTCAATAGGTTAGTATAGGAACACTTTTCATGAGCTATCAAAACAAGACTCTTTTATAATTTTAATGTTTAATTAATTTAATTTTAGTTTGCAAATAATTATCTATTTTAATGTTATTTTTAAGTTTTTGCAACGCCTTCACTGGGCGTCACATGTACCTACAATATTATGTTCTTGTCAACCCTTACCCATGTGACATGCAAAAAATAATTTGAATTTGACTCTTCCATACATATTGTAAGCCAAAGGTTACTCTGACGTAACTTCGCGAATTTAACAATTTATTGATTTTAAGGTCTAAAATAATTTTACAGCAAATTGCGGGCTAGAACGAAGTGTTTTTAAAAGAAGTGTCATGAATAGTTAATGGTGTTAGTCAACTGCTCAAATAAATATTGTTTCCAGCTCCATCATTAATTTACTTTCACGGCCCTTATTCCCATAACAAGCCGTCTGCAAGTGGCAACACTTACCGATATCCGGGGGTAGATTGAGCAAGTCTTTGAGCTGGCAATCAGTCTTAGCGCTGGGCGGCGTAGCATTGTCGCCTGCGAGCACGCTGGCGTATGTGACTGGAGTCGACGAGCCGCGTCCCAGTTCTGGCACTTCTGACGCGAAGATTGTGCGTTCTAGCGGCAGCCCGTATAGGCCAAACCTGATGGGAAATCATTTTTGATTATTTATTTATGCCTGTGCCTAAAAATTCAGTGTATCAGGTGTAGGGTTTACAAGACTAATTCTACCTTTTTTGCAACTCTTGTATAGCCATCATCTACAAATTAGCCTGCAGCGAAATCCAAAGAGTGAAGGTCGAGTGGTCCTGGGAGATAGCTTGTAGATTCGTTACTAATTTAATCAATGGACACTTCTGGACTAGGGTTTGCAAAGGCAAGACGGATCAGAATTCAGTACTGCTAGCGTCAGATACACTCACCTACCTAGCCCTAAACAAAGAACCTGCGACGAGGAGGTGCCAGCCACGAGTGTCGCGCGCCTTGACACTGTCAGCGTCAGTTACTCACCTAGCCCTCAGCAGCTGGTGATAGACATCAGCTCGGTCACGCAGACACCTCGCTGTGCGTTCTAACAGCGCCAGGCATCCAGCCACAAGCGCCTGTGCTTAGATACAGCCGGCGTCAGAAACACTCACCTGGCCCTCAGCAGCTGGTGATACACATCAGCTCGGTCGCGCAGACACCTCGCAGTGCGTTCTAACAGCGCCAGGCATCCAGCCAAGAGCGTCGCGTGATATTGTCCGCGTCAGTCACTTGTTCGTTCGTTTCAGCCGAAAGACGTCCACTGCTGGACAAAGGCTTCCCCGAGGATTTCTACAAAGACCGTTCCTGCGCCGCTCGCATCCAGGCACCTCCCGCGACCTTCACCAGATCATCGGTCCAACTAGTGGGAGGCCTGCCCACGCCACGTCTTCATTTTCGTGATCGCCACTCAAGAACTTTCCTACCCCAGCGGCTATTAGCTCTACGAGCTATGTGCCCCGCCCACTGCCACTCACCTGGCTCTCAGCAGCTGATGATAAACATCAGCTCGGTCACGAAGACACCTCGCAGTGCGTTCTAACAACGCCAGGCATCCCGCCACGAGCGTCGCCGCCGCCTGTCTCTGGCCACCGCGCGCCGCGTGCTGTGCCAGCGCCGCCAACCAACGCAGTGCGCCCGGCGACTCGCACGCGCCGAGGAACGGGATGCACCCGCTCACGCTGTTGGTTAGCGTCTGCTCGAAGGTCGACTTCCAAGGCTTGGGCAGTTGCTTTACGCCCCTGTTGGAATAAAACGTTCATTAAATATTTGACTGTCGTTGAAAACCTCGGCTTCCATGACTTGTGTAGTAGGCAGGCAAATCGTCAGGCAATTAACAGGGGCACTCGTTCCAAGCCTTTTACAGATTTGGCTACTCTATATATTATATTTTTTAATCCACAAAGAGGAAGATCTTGGCCTGTATCTAACCTGATGTGATGATAAGGCCGAAGGAGGAAGCCATTATTATGTATTATCATGTATTAAATGTAACTAACGAATTCCGAAAAAGCGTGTATTCAGCAGAAGACTGAGTCTACGAAACGTAGCTAAATATTCGTCCCGAAATCAGTACCATATTATCAAAAGAAGCGTCAATACTCACTCGCTCGTAATCAGCATGATCTTGACGCACTTCTTGGCGATGCTGCGGTTGGAGCACAGCACGCAGTTCTTGATGAGCGCGTCGGCGTGGCGCTCCACGGCGCGCGCGCACTCCAGCTGCGCCGCCTCGGCCGCGCTACCAGCTTCCTTGCCCTTGCCTTTCTCCGCCTTAGCAGCGCGAATCCGCTGCAGACGGATCGATACCGTCCAAATCAGCAAATCCAAAGCCAATTTCCGCTTCTCGGAATCACCCCCGCCGGTCGCGATCTCGCAAAGAGTGTCCAGAAACGCATTAGATTCGAGCATCGCGATCCTCTGCTGCCGCTCCATTGGAATATCAGTCGGCGGGCTCGCGCGCACCGTCAGCGATATCTGGTGCAGCCAGTCGCATCCGATAAAACCGGACTTCTTTGACCCGCTCTCTTTGGACTGAGCCTTCAGGTCCTTGGCCGGGTCGAAGAGGGACTTGATGTGTATCAAGAACGTCCGACCTCGCGCTCGATACAGGCGGGGACTGGTCAATATGAGCGTGCCGGACTGCTGCGTCAAGTCCAGCCCGGAGGATAACAGCAATGGACCGGCGAGAATCTCAGCGTTATGAGCTTGCAAATACTCCTCGCTGTTGACGGGGTTCTCGACGTTGGTCGCGTTTTCTGCGTCGATCGAAAAGTGCACGGGCGAGCCGTACGACGCGTCTTTCTTGTATCCGAGCCCGTGAAGGTTCTGTTTCAGTAGTGTGACCTGGATCACCGGCAGGTTGGCCGAGCAGGCCGTGTGCAAGGTGAAGCCGAACTCTACGTGCGCTAACGAAACGCTGTACGGCAAGGTCAATTCCAGGACGTGCTCGTCCCAGGTCGACGACTGGAGTCTCCAAGTCCTGTTATTCTGGTGGTCGGATCTGGAGCGCTGAGCGGGCGACAGCTCGCACCAGAAGCCGGGCACCACGGCGCTGTAGGGCACCGTCGTGTTCGTACCGTAAGACCCTGTTAGAGATATCAATGCTTCCAAGTCATTCATATCCAACTCAGTCTTGTTCGCGATGATGACGGGCGGGGGCAGCGGCCCGCACACCTCGTCTCGAGGCGCTTTCTGAAGCATGTCGAAATCTATGTTGGCGAATTCGTCGTCGTCCACGTCCCCGGTGTTATCTTTCTCGCCGTTGTTCAGGGCGTAGAAGTAAATGATTCCGTGCTTCGTCGACACGCTCAGGCGGTCGACCGACGCACAGAAAGTGACAGATGAAAAGTGTTCTTTAGGAACTCGTTTCTCAGTCAACAAAGAAAAGTCAGCGATCGAGTACAATCGGAGGCAGCCGTCAACTGAGACTACTGCGAACGAGTGCTTATCCATAGGCAACAGGCATATGTCTACGGGACTTTCGTTGTATGGCAACTCTTTCATGAACACTGGGTTGTCGTCTAAAGTGCACACAGAGGTTTGGCTGTTGATTTTGTAGAGAAGGAAGTAGGCCTTCGCGTCGGAACAATCTTTTTCGGTCGGCGGCTCGGTCACCTCGTCGACGTCCATCCATATATCGCCGTCGGTGTCCGCGTCGTCCTCGAGTTTCACCGAGACCGAGGTGATACTCGAGACGACGACGAGTAAATGCTCCTTATCTTCAGTGGGCAAGAGATGGGTGACTTTGGAGTCGTCGTTGAGGATGAGATTGGTCGGGACGTTGAGGCACTGTATGGCGATGCCCTGCGACACGACCTCCTCGGCCGGGGGGTCGCTGTCGAAGCCGTCGTTGTTGCTGTTGCTGACGACGGTCTGCGTCTTGACTTTTGTGCCTCCGAAGGTCGTGACCTTGACCTTTCCGCCGTCGCCTCCCTCGTACCACTTGAGGTCCGATATTTCTAGAGGTCCGTTCATGTTGAGGTAGTGGGTTATAGGGTCCGCCTGCTGCAGGACCGCGTCGGTCTGGTCGGCCAGCTTCGTGCCGACCGACTCGAGGTTGCCGCTCTTCCAGCTCTTGAGCTGGGATATTTTGCCGACAAAGTCTAGCATGCTGCCCTGTCCCGATTCCGGGAGCTCGGGCAACAGTGCCGTGGGCGGCGGCGGAGGCGGCACCTTGAAATGCTTCATGAAGATAATCTTCTTCGGTTCCCATATCTTGCAGTCGTCCTTGCTGGAGGACGCGTTGAGGTTAATCACGTTGCTGATCTGCTCGTCCATGAGGCTGCTGGTGCAGGGCGGCAGCTCGGTGTCCTCGTCGGAGTACTGGAAGTAGATCTCGTCGTAGATGTTGGCGTCGTCCTTGCGCGCGACGGTGCAAACTTTCTTGCTGCCGCCGGGCTTGGAGTTGCCGCTGCCGTTGCTGGTCTGGACCACCGTGGTCACGGACCCAGCTACGGAACTGTGTATGTCGTACGTCAATAGATACAACATTTTATTTGAGGACGGCAAATTGCTTTTTGCCTCGTTCTCGTCGTTCATGGCTTGAACGCTCTCTTTGGCCTTGTCCGCACCGGTCTCGAAGAGAGCCTTACTGGAGTCTTCTTGGATGGGCTGGTCGGAGGGCGCGGTGTTGGTCCTGGTGACAGTGACCGCGCATATCAATGAGGGTTTCGTCTTCGATGTGCTGGCCGTGTCCTTTTCCGCGCCCTCCGCGCTCTGCGCTTGGGAATACGATTCCTGTTGTGACGTCATACCGACGAATGACATAGCAGTCAATTCGATGCCGTATGTTGCTGTGGAAAAATAAGACATTGTTTGTAGACGAATCATCAAACATAACTTCAGAAATAAATGTATAGGGCTAGTGCTTTACTCAAGTCAGTGTTTTAGGTATAGGAGCAACAGCACGGGAGGGTGTTTTTGGGACGTCGAACGTTAGTGAGACTTCAAATATGCAAATATCTAAAGTTTAGATTTTTATGTTCTGTCACGTCATAATATGTCAAAGTCACTCCTCCTGTGCCGCTCCCATTACTCAGGCACTGACGACTTAAGCGTAGACCTATACAACAATACTACTAGACACTTACAGGTATCTTTCTCTATACTCGCCGACCAGACTTTATTGCAGTCCGTGCTGAGTATCCCGCTGAATATCGAGTCGTAGGGCGACAGGTGGATGAACTTGGCCAACCGTAGGCCGCACTCGAAGCGCCAGATGTTGACCTTGCCGTCGGAAGTTCCTGCGGCGATCAGCTCCCCCGTGTTGCCTTTGGACACTATGGTCACGTTCGGACTCGGGACGGCGCAAGCTGTGGCGTTTGTGACCTGGACAACATTTGTTTATTGTTATCTCGATGATTTTTCATTCATGATCAACACCAAAAATATTTTTCAATATATCATCAGAATACCACACTAAACAGAAATAAGTAAGGAATGAAATATACAAGAGACATCTTTAAAGCCACGTAGGTATACAAAGGTGTTTAGCATATTATGAATGTGCACACTGTATAGATTTTAAAACAGTGTAAAGCGTAATAGCAACTTCTTGCCTTAAATTGTTTCAAGCTAGCACATTTTATTAAAAGGATCACAAAATTTGATTCATTTGTTTAAAAAAACTTAGAGCAAATTGAGGTATTAAGAAAATCTGATCAAATCTGTAACTTTGCGAATGTCCCGAAGTCAAAAATAATATGGCTTTAACCTCTCAAACATTTATTTAATCTCTAATGACATTTAAATTGGTATGGATTTTTTTTATCTTGTGTAGGCAGGCATCCGCTGTCAGAAATATTCAGAAACATCGCATCTGTCGCGCTGCCAAGTCACCTAACTGAAGCGCTCTTAAAGTTGCTCAACACTTACTGATATGGGCACGTTGTGCGTATATTCGCCCCGTACAAAGGGGCAGTTGGGCGAGTGGCGCTCGTGCTCCACCCAGGGCTCGTCGGACTTCTCCCAGCAGACTAGGCACACCAGGCAGGTGAAGCACATAGCACGGTCATCGCCACTAGGTGTGGGCTGGTGGTAGAAGCCTGCTTGCGCCATACGCGCTGGTAACGCCCATCTGGTAAAAACAAAAGATGTTTGAGCAACTAGCATAAAGATGTTCTTATTTCACGCATAAAATGAGACATTTTCGTATCATTGAACTAGTAATTCAATGAGGGCTATCGTTTTAGCGCTTACCAGTTAGCGCCACTGTAGAGTAAGGTCCTGTCACTTGCTAGTTAGCGAAGACAGTGGCGCCAACTTGTGAGCGCTAAAGTGGTAGGAGGACTATCGCATTTGCACTCATCAAGATGGCGCCACTGTAGAGTAAGGTCCTGTCAATCGCAAGGGGTGCCAACTGTTAAGTATAAAAACGATAGCCCGCATTGATTGGTGGATTACAATTTTTAGAGCTCAGTTGTCTTAAAAAAAAAATTGAAAATACTATTTCTTTACAACCACGAAGTTGTAGCCTCATGCAATATAAATACATCCAGAACGGTATGTGAGCTAAGTAGGTGAATTTTTGAGACAGATCAGGTGAACTAGTTCATTTATAAGACAACTTAAGGATGGTATACACTCAGAAGCCGTCACAAAGTGGTATGTGTACACAAAGATGTTTCTAAATAAAACTGCCGAAACGAGTCAGCTTCTAAGTTAAGAATTACAATTCAACTCACTTGTAATCCATATGAGGCCATCGTTTGAAAGTCTCTTTCCTCTCGGCCTCAGAGTACATCAACGGCCTGGTCTCCTCATCCCGGGAGCAGGGCACGAGCTCGTTGGCTCTCTGGCCGACGGCCGAGGCGATAGCGAGAGCCGGGATCCGTCGGTTCTGGCCTTTCAACTCTTGGACTACTCCGGTGGTCACCAAGCGGACTGTCGACTGCGGCAGTCGGATGATGACTGTGCTCCACTGCAGACAATTTTGATTTTACGTTTCAGTTTCCGCTAAATATATCCATTGCTGGATAATGAAATACAATAACAAAGGATTGCCACAACTAAAAAAAAAACTTACAGTCCTATCCATATTGGATTCTTATAAGATGTGGATATAGACTAGTAGCCTAGTATTGATACTAAGGATCGAAATTGATTAGATTTTTTGCCGCTAAAAAAACACAAAATCATGTGCAACAATGTTTGACAAATTACACTAAATGAGTAAGTACTGTTTTCTCAAATCTTCACTTCATATCAAGAACTTGCCTAAACCCTAAAACAAAACGAATGCCTGCCATTCCCTTTGCCACACCCTATATTTATGAAATGAAAGTCCTGCACAATATAAACTACTAACTAAAAAAACATATTTAATTACTTCAATTTAGGAACCCTGTAAATAAATTGTGTTAAAAAACTATATTTCGCCACATAATCTCGTGTTTCTAGAAATATAGAAGTAAGAAATGGAAATAAAATGCGTTGTATGCTCATATTAAAATATAAAATCTGTCTATCGATCAACAACACTACAAGATCCTGACAGCCAATCAATAAATATGGCAAAATAATATCATGAAGCATTAGATTTTATCATAAAATAATGTACTTTCCAATGCACAGTCATGTATCCTTTTTTTCCTTTGAAGATTAGATTGTAATGTCCCTCTTCTTCTTGTCGTGTCGACAACAAACCAAATGTAATGTCCCTAAACACCAAACATTAATCATATTGCACAACTTTAATACATTTATTCATCCATCATATAAACATAAGCAGCATAGTATTTGTTTTTATTGATAAACTAGCGGCCGCCCGCGACTTCGTACGCGTGGATCCCGTTTTACCCCCTTCATCTATCTTACGCGGTTTAGATTTTTTCATAGCAATGTTTTTTTCCCGCTAACTCCCGTTCCCGTGGGAATTTTGCAATATCCTGTTGTAACTAAGCTTTGAGTTTACTAAGGTACCTGCATGCCAAATTTCAAGCATCTAACTTAAGCAGTTTANGAGGTATAGGAGCAACAGCACGGGAGGGTGTTTTTGGGACGTCGAACGTTAGTGAGACTTCAAATATGCAAATATCTAAAGTTTCGATTTTTATGTTCTGACACGTCATAATATATCAAAGTCACTCCTCCTGTGCCGCTCCCATTACTCAGGCACTGACGAGTTAAGCGTAGACCTATACAACAATACTACTAGACACTTACAGGTATCTTTCTCTATACTCGCCGACCAGACTTTATTGCAGTCCGTGCTGAGTATACCGCTGAAGATCGAGTCGTAGGGCGACAGGTGGATGAACTTGGCCAACCGCAGGCCGCACTCGAAGCGCCAGATGTTGACCTTGCCGTCGGAAGTTCCCGCGGCGATTAGCTCCCCCGTGTTGCCTTTAGACACTATGGTCACGTTCGGGCTCGGGACGGCGCAAGCTGTGGCGTTTGTGACCTGAACAACGGAATAATATGTTTCAAACACGTCCAATACCTACTAAAAATATCTTACAAGTCAAGCATAAGATTAGTTTATGCCAGGCTTGCTGCTGCATGACATACAGCGGAGTTATTACGAACGTGCGCGAAAGATACTTCATAAAGTCTACAAATCTACAGATTTTTTAAATTCGTGTAAGTGTAACGCAACTTTTTGTCTTATGAAAGAGTGCATGTAACATTATTTCAAGCTGGCATTGAATAAGAATAAGAATAAGAATAAGAAATTTATTCATAATGTTCATTACATGTCAATCATTGATCATCATTAACCCATTAACGCCCATAGTGAAACCACGATATATTTTCATAATATTTTTTATTATTGCTACTGAATGGATTACAAGTAATCTATAAACACAAAAAAATATTGAAAAAAAATTAAAAACCTTGAAAAAAAACCCTGTACACAGGTGTGTACAATGGGCGGATCAGGTGAGAAATTTCCCGAAGCAAGGTCGCTCTACGCAAAGCGTTTTCAGGCATTTAGAGCAATACCAACGTCCCTACTATGGCAAATAACACACCTAAGAGGGTTTACAATACGGTTATGCCCTCCATTGCTTGACTGTAAATATGATGTTGACGATGATGGCCGCGTCTTCGTTTTATTATTGGGTAAATACGATCTGGCAATAGATCGCCTAAAAGCCAATTGATCCAAGTACGTTGTGTTTTTGGTTTACACGGTAAGTACATATAAGCGCCATGCATTTGAGACCGCCATATCCACTAGTTTGGGTGATTTCATGAGCAGTAGAAAAAATGGGTGATATTTTTCTCCAAGTAGGATTTTCAGCAACTTCCTTACGAGCACGTTTTTGAGCCGGACCAAGGCTTGAAAGAGTTTCTTCATCGCTATTGACCCACTCCGACTCTTCATCTGAAGGTTGGTCGCGTAATAGCTCGATAGTACCTGGTATATCTCAAAGTACCGAGGAAGTCAAATCATCTTATGCACCTTCTTCTTCATCACTAACAACAGCAGGATCAGGTGGTACGATGATAAATTTTAGCTCCGTATTGTCATCTTCAGCTGCCATAATGGATTCGATGGCTTCCTCTAGTTTTGAAACTCGTTTTGAGATGATAAACGTTATCTATGTGACATCTTCAATCATCAACCTGGTCTTGAAAAAAATGTTTTTCTTAGTATACATTCACCCACTGTACACAAGCGTGTACACCAACATTCTTGAACAATTTTTGGTATGTTATATGTATATATTTATTATTTTTTTAGCTTATAATAATAATTCACAATGTAAACTTACCTTGAAACGTAGAATTGAATCAAAATAAAGCTAAAATATATTATATCAGTATTATTTCACAACCGGCGCCAGTCACTTTGAGAAAAGGTCGGAAAAAAATGTTAATTAGACATTTATTTTTACACCACCCTCCAACTTTTTTATATTTCTTACCTTGTATCGACATCTAGATTAGGTTTTATCAAGTAATTTGACTTAACATTAGAAGTTGCGTTCAGAAATAAAGTTTAAAGAAGTGTACACACGTGTGTACAGAGGGCGTTAATGGGTTAAAATATGACAATATTTTGAAGTTGAGGAATTGGGAAAGTCTGATTTAATCTAACTTAGCGAATGGCCATCTTACATTAAATATAACAAATATCAAAAGTCTGAAAATTCCATAGAAAAACACCGGATATAGTTACGGTTAAAGTTAAGGTGATGCAACTACGCCCAAGAACATCATTGCTTTAACTTCTCAAATACTATTATTAATTTAATCCTTAATACCATATAAATTGGTGCAAATAAGGCATTATCTGCCAGTTAAAGTAATTCAACACTTACTGATATGGGCACGTTGTGCGTATATTCCCCCCGTACAAAGGGGCAGTTGGGCGAGTGACGCTCGTGTTCCACCCAGGGCTCGTCGGACTTCTCCCAGCAGACTAGACACACCAGGCAGGTGAAGCACATAGCACGGTCATCGCCGCTAGGTGTGGGCTGGTGGTAGAAGCCTGCTTGCGCCATACGCGCTGGTAACGCCCATCTGGTGGAAAAATGAACTTTAGGCAACTAGGAATAAAGATGTTTTTATTTCACGCATAGAATGAGACATTTTCGTATCATTGAACTAGTAATTCAATGAGGGCTATCGTTTTAGCGCTCACCAGTTTGCGCCACTGTAGAGTAAGGTCCTGTCACTTGCTAGTTAGCGAAGACAGTGGCGCCAACTTGTGAGCGCTAAAGTGGTAGGAGGACTATCGCATTTGCACTCATCAAGATGGCGCCACTGTAGAGTAAGGTCCTGTCAATCGCCAGGGGTGCCAACTGTTAAGTATAAAAACGATAGCCCGCATTGATTGGTAGATTACAATTTTTAGAGCTCAGTTGTCTTTAAAAAAATTTGAAAATACTATTTCCATGCAATATAAATACATCCAGAACGGTATGTGAGCTAAGTAGGTGAATTTTTAAAACAGATCAGGTGAACTAGTTCATTTATAAGACAACTTACACACACAGAAGACGCCACAGAATGCTATAGGTACACAAAGATGTTTCTAAATAAAGCTGCCGTAACGAGTCAGCTTCTAAGGCCCAGAACAGACGGTGAAACGCTACTGCAACGAAACTGCGATTGCTAGTTACTTTTGAGTTGCATCTAAGTTTCTGCCATAGCGTCCGTTGAGAGACCACACATGACGCGACCAGTTTGAAAGTTTCAGTTTTAATCATCAGAATCATCACAAAGTTGCAGTTTCGTTGCAGTTGCGTTTCACTGTCTGTTCTGGGCCTAAGTATTACAACAATTCAACTCACTTGTAATCCATATGAGGCCATCGTTTGAAAGTCTCTTTCCTCTCGGCCTCAGAGTACATCAACGGCCTGGTCTCCTCATCCCGGGAGCAGGGCACGAGCTCGTTGGCCCGCTGGCCGACGGCTGAGGCGATGGCAAGAGCCGGGATCCGTCGGTTCTGGCCCTTCAACTCCTGGACTACTCCGGTGGTCACCAAGCGGACTGTCGACTGCGGCAGTCGGATGATGACTGTGCTCCACTGCAGACAATTTGGATTTTACGTTTCAGTTTCCGCTAAATATATCCATTGCTGGATAATGAAATACAATAACAAAGGATTGCGACAACTAAAAAAAATTAACAGTCCTATGCTGTCCATATTGGATTCTTATAAGATGTGGATATAGACTAGTAGCCTAGTATTGATACTAAGTTTCGAAACTGATTACATTTTTTGCCGATAAAAAACACAAAATCATGTGCAACAATGTTTGACAAATTGCACTAAATGAGTTTTCTACTACTGTTTTCTCAAATCTTCACTTTGTATCAAGAACTTGCCTAAACCCTAAAATAAAACGAATGCCTGCCATTCCCTTTGCCACGCCCTATATTTATGAAATGAAATGCCTGCACAATATAAACTACTAACTAGAAAAACATATTGAATTGAAATACTTCAATTTAAGAACCCTGTAAATAAAAAAACCCTGTGTTAAAAAAACTATATTTCGCCACATATTCTCGAGTCTCTAGAAATATACAAGTAAGAAATGGAAATAAAGTGAGTTGTATGACTTGTATGCTCATATTAAAATATAAAATCTGTCTATCGATCAACAACACTACGAGATCCTGACAGCCAATCAATAGATATGGCAAAATAATATCATGAAGCATTAGATTTTATCATAAAATAATGTACTTTCCAATGCACATGTATCCTTTTTTTCCTTCTAAGATTAGATTGTAATGTCCCATAAACACCAAACATAAATCATATTGCACAACTTTAATACATTTATTCATCCATCATATAAACATAAGCAGCATAGTATTTGTTTGATGATAAATAAGTAAGGCGGCCCTAACTCAATGTTCATGTGGCTAGTTTCACTCTTAATTACTTTTTCATAATATGTAATAGAACGCCGTGTAGGACGTCCGCCCACAAGGTGAACCGAATTCTAATAAAGATAGCAGAAAGGTGCTGGTTGCAGACCATTACCAACCGGGCCATGAAGAAATCATTGGGGAAAGCCTATGTTCAGCAGTGGACGCCCTGTGGCTGAAATGATGATGATGATGAATGATAGAACATAAATAAATTTAAATCTTTACCTTTTGCGCCTTCACGCCCTTACGAACAGGCTCGGCATCTATGGCGTTCTTGAGTTCAGTGATGAAGTCCGATAGGCCCTCAATCGAGTGAGCGTCTAGGCTCTCCAGACACTGGTACAGGAGAACAGCCTGAAACAATCCATTATGTTTAACATATGCACTGGAAAAGTACATCAGTGTTGATTCACTTCTGTAATTTTTCAATTTATGTGTCACTATGTTGCCTTTTTACAAAAAGGACAACGTAGAATAAAATTCTCAAATACAATACATTTACAACTAAAATATTATTAGTATTTTAAAACAATTACAATTAAAATATAGTTAAAACATTGTTTGGCACATCTACTGATGCTGATAAAATTCAATAATAGCTTAAAAGGCATTTTCATTGTTGATATATTGTAAATGAATAGTTAACAAGATTGAATGTACTATCTAAATAAAAACTAAGTAAAACAACCAAGTATATTATTTAAACTTTGATCTTTGGAATAACAAAATATAAATATGAGTTATCACAGTATGTTTGCACTTTCACCAAACTTTAACTGTCTATCTCTCACAGTTAAAAATTAGCAAGTGATATTAATAGATTAACCCTAATACAATATTCATGTACTGCTTTCCCTCAAAAATAAACTCAGCATATCCTGTATTCAAATTAGATCCTATTGTCTATAAGTGATTATGACTCATAACTAAACACTATCATAATACAAGTACTACTAAAATACAACTTAATCTATCTATACTAATATTATAAAGCTGAAGAGTTTGTTTGTTTGTTTACTTGAACGCGCTAATCTCCGGAACTACTGGTCCAATTTGAAAAATTCTTTCAGTGTTAGATAGCCCATATCGATCGAGGAAGGCTATAGGCTATACAACATCACGCTACGATCAAGAGGAGCAGAGCAATAATGAAAAATGTTGCGAAAACGGGTTTTCACGCGTACGAAGTCGCGGGCACAGCTAGTAGTTTATAAAGATCAGTATGAAAATAAAGTTTGTAACAGAGAAATCTAATTGAATCATTAAAACCTTTCATCAATAACAACACAATGCAATGCAATTAGCTACCCGCACATTAGTCACCACTGTGAATTCTTATGTCATATGAAACTTAATAGTAATGCTTCCACATTGTTTGAAGCGAAACTCAATATGATGACCTAGTCTTTATGTTGTTATGATAAAAATCCGAAGTGTTTGTAATATAATAACAACATTGTATTTTACATAGGGTGTACTGCCCCTAGTTCAGTAATAACTGAAACAATGATGAGTTATAATGCTTCTTGATGAAAATCAGTGGAATCATAGTTATTTTTACTTTAAATAATCACAAATGAGAATAAACTCCATTAACCTAAAAATAAGCTGCACTAAATCACTCTGGCAATAATAGAAGGAGTTTACAGTACCCATAAACTTTGTCTATTCTTATTACAGATTGAGAAATGAAAAAGCTTTTATTTTCAGAATAAGAGTTGATTATTTAGATTCAGATAAGTGGATTAATTATTGAGGAATCAACTAACTATTTCTCACAATCTGATATTTTAGTTCTTGTAGAGAAGCTCTAATGTAAAGGGGTATATTACTGCTTATATTTAAATCATAATCTTCTAAGTGTAAATTAAAGATGTGTTTAATTAAAATCAAATATGAATCAATAAGCTAAATTACTCACGATCAGAAACTAATTGGATAAGCAATTTGTGCAAACACACAGTAAAACATTTCAATATGAAACTAAAGAAAACAATAAATTATTTATTTTTATAAGAACAACCTCGGAATCTTTCTAATATTGATGATTAATTGAATCTCAAAAAAAGAGAACCACCTCATAAAGTTTAAAAGATTTCCACCGTAGATTGAATAAGAAGCATCAGTGCTTGTACTCAAAGTGAGGTACACCAATAGTTCACTCCATGTTATGTAGATCCATATAAATGAAAACAAGCAAAATATAATGCATTAATAATAATGATAGGGTTGATATAATATTTACCCTGATAATAACATTAAGATATTCTCATCTAGTAAAAAAAATAAAAAGTATATGTAGGTAGGTATACTACCTACATAGAATATCATCTATCAACTTCATATTGCTTGCTAATCCAGATAAATCTAACAGAAAATTAAACAGAAAACAAAAATTCTTTGTACAATGTAAAGATAATGTAAATAAACATCAATAACTTAGTTCTCTGACTAATTATGCGATATTATAAGTTTCAATCAATATGTTGCGTTTCAATGTTCGATCAATATCTTACATCACATTTCGCAATTTTATCCTTGTTCATTTTAGGAAAACTGTATTGAATCCAATTGTGTTTGTGAAACTACAATATGAAAACTATTGGAAACCAATTTGAATGAATAATGCATGTGAATCACTTAACAATGTTTCTTCTCACAGTATGCAAAATTTAAGTCTCTACCAAACAGATAAACTTGACATTATCATAGTACAAACAGTAGGCAGAAAATGCAATCACAAGAGAAATGAGGTGTGAATAGAATGAACTAAGATACGAACCTCAGACAAAACGAGTTCAATGCGAATTATTTTGTCGGGCTGCGAGGAGGGCAGCGGGCGTTGCAGGGCCGTGTGCAGCAGGAGCACCCCATTGTAGTCGGTGCGAGCGCCCACGCCGCTGTTGTCCCACAGAAAAACCCGGTCCGCACCCGGCGCGTACTCGACGCCTAGCGCGCCGCCCTCGTCTAAAACCACAACACGATCCGGTGCAATACGACTTGTTTATTGTCAACTGTCAGCAGAACAATGTAGGACACGGAAACGATCTCTTTGTCGATCATCACTCATCCAAAAATACGATAACCTATATCTTGATACACGAGAAAACTGGATAAAAACACCGATTACGGAGCACCAATCTTTTGTCAGAGGACCAATAGCGTCTAAACTTACCCGCTGCTGACAGGAAAGAAGACTGGAGTATCACACCAGAGTTCACATCCAAAACGTGTACACCACCAACGAGAGTCTTCACCAATATTATATTTAAATTACTATGATACGTTAAAGAAGTAACAGGAAAGTTCATATGAATATAACCATCTTCTCGTAATATCAAAGAATCATCGCCCATCGTGGCCGTGAACACATCTGTCTATTCTACGTAAACGCCATTTGTAATTTATATTTTTTTATGTCAAATGCCTCGGACCGTGCGAGTGGCCAGCTACAAAGTTGAGGCAAAGGAATATAATTTTATAATTCATTCATTATACATAGTATTGATTTTACTAGCAAAACTTTAATTGATGCTAATTAATATTTTTGTGTACAAAATTTACAGTTAGGTACAGTTCTCCAAATTAATACTTTGGTATTTCAAGCCACAAATACCAAAATAGCAATTTCAAAAAAAAATGTTGCCAGATCCATTGTACAGTTCACAGAACATTTATGTTGTAAAACTCATAGTACAGCTTTTATGTGCCACATAGTTTCCCATAATATGTGCCATCTTCTTTAATGTTGATGCGAAACAAGGTACATAATCAGTATGCTGTTTGTTAAATGATGAAATTCATATTTTGGAACTGGTAACCCTTGAATTACGATGACTGTCAAAAAGTTCATGATTGGAGCATTGACCTGTAACCTGTAAATACCATTGGTCAAAATAGCACAGCATAACTATGTTACTGTAGCATGATTCGCAAAGGTCATGGTTGCATACTGATGTTGCACACCATTCATATAAATATACAGGGTGTAAAAAAAGAGCTTGTTAACGTTATTTAGCTGTTGAAAACTAAATCACAGTTCTTCTGAATTCTGAAGTATGAAGACCTACTTAAGTCCTAAATCGTATTGTATGATTTAGGATATAGGATTTTCATGAAACCTTAAAGATATTTTTTGCTGTAGGTACTTGCACTGAAACCTGCTACACTACTTATTGCTTGTGGTAGCATTTTTCATTAGTAGCTATAGTAAACTATTGTACTGTTTGGAAGGTTGTTGGGTTTACTACATGCAATAAAAGACTAACGGTTTTTTTCTATTGATATAAAAGAATTTGATGAATTTGTGTCTGTCCTGTTGGTTGTCGTAATTAAATAAATAAATAAAGACTACCAACCAACTTTCATATCATACTTTTGGCGGTTTAACATAATGGGCGAAGAAATAAAATGAACATAAATAATATCAAAGTAAACTCTTGTATTTGTAAAAATAATATAATAAAAGTAAGCTTAGGACTAATGGACGGAATAAAATCAAGCATTAAAAATAACGACAATCAATATGTAAATTTTTCATAAAAATATAATTTAGTAAATTACTCATTCATAATCAGACATAATCTATTTCTTAATTATCATAATAAAATATCAATTCCACCAAGAGATTCTAGGATTTTTACTGTTTTTACCTTCTTTTGTTCCCGTTGAGTTACACCATTTAATGTAACACTGACACATTGGGAGAAAAACCGATCAGTAACACTGTAACTAAGGGTTACCTTTTTTTATGAGTTATCTTATAGATAATGAGTATTATTGAACTAGGTGTAATATTTCAAACTATCTATGATTTCATAGACGATAATTACTAATAAATGCATGCGGTGTATTTAATTTATAGATTAGAAAAGAGAGAGACATAAAGTTTGCTGCCATGTATGGCAGTCGTTAAAGGAATGTTAATACAGACAGAGTTTGAGACAAGTATACTTTTTTAGCTACATATATTACATTAAATTTCATCTTTACGTATCGTCAAAAAGTTGCCATACTCATTATCACAAACAACAGTCGAGAGTGTGGTGTCCTTTATAATTTCTAGCTTCTCAAACTCTATGCGTGGCATGGCGTTGACTTTTAACCACATTTTTATATTGAGGAAGAGCCTATAAACATTAAATACGCAAAACGCTGCACACATACAGTGGCTTTCTCAAAAGTTGGCATAAATTGAGTAGATTATTATAAACATTCAGTCTTTAGTCGTGACAGTAAGTGATGCTTAGAACTTCAAAGTTGTGACAAATGACAATCAGTAATGTTTAGAACTCCCAGGAGTCGAGCCACTTCAGGCCAGTCATGGTGGAGTTGGGTTCGCTTGCGAGCGGCCCGGTCATCCCGTACGCCAGCGGAGAGAATAGATAGAAGCTGTAGACCGTCGTGGATATAACCAGGCCGACGATGCAGTGGTACAGTGTTCTGCCCAGCTCTGCGTTCAAGTAGCTTCTGATGCTGCTCAGCAAGTATTCCGTGAGGATACCTGTGAAGGAAGGTCTGTTTTAGAAGTTTGCAACAAAGTTCTGCAGAATAATTTACTAATTGTAAATCTACCGGATGGATTTCAGACTGCTGAAACACTTTCCTTTAACAGCCGTCTAACCTGGTGGTGTATCATCATCATCATTTAGTTACTACTTCAGGAACATGACTCTCTCCAATTTAACAAAGGTAAGTAGATAATGTGACCTACACTCCCCACCTGGGCCAGACGGCCTGATGTTAGCATATTTTATATTTTATACGCCTAGTCCTCTTGCATCTATTATCGGGGAGTCATCCTATTCTTCTGACAGAACTTCCAGACAGCAAAATCAGCTGTATTTGTCGGATATACCCTAGGGAAAAACCTTAGCCTCACCAGTGAGCATGGAACTGAAGACGAGCGCGGGGAAGTAGTGGTGGAAGTATAGCACGCGTCCCATCGCCCAGAACGGAACGTAGTGCAGCGCCCAGCCCGCGACAGACCAGCCCGCCGCGTTGAGAAGAACTTGCATCTTGCTTGCCCTCGCTGCATCTGAATCTGTTTTACAAAGTTTTAATTAGAAAATTTGCAAAATCATACTAAACAACGTCACTGCTACCCGAGAACTTCTCTGCCAACAAAGTGAGCAGAAAAGTTTTCGAGTGGCGACCACGGATTGGAAATTGGATCTTGTTAAGGTCGCGGAAAGCACCTTGATACGGGCAGCACAGGACCGATCGCTGCGGAAATCCGTGACCAGTCTAGTTGTCCAGTAGCCGACGGCATTTAGTTGAAACGAACGACATGGAAATTCCACTTTTTATTATATTCATATTATACTTATATTATACTTATTTATTCATACTATTACCGTCAATATGACTTTTCTTACCCAAAACACGTATGCCAAGAGCCTCCGCTCTCTTCTGCCTGACTGCGTTGACGATGTAAATGACGAAGAATACAGCCAGGAACACCAAGTTAGTCCACCACACCACAGGGTTGCCCAGCAGGTAGATCCTGTGAGCGCTGCCGGAGAAGAACTGACCCTATTTGAATGGAGAAAAGACCGTTTTAAATCGATCATAATATTAAACTTTTCTCTGCCAGTGAATGTTTCATCAACAAGATATGCGAGATATGCGTTTCCAGTCACCCATTTCTGATGCTTTCTTAATTGTCACAAGGTCAATAACTCAATACACCACTGGCACATCTGTAGGCATTGTCTCTATAACATTACATTGTAGCGGTAAAAACCAATTACCTACTCATTTATGTAATTGTGTGTGTGACATGCTCATAATATTCTGCGAATTTCGATAATTTTAAAATATAATACGTGTTTATGTGCCATATATGACTCAGTTCTAATGACATCCAATGTAGGTCCTCGTCATAAAATTAGGAATGAAAATTAAAATGACACAATGATTAGGCATAGCTTAAGCTCCATGGGTTTTTTGTGGTAAAAATAATAAATAAGTACATTACTGTTTAATACGCTGAAATCACTATGATGTCATCACAATATTCTATGCATTGATGAAAATCATTTGAACATAATCTGTGGTAAGAGTAAGAAAACTATCGCTGTTATCGCGTCAGTGATATGTCTCAGGTGGGAATTAATCCACGACCTTTTGCTTGTCGGGCAACTGCTCTAACCACTAAGCTACGGCGACATTGGGTTACCCATCGACATTTTGAAGTCTATTACGTTGTTTTAGCTAACATTTTTTCACCACCCATAAGCATTTTGGACTTTCTTACCCTATAGTTGATGGGCCACTGCCAAGGCCGGGAGGTGACCTCTCCTTCTTTAGGTTTTAGCCCCGCATTACCCTGCAGCATTACTGCGTGAGACTCCAGGAAGCGCTCCACGAAGCCAGAGGCATACGCTTCGAAACTCATTTTTGGCACTGAAAGAATAACATGATAGTAGTAAAATATATTAACAACACATTAAAAACTTAATAATAAANCGAAGAACTGGTTTAGAAGTTTGCAACAATGTTCTGCAGAATACTATACTTTACTAATTGTAAATCTATCGGATGGATTTCAGACTGGGCTGAAACACTTTCCTTTAACAGCCGTCTAACCTGGTGGTGTATCATCATCATCATCATTTAGTTACTACTTCAGGAACACGACTCTCTCCAATTTAACAGAGGTAAGTAGAGAATATGGCCTACATTCCCCACGTGGGCCAGATAGTTGAGGCCTGAGTTAGCATATTTTATATTTTATACGCCTAGTCCTCTTGCATCTAGGGAATCATAGGATGACCTATTCTTCTGACAGAACTACACGTCTACTACTGGTGGTGAATTCCAGACAGCAAAATCAGCTATAGTTGTCGGATATCCCCTAGGGAAAAACCTAAGCCTCACCAGTGAGCATGGAACTGAAGACGAGCGCGGGGAAGTAGTGGTGGAAGTATAGTACGCGTCCCATCGCCCAGAACGGAACGTAGTGCAGCGCCCAGCCCGCGACAGACCAGCCCGCCGCGTTGAGAAGAACTTGCATCTTGCTTGCCCTCGCTGCATCTGAATCTGTTTTACAAAAGGTTTTAATTAAAAAAATCCCAAAATCATACTTAACAACGTCACTGCTACTCGAGAATTTCTCTGCCAACAAAGTGACCAGAAAAGTTCTCGAGTAGCGACCACGGATAAATTGTGTAGGAAGCCCCGCTTCCACACATTGGACCGAAGATCTTGTTAAGGTCGCGGAAAGTAACTGGATGCGGGCAGCGCAGGGCCGATCGCTTTGTCCAGTAGCCGACGGCTTTTAGTTGAAATGAACGACATGGAAATTCCACTTTTTATTATATTCATATACTTATTTATTCATACCTACTATTAACGTAAATATGACTTTTCTTACCTAAAGCACGTATGCCAAGAGCCTCCGCTCTCTTCTGCCTGACTGCGTTGACGATGTAAATGACGAAGAACACAGCCAGGAACACCAAGTTAGTCCACCACACCACAGGGTTGCCCAGCAGGTAGATCCTGTGAGCGCTGCCGGAGAAGAACTGACCCTATTCGAATGGAGAAAAAACCGTTTTAAATCGATCATAATATTAAACTTTTCTTTACAAGTGAATGTTTCATCAACGAGATATGCGAGATATGCGCTTCCAGTCACCCATTTCTGATGCTTTCTTAATTTTCACAAGGTTAATAACTCAATACACCACTGGCACATCTGTAGGCATTGTCTCTATAACATATTACATTGTAGCGGTAAAAACCAATTAGGTACCTACTCATTTATGTAATTGTGTGTGTGACATGCTCATAATATTCTGCGAATTTTTATAATTTTAAAATATGTACATGTTTAAGTGACTCAATTCTGATGACATCCAATTTGTAGGTACTCGTCATAAAATTAGAAATGAACGTAAAAATGACACAATGATTAGGCATAGCTTAAGCTCCATGGGTTTTTGTGGTAAAAATAATAAATACATTACTGTTTTAATAATACGCTGAAATCATTATGTCATCGCAATATTCTATGCATTGATGAAAATCATTTGAACATCTGTGGTTAGAGTAAGAAAACTATCGCTGTTATCGCGTCAGTGATATGTCTCAGATGGGAATTAATCCACGACCTTTTGCTTGTCGGGCGACTGCTCTAACCATTGAGCTATAGCGACATTGGGTTACCCATCGACATTTTTAGGTCTATTACGTTGTTTTAGCTAACATTTTTTCACGACCCTTAAGTGTTTTGGACTTACTTACCCTATAGTTGATGGGCCACTGCCAAGGCCGAGAGGTGACCTCTCCTTCTTTAGGTTTCAGTCCTGCGTTCCCCTGCAGCATTACTGCGTGAGACTCCAGGAATCGCTCCACGAAGCCAGAAGCATACGCTTCGAAACTCATTTTTGGCACTGAAAGAATAACACTATAGTAGTAAAATATATTAACAACACATTAAAAACTTAATAATAAAAATATATTATTTTCTTTTTCTGCCAAAACGGGCAAAAACAGACAGGCTTTGCTGGATTGCTGAACCAAGAGAATTTTATTCTGAGCAGCTTGTATCATCATGGTACACTTAGTAAGAAGTCAACCTTTAACCCATCGATACAGTTTTGTTTATCAAATTGAAGATTAATACGAACAAAGGGACGACAGTATCATATGAATCATAAACAGGATGATGAGTCTTCGTATAAAAATTTCGAATAACAATTGTTTACTTTAGACGTGAACACGCATACCTGGTCTTAAGACGTAGTATTATATTAAAAGTACTATTAGCGCTTGTCTGGAGTAGCTTCCTGCGACAGTGAAGCGATACAGGGGGGAGGATTAGGGGGGTTTATGTTGCGTCATTATTGTCAGGGAGATTTAAGACGTGCTTCAGACGTGTATGCCGTGACTGCTCTAAGCTCTGTAATTTAATTATACATTTTAATTTTGAGTTAAGAAGCTACTCACAGTCCTCAAAGACGTTGTCTTCAACGTTCCACAGAGCGTTTTTGTCCCTTAAGTTGGGATTGCAGGCCACCTCTTGCTGTTCGTAGCCCCATTTAGGCAGCTGCCTGCCGCTCGTTGTTAGAGCGCATGCCTGTATGAAAGGAGAGCTGGTAGTCGATAGTGAGCTTTGACTGTAACCATTAGTTACATAAGGTTCTAGAGGGGTTAATAATAGAGAGTGTCTCAAACTCTGGTCAATAAAGGTCAAGATAATTCATAAGTATTAAATAAGGCGCCCCTAATAAGTAACAAAAATTAAAAGGGGCTACCCTTTCAACCGTGTCGTTTCAAAATCTTATGTCAAAATGTTTGTGTAATGCCACTATGTTTAGTGAAAGGTGGAAAACTTTAGGTACTAAAAATAAATTTTTTAGACGTTAGTTTACGCATGAATAAATATCTACCGATGGTTTATAGAAAAAATAAGTTGTAAAGAGAGGTGGCCGTACCTGCAAGTAGTGCACGAACATGAGTTTGCTCCTAACCGTCTGGACCTCGTCACCGTCTTTCCCTCCCGTGATTACTACCTTCCACACGTCATTTGCGTCTCCAATCCCATTCTATTAACAACATAAAAATATCAGTTAAATCACAAAAAACAATCAGAGGGGCTCTTCCCGCCAGACGAGGCCTACCCACTAGAACCGGACGTCGTTTCAGCTAAATGACGTCCACTGCTGGACAAAGGCCTCCCCCAAGGCTTTCCATAACGACCGGTCTTGCGCTGCCTGCATCCAGGTTGCCTGTATTTTGACGGAACTGCGAGTTATCCGGTCTAGACGGCCGCGACGCCGCCACGGGTCTTTCTATGTCTAGTGGTCGAGGACCCTAGTGACTGAGGACTCGTTGGGATCCTTGGGTTTTGCACTAACCNCTTAGGCAGCTGCCTGCCGCTCGTTGTTAGAGCACATGCCTGTATGAAAGGAGAGCTGGTAGTCTATAGTGAGCTTTGACTGTAACCATTAGTTACAGAAGGTTCTAGAGGGGTTAATAATATGTAGAGTGTGTCTCAAACTCTGGTCAATAAAGGTCACGATAATTTATAAGTATTAAATAAGGCGCCCCTAATAAGTAACAAAAATTAAAAGGGGCTACCCTTTTAACCGTGTCGTTTCAAAATCTTATGTCAAAATTTTTGTGTAATGTCTCTATTTTTATCGAAATGTGGAAAATTTTAAGTACTAAAAATAAATGTTTTAGACGTTAGTTTACGCATGAATAAATATCTACAGATGGTTTATAGAATAAATAATAAGAGAGGCGGTTGTACCTGCAAGTAGTGCACGAACATGAGTTTGCTCCTCACCGTCTGCACTTCGTCGCCGTCTTTCCCTCCCGTGATTACAACCTTCCACACATCGTTCGCATCGCCAATCCCATTCTATTAACATAAAAAAAATAGTTAAATCACAAAAAAGCATGTGAGATACAAAATCAATCAGAGCTAGGGGCTCTCCCTTGCGAGACGGGTGGGGCCTACCCACTAGAACCGGACGTCGTTTCAGCCAAATAACGTCCACTGCTGGACAAAGGCCTCCCCCAAGGCTCTCCATAACGAACGGTCTTGCGCTGCCCGCATCCAGGCTCTTCCCACGACCTTTACCAGATCGTCGGTCCACCTATTGGGGGGCCTGCTCAAGAACCGGACGGTGTCCGCCAAAGTATATTTTGACGGAACTGCGAGTTATCCGGGCTAGACGGCCTAGCTAGACTTTCTTCGAGGTTCCGCCTTAAACTTTCCAGAGCAAGCGGTTTCGCCAAGGGTCCTTCTATGTCTAGTACCTGAGAAACCTAGTGGCGCTGTGCACTTGTTGGGATCCTTGGGAGTTGCACTAACCTCGCCGTAGCCCGTGACCTGCCAGAACTTGGTGGTGAGCGTCGCCTTCTCCCGGTGCGAGTGTAAGTTGCAGCCAGTAGCCGCGTGCGTCAGTCGCAGTAAGTCCCCGCTGCGCACTATCACCACACCGTCACTTGTTACTGGTCGCTGGTAGACTCGCACTAACCTCTCCATAGCCAGTGACCTGCCAGAACTTGGTGGTGAGCGTCGCCTTCTCCCGGTGCGAGTGTAAGTTGCAGCCTGTTGCAGCGTGCGTCAGCCGCACCAAGTTCCCGCTGCGCACTATCACCACACCGTCCACTTGTTACTGATCACTAGTAAGCTCTCACTAACCTCTCCGTAGCCCGTGACCTGCCAGAACTTGGTGGTGAGCGGCGCTTTCTCCCGGTGCGAGTGTAAGTTGCGGCCGGTAGCCGCGTGCGTCAGCCGCACTAAGTCCCCGCTGCGCACTATCACCACAGATCACTACACCATCCACTTGTTAACTCGCACTAACCTCTCCGTAGCCCGTGACCTGCCAGAACTTGGTGGTGAGCGGCGCTTTCTCCCGGTGCGAGTGTAAGTTGCGGCCTGTTGCAGCGTGCGTCAGTCGCACCAAGTCCCCGCTGCGCACTATCACCACACCATCAACTTGTTCCTTATCGTACGGCTTTATGATCCAACGGTTGTTGTCATCTTTGTGCGTGTAAGTTGTGATCTGTATTGAAAAGAGAAAGTCACTAGATATTCTTAAAAATTAAAACATGTTTTGATTCAGAAGGAAAATGGTTATTTTTATTGCTACGATCATAAATTTTTAAACGTATGGCTGAATCCGTAATTAACTACCTGTTGCGTCTATTGATGATGATGTCTAGTTACATACCTGCTGCTGCCTCGCCCCGACCCCAGCTGGGTACAGATGGTAGTGCGAGTGCAGGTAGCCGCCGCCGGTGCGGTGGGTCTTCAGCGAAATGGTGGCTCTATAATCCATTACACTTGGCTCGCTGGCGTTGTGCCGGCTGTTGCCACTAATGTTGACGATATACTATCTAGTTAGATACCTGCTGTTGCTTCGCCCCCCCAACCCCAGCTGGGTACAGATGGTAGTGCGAGTGCAGGTAGTCGGTGCGGTGGTTCTTCAGCGTAATGGCAGCTACGTAAACTACAATTCGCGGCGTTGTGCAGGTTATTGTCCCTAATGATGATGATATGTCTATAGTCTGGTCCGGGAGCACGTATAATTTTGTCCAATGACCCCAAGCTACCCATCCTTATCGCTCGCGCGTAATTATGTTGCTGTCGCGCTCGCACACTCACTGCGGGCGCCCGTCGCACAGTTGCGACAGCAATATAATTACGCGCGAGCGATAAGGATGGGTAGCTTGGGGTCATTGGACAAAATTCTACGTGCTCACGGACCAGACTATAGTTACATACCTGCTGCTGCCTCGCCCCGACCCCAGCAGGGTACAGATGGTAGTGCGAGTGCAGGTAGCCGCCTCCAGTGCGGTGATTCTTCAACGTAATGGCGGCTCCGTAAGCCACGATTCGCGGCGCACTAGCGTTGTGCAGACTGTTACCTTCCAGCCGCGCTTGGAAACCGGACGAGTAGAAGCCATCGCCGTTGCCACTGTTTTTTGGTAGCAGATAAGGAAAAAATGGATTTTAATACTTTTTAAACTGGGTAATGGGTATTTGAAACCATTGATAAATTCTTAGATTAAAAACATTCATTATGGCCCTGAAATCCGAGTTTTTAATTTTTAGTAGCTTTGAAAACAATGAATAGCAAATTGCCATAACTTTGTCGCATTTTAATAGCTCATTTAAAGTATGTCAAGGTAAATTGGCATAGGCCACTGAAAGCCAGCAACTTACCTTTTACTAAGAACAGTCAGGTGGATCCAAAAGAAGAACACATAGAGCACAGCTGGCCACAATATTAGTGTTATAGTTCTGGCAAATAAATGCTTCACAGTCAGACTCTGCAAAATAAAGTTTTATTGAAGTTATACGCGTTTATAAGTCGGCGAGTTTCTGGAGAGTAGGCCTTGTTCCGCAAAAAGTATATTATTACTACAATGGGATAGTAATGAAAATGTAACAATAACTTTTTGAAGTAAGTACTTACAACAGGCTTGTCCAATTGGCCAAGAATATTCCATAGGTCAGCTATGGTCCTCAGTCCAACAAAAAGCACCACAAACAGTCCTACGAACTTGACAGATATGGTACAGGCCAGTGCTGTACCCAAGAACAACTGCCAGATTATCATGTGTGGGGAAAACGGCTCCAGACCATCATCTGTTAAACTGCGCACCTGTAGGTAAAATAACAAGTAAAACAGTTGAATAAAAAAATTGCATTTGTAACAAAAGAAAGAAGATAACTTTGATGATTGCAACTAAAGTTCTTCTGAGCTATAGACAATTTTATACTTAATTATTTATTTATTTGATCATTTGCATTACAGGGATTCTATAAAAAATGAGAAGCAATAAACCTGTTTTAATTAAAAATCTCACCTTAAAAGCTCCATAGATAGAGCAACTCATGAAAAATAATAATATTGGGTCTAATAAAATATATCTATTCAGTGTTAAAAATCCAACATCTGCAAAGAAAAACAACATTTAGTTATGTTTAATTGCTATACAGAATTTTAAATGATTATGATGATTTGTATGTGTATTTTGTTTGAGAAACTTACCACATAGTAACAACATGGTTCCTATGAAAGTGGAATCTAATGATTTTGTCATTTCCCATATTGTAAGAAATGTCAATGGAATGACTAAAGCACCTAATGTTGTACAAAACTGAAAATAAAAATTGTAATTTAGATCAGTTGGTAATTAGAATAAAGACACTTTATTTCTAAAACTATATTTTTTTTAAATAATTTTTAATAAAGATTCTTATTAAAATAATATGTTTTTAGGTCTTACCATTCTCATTCCCTCATATCTGGCCCCCTCATATTTGTCTCCTGGTTTCTCAAAAGGGAATGTTCCATCATAGCCTGTCAGCTTTCCAGACAGGGCAATAAGCATCTATAAATTAAGTTTAATTTTAAAATACAAATGAACTAAGAACTAAGTAACTTAGTAGAAATACTGCTAATAATGTCAGTATTAGTATGAGTTAATGTGGCAATTTAATACTAGGAAATGAATCAAATGTAAATAGTATATGTATTAAATTTATGTTAAAATAATATTACCTTCCCAAGTGGAGGATGAACATCAAAGAAGAAGGTTCTGTTAATGTACCAGCTAGCCATTTTGCCAAAATGAGTTTCATCCCAGCTGTAAACATTAAAAACATTAGAAATTGAATGTTGCTGTTGAAAAAGGACCATGGAAACATTGTCCCAGTCTAAATGCTAGGTAAAAATAAAATTTTATCATACCAAACATGATCTGGTTCCAGTACTTTGTAGTATCTTGTCAGGAATGTAGCTCCACACAATATGCCGAATGTAATCCACCAGCTATAAATAAAAGAAATTATTTCTACATCTGTAGGAGTCATCAATTAGAGATAGTGATTATTTAAAGACAATATTTTATTCAGTAATATTTGAGCAGAATTGTGGTAACAGGGCGAGTATGTTAGTATTGTTAGTTGAGTCGAGACCACAAGTTACTACTTTTATCACATAAACTATGCTATGTAGACTGGTCCGGAGCGCTATCTACTATTTACCTGGCCTTCCAAATATTTGAAAATATTAAAAACTAGTCATGTAAGCTCAAAAGAGATTTTAGAAACAATGTAGAACACCGTTAACTGTTTCACTTACATTTTATTACTTTGAGAAGGCGGGGATGCTTGCTTATTTTTTGACATATTAACATGAAATGTTTATAACGAGAGCACACGGTTAAAGTTAAAATGAACACAAGCTTTCTTATATTTAAATAAATAATTTAAATAGAAACGAAAGTAAACAAACGACGCGACGTGTCACCTTGCTTGACACTGACGTTGACAGTCTTGACAGGCTTAGCCGAAGTGGGGGGCGTTTAGCAAAAAATAGCGCGAGTAAGAAAAATGCCTTCCTTTTAGTGGTTGTTAGTGTTGTTACTGCTGTCATTGCTAAAAAAATGTATGGGAAAACATTACTTATCTAGCCTAAACACGCTAAAGTTTTTGGCATTGCCATGGTGATCGCCGTTTTGCAAACAATTTCTAACAAGCGCTATTTTCTGCCAAACTTAGCCAAATTATTTGTTCTAAATTCCGAATTAAATGTAAACTATTTTAGCGCCACGATCTTTTATAGAAAAAAAAAATTTCCGTGCATTCCAACGCTACGCCTGGCACCCACGTCTTTTAGATATTTATAGCCCGACCAGGAACATAAAAACCCTGGCATAGAGGCGCGCCAATTGCATTTGATAGTGCAACACTGAGTACAGTCGTACCTGTGTTAAATTAATAGGCTAACTTTAATTTTAGGATTACGGGCTAATTTGATATTTTCATAAATTAACGAAAAAAGATTATATAGGTAACCTGGTTTAAATAAATGAAATGAAACCATCAATCGAGCTAGTAGGATTTATTTTATTATTCATCAATAATCAAATTCATAACTTGAATATTCAACTGCAATGTCTGCTCATGAACGCTTCAAACTCGGTACTTCTTTCCCAATTCCATAAAATTCAATACTTACAAAGTGACAAAAAACTTTAAAATAGGTTGTTAAAACAAACCACAGTTAATTTTCATAGTGGACTGTACTATACGATAAACATGACAACCTTTGTCGGAAACATTATCCAATAAAAATATTGTCCGAACTCTTAGTATTTCTCTTCGACAATTTTTTAACACATTGTGAACCACTTTTCTTTTACGACTATAAAAAGTTTTTAGCAATTTAATTCACAAAATCAATTGCACACATTTAAAATAAAGTTTGTTTACACTTTGACACTTTGCAAGGTGACATCTCAATGAAGTTTTCATTTACTGTTGCCATTAAAAGAAATTAGTACCATTAGTTTTCCGCAACATGGCGAGGGTTTTTATGTTCCTGGTCAGGCTATAATATGTCATCACTTCTTCAAAAAAATACTTAAACAATGCTTTTTTTTACTTTGAACGTGTTTTTCTTCAACACACTTCACACACAACTTCTTGGATTATGGCAGGTTTCGGAACAAGTGTTTCAATCCGCCTCAGTTGTCAAAATTGCTATTGTCACAAATGACAGATGTCAGTGTCATTATTTTATAAACACACTGGAAGAAGAACACACGCAAAACTTTGCTGATTCATAAACACTTCGTTGTAATTAATTAGTTTATTTACGACGTACGTATTACATAGTCATTTCTCATTCTTTCCTGCGCTGTTTACAGCGATGATAGTGTTGTGATATTTCATCATGCGTCAATATATTTTTGTAGTTTTATTTGTTCAATGTTTTATTAATTTTTGTGTTGGAGAACTTTCTTTGGAGAAGAAAGAAAAATATTTGGGTGGGTTTATAGACTACTTGAATAGTTTGCCTGACCAAGCTTATTCTTATGAAGATGGAGTAATTATAAACGCTGAAGAATTGGTGAGTAGAATCCAAGTTATTAATAACCATATTATGGCAATCCTTTGTTGTCCTTGGTAATAATTGGTCAAAGTTTATTGAATTATACCTTCAACTAATTAATTCTTACATTATAATTTTATTTTACTTTCTAATTTCTAAACTGCACAAAATTCTGCATGGGTAATAACAGTACTTAATTTATTTTTAATTTTACCTAAAGCTGGAAATCTTACACCTGGATGTTAATATTGATATTGGCCCAGAATGTATTGTACAATGGAGTCCATTTTGTAAAAGTTACATATTTTATTCAAGAATTTTGAAAAGAAAATTGTTTAATTAGCAAGCCATCAATTAAATAATTTAGTAATAACATTTAGATTATGTACCTCTATCTATACCAATGAAATCACTTGTGATGGTAGTCCATCAGACAGAATATATTTTTGCTGAAAAATACCATACTTCTTGAGATCTATGTAATGTTTTTTTTAGCAAGATGTACTGTCATCTCTTCAAACAAATCTACTTCACAGAACAAGCAATTGGGCTTGTTTGAGGGACTATTAAATAATTTAATTTCACTGGAATTATTTATTATAAAAAACCAACTATAAATAATTGATCCTAATACATTAAATAAGTCATTTTACTTAATAGCTCTGTGGGTAATTTTAGTTTTATCTAAGTATGACAGGAGATAATAAAGTGGTATCTGTATTGAAAGGTCAAGTGTGCGGAGTTTATTGTCACACATGGCAAAACTGCGCATAATACTTATTTGATACACTTAGGCTGGGTTGCACCATCTTACTTTAACTTTGACAAACTTCTAAAATCTGTCAAACTCCATTCAAAATACACCGGTTATCGTTATAGTTATGGTCAAAGTTAGGTGGTGCAACTCAGCCTTATTAGCAAAGATATAATCAGGTAAAATATTAATGTTCCATTTAATTTATGTGTGAATTGGTTTTTGTTGTTTTGATTTTTCATTGGTAGAAGTTGTAATAAAACATAAAAGATAGAGATGGAAAATTAAAATTACATTCTAACTTCACATCAATTCCCTGTAACTTGATATTAAATAACAAGAACACAGTTTTTGAATATTTTATTTTATGTGCCTTATAAAAAACTACTATCATAAAGATGCCACTACTAATGTATTAGAGATGAGACGTATTTACTAGAACAGATCCACACACTAGGTATTTTACAGTACTAGGCGGCACCTATTCCAATTTTTTAAATACTTGATCCACCTAGTATTTTATAAATTACACGATTTCCGACCCTATCATCAAAGTAATAGAGGTTATTATTGCGTAATCCGTAGTCGTGTATTACGCGCACCTAGTATTTCTCGCTAAGCTTATGTGCGAACGTAGAGATTCACTCTGTCTCTGTCTGACCAAACAAATTTGAGCGCGACGAAGCAAACGCACACAAACGTAGTCAAACCATATTCATGTAAATAATAAGAAAAATATGTAAATATTTTTATGAAATTTATTGATATCTTTTAAATACGCCAACTTTTAAGTTGACAGTCCTAAGTCTGTTGAAGTATGAAGGGAGGAATTATTATTCAATTTCAAAAATTGCATTATTCATACTACGGTTGTACCTATCTTTTAAAAAAAATTGTAGGTATTTTAAAGTCATATTACGTGGATTAGTCCGCACTAGTCGCGTCAAGTATGCTAAATTACTACGTACTAGGTGGAATAGGTATTTGGATCGAGTATTAATAAATACTAGGAATAGGTGCACCTAGTATCAAATTTACCTAGTATAACCCATCTCTATAATGTATAAGTCCTTAAGAGTGAACTGTAGGGTTTCTCCAACATTTCTAGTGCCAGCTGTACTTTATAGTATTTAGCTATATTTAGAACATAAATAACTAGGCAAGGGAATAGTCCATAAAACTCCTATTACCCTGATGAATTTTGCTGCCTTTTGCTGTATAGGTAAAAAAAAATTGTAGCTTGTGTATCTCTTTTTGTTTAATACTTTGTTATGTTATTTATTATAAGCAAAATCTTTGCATTCTTTGATTTAATTCTCCACACTACATATTGACGGCCTGATTGCGAACGTCGGTCTGAAGCCCAGACTCGGCCTCGTCGGCACGCGCACCGACGATCGCCAAACGGCTAGAGTACCTTACTCGTACTTCTGTGCCCGGTGATACTGAAAAAGCTCTTAAAGCTAACAGCGCGCGCCAAAAAAAAACTACATATTGATGCAAATTGTGTAGTCCAGAATTCCAGATATAACTGGGATATGCCACTGGTTTTCACACTGGTAATCACCATACAATAATGTATTCTACTTTAGGAAGACATTCGTATATGCCATCCAGCACGCATCATATAATGCAGATGCATTAATTGTATATTTCATTCAAAGCAGCTGTCCAAATAACATCTATAGGATCCTTGAACTACTACGATAAATCACTCGTTGATTCACACCACGGGCTACTTGTACCGGGTACGAATTCGGTGTTTCGAACCATGATTCGAATCCGCGAATGTTATTTCTTTTGATTGGTACCTTACACATTTATGTTGGAGTAGTCACCACCAGGCATTCTAAGATTCTAATCTTTTCTCAGATTGACTCGAAAGTTATTGTAATTTTTGTAGCTTTCAGTNTAATGTATAAGTCCTTAAGAGTGAACTGTAGGGTTTCTCCAACATTTCTAGTGCCAGCTGTACTTTATAGTATTTAGCTATATTTAGAACATAAATAACTAGGCAAGGGAATAGTCCATAAAACTCCTATTACCCTGATGAATTTTGCTACCTTTTGCTGTACCTATAGGTAAAAAAAAATTGTAGCTTGTGTATCTCTTTTTGTCTAGTACTTTGTTATGGTATTTATTATAAGTAAAATCTTTGCATTCTTTGATTTAATTCTCCACACTACATATTGAAGGCCCGGTTGTGAACGTCGGTCTGAAGCCCACAATCGGCCTCGTCGGTACGCGCACCGACGATCGCCAAACGGCTAGAGTACCTTACTCGTACTTCTGTGCCCGGTGATGCTGAAAAACCTCTTAAAGCTAACTCACCATATAATAACGTATTCTACTTTAGGAAGACATTCGTATATGCCTTCCATCACGCATCATATTATGCAGATGCATTAATTGTAAATTTCATTCAAAGCAGCTGTCCAAATAATAGCTATAGGATCCTTGAACTAAGACGATAAATCATTCGTCGGTTCACAGCTTGGGCTACTCGTTCCGGGTATGAATTCGGCGTTTCGACATTCGAACCATGGTTCGAATCCGCGAATATAATTTCTTTTGATTGGTAACTTTCACCTTACCCATTTATGTTGGAGTAGTCACCACCAGGCATTCTAAGATTCTAATCTTTTCTCAGATTGACTCGAAAGTTGTTGTAATTTTTGTAGCTTTCAGTTATGCTGTTAAATAAACTTAGTACATTTTTAGGCCGAAAATGTGAAGATCGAAGCGAGAATCAAGGCGAACGATCTGCGTAACCTCGACACCTTCAAGTACGTCAGGTGTTCTGGCACTGTGCGAGAAACCGGCGAGAATGAGGTCATCGTTGACGCGTACGAGTGCCACGATGACGCTGACGCTGCTCAAACGACTGACGAGGCTGTCTCAGAGGTGACCAGCGAGACACCCCTGGAGCATGAACCCGTGAAACTGGACAACGAAGTGCAGACGGACACCGCTGTGAGTAGAACGTGTTTGTTACATTCATAGGGCAGGCCTCCCACTAGGTCAGAGGTTCCCCAAGTGGAGGGCGAGTCGCGCTTTAAAGGGAGGCGCGGGCCATCTGTGTAGTTAAGTATTTAAAAACCTGCGACCGCTGAGAGAATGCATTCCAGACTGTTCGATGCGACTACGAATAAATAATCTGGAGGATGGGGGGCGCAGAATTTTTTATGTGGTCGAAAGGGGGCGTGTCTCAAATAAATTAGGGACCCCCTGTCCTAGGTGGACCGATGATCGCGGGAAGTACCTGGATGCAGGCAGCGCAAGTCCAGTCGTTGTGGAAACCCTCGGGGGAGGCCTTTGTCCAACAGTGGACGTCATTTAGCTGAAACGAACATTCACATAATTATTAACATTTTGTCCCGACCCATTTAGATAACGTATTGTGTACTGTACTGTACTGTTAAGATATAACGGAAAATATAAATGTTGGAACTTTTATCGCAAATTATGTTGATTCACATAAACAAATGAATTAAATACACAGTTTAAAATTTCTCCGTCTTTAAATGAAAGCGAGTTAAGTAGAATTAGATATGATTAAAAATTAGGGGAGCCCTACATCAAACTTGTTAGTTGTAATATACCTGCAAAATCCAAAAAACCTTCGTGTGTTAATTCGACTCTAACTTGACCAGTTTTATTACAGAGATCTTAAAAGTTATAGCCTTAAAATAAAAATAAAAACATATCAGACATGGCTACTTTTAGTAAACGATTGTCTCCTACAAACAAAGGTTAATTTTGTAATTGTGTGGCGAAAGAACATTTTTTTGACCAAGTAAATGAAAGTTTCCTTTCATCATTATCATCTATGGGTAGTTTGTGATTACTGAGGGCAACATCCTACATATCAGACTTTCTGCCTCACAGGCGTTCCATATGGCTTAATTAAATCGAAGGCTTGACATGGCCCGAAGCGTACAATAATGCCTTTCTTTATGCATGATTAAGTTGATTCAAGCCTAACGAAATGCAATGAAACGAAATGTAATGAAAAAATACATAAATTGAAATTGAACTAAGGACTTTCTGATCGACAGAGATTTGAATTAAAGAGACAAAAACGCGAAAACCTAAAATACATTTTACACAATTTATTTATGCATGCATTCATAATAGGTATATTGAGTGTATTGCGAATGAATATACGGTTAAAGACATTTATTTTCTCGAAGAATATGTTCGTATAATTAGCTCGGCTACGGTGTGCTACGGTCATGCTACATTACGACGATAAAATTTTAAATCAGGTAGTAATGTACTACGATGTCAATCGATTAGTTTCACCTAGCCATAATGAAATTGTAGTTGTACTTATATATGTTACGGTTAATGTGATAAGTTGAAAAATATGAATAATCGCCGGTTATTAGAATAATTACCGACAGGCGAGGTAAAAGTGATAAAATAATCACATTTATTAGTGATTATTTCATAATGTAACTTTAATACTAACAAATATTATTTAAGAGAACAGCTCGTGTACAGCGCTCATGTACAGCATCACATTTTGAACGTTTTGATATCATATATTAATATATTTTGGAAAAAGGAGTTTGGACTATTTCTTGCATTACATTACTTTGCCATAATGCCTATAACACATTGTTTTGATTGAAAGTGAAAAATAGGTTAAGGTGCGGCGGGGGTGGCCCTTGCGCCACTCCTAAGCCGCCTATTTAGTTTTATACACACATAAATGATCTTATATTAATCACATTTACCAAAGCATGAGGTAATTATTCATAACACTGCACAACAAAATCGAACTTTTTTTTTGTTGCATGAGATTTTTCACTTGTTGTTTACTAATTTAGGCTCGCTGATTTTAAATATACCCTCAGATTTTTTCTAACAGCTCTAGTTTATGAGATACAGGTACCCTCTTAAAATGTACTCTCCATTTGACTGCTGATATCGCTATCCTCAACGTCTTACTAGTTTCTGTTTCTTTTTTTGCAATAACTTCGTCTAGAAGGACCTNAATTATTGAACCTTACTTTCTATGTCTAAAGTTTTATAATTTTGGAGATATGTCAATTTTTAAACTTTTCATATTTTTCCGAAATTTGACCTAAAAACTGCTTAATTTTTTTTTCTCGCGTGATTTCAACAGTTTTTTTTATTAGATATTAATATCGAATATGTCTTTATTCATATAAAATAAATTTCGGATCCAGATAATAATTGAATAACTAGTTACGACCCGCCAAAGTCTAACAAAAGTACAAACCACGATAAAAAGTTCTATTTTGAATTCGATTTAAATTAAAAAAATGGTGATAATGGATTGCCAATAATCTTAAAAATATCTTTAGCTTCTCTTCTTTTCAATGATATATCACACGTTGTAATTAGATATTGAAATTTGTCAAAAATTCAAAGTTTATGGAAGAAAATGGAGTAATAATACAAAAATTATCCGTACAAAGTTGATTTTGAATTTTTGTAAACTCTTTTCTTCATAATGTGATTATTATTTTAAATTAATTTTTCAAAAAACACACAAAAATAGTTATGAAAAGGAGTATCGCAGATAATATGAGATGTTTGAAGAAACTTTGTATGAATAATTTTCGTATTATTACTCCATTTTCTTTCATAAACTTTGAATTTTTAATAAATTTCAATATCTAATTACTACGTGTGATATATCATTTTAAAGAAGAGAAGGTAAAGATATTTTTAAGATCATTGGTAATCCATTATCACCATTAGTTTTTTTTAAATAGAATTTGAACTTGAATTTTTTATCATGGTTTATACTTTTGTTAAACTTTGGCGGCTCGTAATTAGTTATTCAATCATTATCTGGATCTAAAATTTATTTTATTTGACTAAAGGTTTATTCGATATTATTACCAAATAAAAAAATCGGTTAAAATCATGCGAGAAAAAAAAATTAAGCCGTTTTTAGGTCAAATTTCGGAAAAAGTATAAAAATAAATTTACATATCTCCTAAACTATGAAACTTTAGTCATAGAAAGTAAGGTTCAATAATTAGCAAATGACCTCTATACGCGTATTAGCTATGGCGGGTTCAGTTCCAGTCACCCTGTATATGTTACGGTTAATGTGATAAGTTGAAAAATATGAATAATCGCCGGTTATTAGAATAATTATTTTACCGACAGGCGAGGTAAAATTGATAAAATAATCACATTTATCAGTGGTTATTTCATAATGTAACCTTAATACTAACAAATATTATATAAGAGAACAGCTCCTGTACAGCGCTCATGTACAGCATCACATTTTGAACGTTTTGATATCATATATTAATATATTTTAGAAAAAGGAGTTTGGACTATTTCTTGCATTACATTACTTTGCCATAATGCCTATAACACATTGTTTTGATTGAAAGTGAAAAATAGGTTAAGGTGCGGCGGGGGTGGCCCTTGCGACACTCCTAAGCCGCCTATTTAGTTTTATACACACATAAATGATCTTATATTAATCACATTTACCACAGCATGAGGTAATTATTCATAATAACCGGCGATTATTCATAATGTTCACATTTACCGTAACATAATATGAATAGTTCGATGCCTTTAACTGGCTAGGATATAAAGAACAATATTTAACATCCTGTAACATAATTATTTAATTAAATTAGTTAACTGTCACATGCCATCTGCACTTAATTTAGTTAGTCCTCTATGTAAATTGCTATTATTGCTCCATGTGAGGGGTTCCAGGTTCCATGCCAAACCAACTAAGTACATAGTAATCTCAAAATTAAGTCACATTTCAATAAAAAATAGGCTTACTTAAAACACTATCATCAAATAAAGTTAAGTGTCAATAATAGAATAGTTATAGGCGCGACGGCGGCGCGGCAGCGGGTTTCACGCAGCGCGTATAAACAGTGCAAAGGCGCGGCGGCGGCGTCGTGTGCAGGAGCTTACCCTTATTTCTTTGCAAGATTGTCAGTATATTAGGCCCGGTTTCCACCAAAGCGAAGCAAAGTGGAAAATTGTTTTGAATAACCCAATCGGATTTCATTATTTCCACATTTCCGCTCCGCACAGCTCCGCTACGCGCCGCGCCGCTGCAGCTGTCAAACTGCCTGAGACCCGGTTTTCACCAAGGCGGAGCGGAGTGGAGCTGATTGGTTATTCAAAACACTTCTCCGCTCTGCTTCGCCTTTGTGGAAATTGCGGGGTTACTCCGAAAAACGTTATCTAAACTTTCGAATAGTGCCATCCCTGTCACGCAAAGCGAGATGCCAGCATGCGCGACGGTGACAGGTCAACCCGAAACTACGGAAACAGCGTTTAGGTAGTAGCCCTCCTGGGCCTTAGGCTATGATAATCATCTTAAACTTGCTTCGATATGAACATCAACTTTTTTCGTTACCATAGGTAACCTCAGGAGAACAGTTCATCGCGGTGCCCAGCGGTCAGGCGTCCGCGCCTTGCATCGGGTGCGCTTCCTTCGTGAACCCCGACGCAGCTGGCGTGCCGGAGTTGGCGTCTCTCGGAGTGACGCAACTCAACGCGCACGAACCAGGTGTCACGCACGCGCTCAGCAAGGTCGTGAGCGTTGAGAGACAAGTTCAGGTATGCCCTATNCGAAGCAAATCATTCTCACCTTCCTGCCCCATGGGCTGACAGTTCTAACAAGTATGTGTGACAGCGATGGATATTACACGAAAATACAGAATAAAGTAAATAGTAGCTCCGTATATCCGAGATTCACGATTAGTTATTATCAGGTCATTCTTCACTGCAGGCGAACTCTCTCTAATTAACTTATATGTACTCAGACTATGATGCATATTTTAATGTAGCTCGGAAGCACGGAATTATTTTTATTATTTACCGGAAATTCAGGTTGACTTTATATAACTTTATGAATTCTTTAAAATTCTTACTAAACTGGTAACCAATCCAAAATTAAAACGTTAAAGTAATACAATCATAATTAATAGAGAAAAAACTTTTTAGAACATCTTTATTGTAATCACCTCTTGGTGAAGGTACAAGATATTTTTCTTTTTCAGGTGGTCAATGGTGTTCGATACATTCTTACCCTTTTGATTGACTACAATAGCTGTTCCATCGCCCAAACAGAAACATGTGTAGTTACAAAACCTTGTAAGATATCAGTGTTAGAAAAGCCCTGGGTGAAATTACCAGATGGATCCAAGTACAGGGCGGTGGTATCTAACAACTGTACCAATGACTGGATCTTCAGAGAACATGAGCGTGATAACTCATCTAAAAACGACAATGACAATGACAATACAGGAGCAATTGATGAAATGGTACATTTCGTCCATAATAAAGAAGTACACTCACAACCAGGTCTCGTTAAGGATTTAACTGATGAGGACGTAAAAAAAATACAAGAACAAATTATTCCTCATGATCATTTTATGACATCACTGTCCAATCCAAATGAAAAAACAGTGACTAATGAAGATAGCTACACAAAATCTTTTACCCACCAGCAAACTTCTGGTATCAAACCAAGTAAAGATGTTGGAGTTCTTTCAAATGACATAACCGATCCAGACAACAAATTTGTGTTACCGTCAGATAAGCAGAAAACCATAGATGATTTGATTAATTTTTTTGACTTTTCTAGTTATAATCCTAGACCCGAAGAAGATTTAAGAACACATCGCATAAAAAGAAGCTACTCTAATGAATTAAAAATGTTAAATCTAGCCGAAAAATTCAGTGAAATGAAAAAAAGTATTAAGAATACTAAACATTTGTACACTCTAGCACAAGCGATGGTAGACTATTTGAACGAAATAGATATAGAAATAAAGAATCGTGTTTTGAAAAATGTGTTGTCTGCAGAGGAAGAATCTGATATAAAACAACATTTCTACTATTTACAAGCACTTGTAGAACTTCCATGCAAAAAGAAAGAATGTGACAGTAACGACAAATTGATTAAAATTTGCAACGGTGTTATAGATAGCACTGATGAAAGTAGTCCGCAAGTTTTAAGCGTATTTTGTTATGATAAAAAAAATAATGAAAGTAATTGGGGGAAAATACACCAAGTGCCAGTCAATGACCCAATACTACATAAACTAGCAATAAGTGCATTGAAAAAGATTGAAACTGAATCCCCGGACGAAAATGCATTGAAATTATTGAAAATTATGAACGGCAATACTCAGAAATTACATGGAATATTAACTAAAATAGTAGTATTGATAGGATATACAAAATGTAAAAAAAGTGAACCATTTTCTAAAAGAGGCAACTGTACAGTTGACCGTGATTTGGGATCAAAAATATGTGACATTGAAATCTTACAAAGAAAATGGCTGAAAGAAAATAAAATTACGTATGTTTGTACTGAAAGACCAGCAAGCGAAAGTTTCGTTGATACTAAAAAAGTACATAAAAATGTTAATGATAGAAGCATACAAGAAATGGTACAGGAAGCTTTGCAGGTTTTAGAAGTTCAGTCAAACAAAAATAATAAACAAAAAGTTGTAGAAATAAGGTCAGCATCGACACAACTCGTAGCGGGGCTTTTGACTAATATAGAATTTATTGTAGGATATACAACATGTTCCAATGAGTTTGAAGTGGATGACGAAAGTTGCAAGTTAATTGAATCTGAACCGCTTCGTTTATGTCACGCTCAAGTTTGGCACAGACCTTGGTTAGAAGATGGAAGACAAATGAATGTTACATGTAACAACACTAACAAGAACCCTGTTGAAGATGATCTTCTTGACCAAGAATTGAATGAGTCATTTAGAAATAAAAGATGTCTGAACTCGAACTTCGTTAATGGTGGTTTTAAAATTCCAAGTCGTCGAGAGAAAAGGCAAGTTCCAGGTGGACTTACAGAAAACGATCCTAGTGACCCCCGTTACTTAGCGCTGGCAGAAGAATCGCTTCAAAAGTATGTGCAAACTTCAGGAAGCACACAGTCGCATTCAGTTGCGAAGGTGGACAAAGTTACAACACAAGTGGTGGCTGGAACTATGACAAGAATTGACTTTACCGTAAATGTTGGTGGTTCAGATAACATAAAGTGCCATTCTGAGGTGTGGGAACAGTCTTGGCTCAATAAAAAAGAAATTAACGTGACGTGTGACGTAAATAACCAGGCTCGAAGAGAGAAAAGGCAGATTGCAGGTGGACGTACGGAAAAAGATCCTAGTGACCCCCGTTACTTAGCGCTGGCAGAAGAATCGCTTCAAAAGTATGTGCAAACTTCAGGAAGCACACAGTCGCATTCAGTTGCGAAGGTGGACAAAGTTACAACACAAGTGGTGGCTGGAACTATGACAAGAATTGACTTTACCGTAAATGTTGGTGGTTCAGATAACATAAAGTGCCATTCTGAGGTGTGGGAACAGTCTTGGCTCAATAAAAAAGAAATTAACGTGACGTGTGACGTAAATAACCAGGCTCGAAGAGAGAAAAGGCAGATTGCAGGTGGACGTACGGAAAAAGATCCTAGTGACCCCCGTTACTTAGCGCTGGCAGAAGAATCGCTTCAAAAGTATGTGCAAACTTCAGGAAGCACACAGTCGCATTCAGTTGCGAAGGTGGACAAAGTTACAACACAAGTGGTGGCTGGAACTATGACAAGAATTGACTTTACCGTAAATGTTGGTGGTTCAGATAACATAAAGTGCCATTCTGAGGTGTGGGAACAGTCTTGGCTCAATAAAAAAGAAATTAACGTGACGTGTGACGTAAATAACCAGGCTCGAAGAGAGAAAAGGCAGATTGCAGGTGGACGTACGGAAAAAGATCCTAGTGACCCCCGTTACTTAGCGCTGGCAGAAGAATCGCTTCAAAAGTATGTGCAAACTTCAGGAAGCACACAGTCGCATTCAGTTGCGAAGGTGGACAAAGTTACAACACAAGTGGTGGCTGGAACTATGACAAGAATTGACTTTACCGTAAATGTTGGTGGTTCAGATAACATAAAGTGCCATTCTGAGGTGTGGGAACAGTCTTGGCTCAATAAAAAAGAAATTAACGTGACGTGTGACGTAAATAACCAGGCTCGAAGAGAGAAAAGGCAGATTGCAGGTGGACGTACGGAAAAAGATCCTAGTGACCCCCGTTACTTAGCGCTGGCAGAAGAATCGCTTCAAAAGTATGTGCAAACTTCAGGAAGCACACAGTCGCATTCAGTTGCGAAGGTGGACAAAGTTACAACACAAGTGGTGGCTGGAACTATGACAAGAATTGACTTTACCGTAAATGTTGGTGGTTCAGATAACATAAAGTGCCATTCTGAGGTGTGGGAACAGTCTTGGCTCAATAAAAAAGAAATTAACGTGACGTGTGACGTAAATAACCAGGCTCGAAGAGAGAAAAGGCAGATTGCAGGTGGACGTACGGAAAAAGATCCTAGTGACCCCCGTTACTTAGCGCTGGCAGAAGAATCGCTTCAAAAGTATGTGCAAACTTCAGGAAGCACACAGTCGCATTCAGTTGCGAAGGTGGACAAAGTTACAACACAAGTGGTGGCTGGAACTATGACAAGAATTGACTTTACCGTAAATGTTGGTGGTTCAGATAACATAAAGTGCCATTCTGAGGTGTGGGAACAGTCTTGGCTCAATAAAAAAGAAATTAACGTGACGTGTGACGTAAATAACCAGGCTCGAAGAGAGAAAAGGCAGATTGCAGGTGGACGTACGGAAAAAGATCCTAGTGACCCCCGTTACTTAGCGCTGGCAGAAGAATCGCTTCAAAAGTATGTGCAAACTTCAGGAAGCACACAGTCGCATTCAGTTGCGAAGGTGGACAAAGTTACAACACAAGTGGTGGCTGGAACTATGACAAGAATTGACTTTACCGTAAATGTTGGTGGTTCAGATAACATAAAGTGCCATTCTGAGGTGTGGGAACAGTCTTGGCTCAATAAAAAAGAAATTAACGTGACGTGTGACGTAAATAACCAGGCTCGAAGAGAGAAAAGGCAGATTGCAGGTGGACGTACGGAAAAAGATCCTAGTGACCCCCGTTACTTAGCGCTGGCAGAAGAATCGCTTCAAAAGTATGTGCAAACTTCAGGAAGCACACAGTCGCATTCAGTTGCGAAGGTGGACAAAGTTACAACACAAGTGGTGGCTGGAACTATGACAAGAATTGACTTTACCGTAAATGTTGGTGGTTCAGATAACATAAAGTGCCATTCTGAGGTGTGGGAACAGTCTTGGCTCAATAAAAAAGAAATTAACGTGACGTGTGACGTAAATAACCAGGCTCGAAGAGAGAAAAGGCAGATTGCAGGTGGACGTACGGAAAAAGATCCTAGTGACCCCCGTTACTTAGCGCTGGCAGAAGAATCGCTTCAAAAGTATGTGCAAACTTCAGGAAGCACACAGTCGCATTCAGTTGCGAAGGTGGACAAAGTTACAACACAAGTGGTGGCTGGAACTATGACAAGAATTGACTTTACCGTAAATGTTGGTGGTTCAGATAACATAAAGTGCCATTCTGAGGTGTGGGAACAGTCTTGGCTCAATAAAAAAGAAATTAACGTGACGTGTGACGTAAATAACCAGGCTCGAAGAGAGAAAAGGCAGATTGCAGGTGGACGTACGGAAAAAGATCCTAGTGACCCCCGTTACTTAGCGCTGGCAGAAGAATCGCTTCAAAAGTATGTGCAAACTTCAGGAAGCACACAGTCGCATTCAGTTGCGAAGGTGGACAAAGTTACAACACAAGTGGTGGCTGGAACTATGACAAGAATTGACTTTACCGTAAATGCTGGTGGTTCAGATAACATAAAGTGCCATTCTGAGGTGTGGGAACAGTCTTGGCTCAATAAAAAAGAAATTAACGTGACATGTCAAACAGAGAACCAAAATCGACGAAAAAAAAGGCAAAGCGACGACGATGATAGAATATCTGGTGGTCCTATTGATCAAGATCATAGTCTTCCCGAATACACTGTTCTAGCAGAGCAATGTTTACGGGTATATTTAGGAAATATGAACATTACCCAGCATCACAAAGTTGTCGAAGTAAAAGAAGTGACCACACAACCCGTTGCTGGAATTATGACCAGGTTAGTCTTTGTGGTTTCACCAACTAATTGTCTTATCAACAGTGAAGGTTTTCCGACTTCGGATTCATGTAAGATTATAGATAAAACAGATGTTAAACGTTGTTTTGCGAAAGTTTGGGATAAGCCATGGAAAAAACTACGAACTATTTCTGTAGATTGTAAATTTTCAAGAAGAAAAAGAGAAATTTTGTCTCGCAAATATAAAAGTCAAGGATTGGGGTCTGAAGTTGAACAGGATGCAAGCAAATCGGAATACAGAGATCTTGCAGAGGAATCTTTACGAAAATATCAAAGTCTACAAAAATCTGAAGCTGTCCATAAGGTTATAGAAGTAAAACGAGTAGTTTCTAAATTAGTTTCTGGCACAATTTACAAGATTGACTATACTGCAAAATCGGAGTGTTCAAAAAATGCCTTAAATGCATCTTTTTGTACTATATCACTTGATGACGACATACTTTATTGCCATGCTAAAATTTGGAACCGTCCTTGGTTAAAACGAAAAGACATAACAGTTGATTGTAATAGCGACTCAAATAACGATGAAGATTCAAGTAACGAAAAAGGAGTTGGAAAGCCCAGTTCAAAACATGGGCTTTTAGGAGGAATAGTACAACAAGATGTAACTGCAGAAAGATTTAAAACCATCGCCAGCGCAGCCACACGGAAATTCGAAAGATCGGGAAAGACTCAATATATTCATAAAGTCGTAAAAATTGATGAAGCCACTGAACAAATTAAAGATGGAACTTATGTTGTAATAAAGTTTACAATATCTCCTACAACTTGTTTGGTTGCAGAAACAAATATTAAAATTGATAAATGTCCTACCCAAGACCCAATATCAACGCTGCGGTGTATAGCTCGTGTAACAAAGCGCGTTAATTTTGATTTAGATGATGATGACAATACGCATGTGACTTGCAAACAGATAAAAGCTAAAGAAAGTAAAGGCCGTCAAAAGCGTTTCATTGACGTAAGGGAAAAACGACAAAATAAAATTTATGATGACGAGATAGACGAAGAAACTAAATATTACTATGCAGACAAGGCGATACAGTATTTAAATGACCATTCAAACACCCATAATATGCAGAAATTATTAACAATCCACTCTGTACAAAACAGTATGCATATGAGAGTTCCAATGGTGCGAATGTTCCTAGAAACAGCTTATACTTATTGCTTACGGGATGAGGACGAAAAAGATCTACATCAATGTGACGAATTAGATGGCATGGGCCACCGGCTGTGCCTTGCAAAATTGTTTCCCGCTGCCGAGGACGAGTTGATCATTCATGATGTTCATGTCGTGTGCGAAGATGACCCAGATTTCTTACGAGTTACTGGTTTAGCTATTGCAGATCTTGTTACTATATCTCTGATGAAATTGGAAAAATCTCCAAATATCAAATATAAACTTGTTCACCAAGGAGAGCCTAACGTAGTTCCGAGTCTGAATCTTAAAATACCAGTCAAACTGAATTTTATAGTAGCTTCTACGAATTGTTCTAAGGAAGTAGACCCTAAGAGAGACAATGTTGCTTGTTTCCTAGACACTACTAGACCTGCAAAATCTTGTATGTCTTACATATGGTTAGTACCTAACAGCAGAAAAATATCGCGTCTCGAAGTTACTTGTGATCAGACCAGTCGTACAAAGAGATCACTTGCCAATAACACGTTATCCCTGGATACTAATGGAGCCCATATAAAACAGTTAGTGCAAGAATCTTTAGAAAAACTAGAAATGTCTTCCCTTCATAGGTACAAACAACGCGTATTACAAATCAACAGTTATACTACTAAGATAACCACAGGAAAAGTGACCACAATTGATTTCGATGTCGGGTACACAAACTGTCTGAAATATGAATGGATCGACAACATAACTAGCTGTGCCTTTTTGGAACATTTGCCACGACGACACTGTGTGTCGCTAGTTTGGGAGAGGTTGTGGATACAAAACGGTAGAAACATCGAAGTGAATTGTGAAGATGACGAGACCCCGTTAGAGTCTCGTATAGAGTTTGAGAGCGCGGAGACTGCAATGCAGCTTGCCAAGCAATCTTTAAAGCACATCGAGGCGAAGTATCCGCACCCAAAAAAACAGCAGGTTGTAAGAATTTTCTCTCTGGAAAAACAAGCTGTTGCCGGCATACACTATAGAATGAAACTCGAAGTTGGGTTCACGAACTGTTCAGCGCTTTCTTTTGAACGGGATTGCGCGGTTACAAGCGATGGTAATATTAACCGTTATTGCCGCGTGAACGTTTGGCTGCGGCCCTGGACTGATCACCCGCCGATTTACCGGGTCACTTGCGATTACCAGGATAGCACATCGACGGAGTTGTACCACCACATACAAGCCGAGCAATTGTTTTCTAGCTTCTTGACGACTTACAAGCCCGACTACGTGAATGACCACGTGGAGATGGCGAAGAGGTTTGACATATTTAAGGATAATATTAAGAAGATACACGAGCTGAACATTTACGAGCTTGGTACGGCTACGTATGCGGTGACTCGGTTCGCAGATTTGACTCAAGAAGAGTTTCGTAGCAAGTACCTGGGTTTGAAGCCAAGTTTGCGGGACGCGAACCAGGTGCCGATGCGGCAGGCCAAGATCCCGAAGGTGCATATCCCGGAGGCGTTCGACTGGCGGACCTTCGGCGCCGTCACGCCGGTGAAGGATCAAGGCGCCTGTGGCAGTTGTTGGGCGTNCTGGGCGTTCAGCGTTACAGGTAATATTTGCCATTATCAAACTGATAACGTAGGGTCATCTGGGTGTTAGATATTTTGCTGTTCCATACATTTCAATTCATTTTGTACAACATAACAACTTTATATGCTTATAAATTGCCAAAACTTCACGACTTCCAACTTAGACGTTTATTTATTAGTGCCTATCTCTTCTAATTTGATTAGTGTTTGTATTCAATTGGCATGGGAAGTCTATTTACCTACATATTTTATGTTTTACTGCTTTGAATTTTAAGTACAAAATACTTCAAACATTTCATGGTGACTTGTGATATGCAGGTAACATTGAAGGCCAGTGGAAGATACAAACTGGAGAGCTGGTCTCTCTGTCTGAGCAGGAGCTGGTGGACTGCGACAAGCTGGACCACGGCTGCAATGGAGGCCTGCCCGATAACGCGTACAGGTTAGTCATTGTTGGAGATTTATGCTTAGAGATGGTCCAGATGATGCGTTTTTACTCGCGCGTTTCGAATTTACTAGCGATTCATAATTTCTGTCCACACGCAGTTGCGCGTTTTGCCTTTTGTAAACGCGACTGCAAAATAACGCGTCATCTGCACCAGCTGAGCTAGTGCTGGTCAAGCCCCAGGTATTATTACTAACTATTTTTAATCTATCGCAGAAAGATTTTATCTCGTACATAGTTTCAAGTCCAACTATATTTATTTAATTGTAAGGACCAGCATAAACTTCTGCTATGGCGTTCGTTCTTCTCAATGACAATAAAATTAATTGCATATTTTTTAAGTTAATTTGTTCGACATTATTCAGTAATGTATTGTTGTTCACCCTATCAAATTCTAAATATTTGCATGCTTTGAGGTAAAATATGAGTATCAAATTAATAATTTTAACACCATGATTTAAGCAAACAAGTAATTTAATTAAGAATCATACAACGCACTGTTCAGTAGTAAATAAATAGGATAAAGTATCGAGTTTATTAGTAAATTATGATCCGCCATGTTTGGCCACAAAATATTCGCAAACTTCCTCCTAGTGCCCGGGATGATGTCATCTGCATTTCTTACAATCGTAAACAATGCAAGTGTACCTCAATAAATAACGGATACCATTATTTACAGATACTCTGTATGACGGGAAAATACACTTTGTATAAACATGTAATAAATGACTGTCATTTTTTTCGATACGATTGTCTTAACATAAGTCTTTGAACGCGTGTCCACTTGCATGGCTTTTCAAATTGGTTTCATTGGTTTGTCAAAGAAAAATGTGCAGATACCTACCTATAATACCTATATTCTAATTCTATATGAGTTGAGTTCTCGAGTGGCGACTACGGGTCGGAATAGCCTCCCACTAGGTGGACCGATAATCTAAAGTTTGCGGGAAGTACCTGGATGCGGGCCGCACAGGACTGGTCGTTGTGGAAATCCTTGGCCCCAAATGACTTCTAAAGCAATATAATTACGCGCGAGCGATAAGGATGGGTAGCTTGGGGTCATTGGACAAAATTCTACGTGCTCAGACCAGACTATACTTCTGGACAAAGTCCTCCCCTTCGTCCAGCAGTAGATGTCATTTGGCTGAAACGAACGAAGGAGAATAAATGCCATGACGATAATGATGAGAGTGCTGTCAGAAGTGCCAGATATATCAGTCGCCTCATTAAACCTGACACCAGAGATTTTACAGCAACACTTCAAAAGCTATGGATGTCACATACAATATAACATTAAAACAGAACTTCAGTATTAATAAAACAATGAATGCATACTTTTGCGAATTATGTCTCCATTGTTCTTTGCATGGCAACCTTGACATATTTTAAATACATATTATGAAAACATATTATTCTTGGAATGGGCGTGAAGAGCTAACAATGTACTGATATCACTACTAATTGCTTACGGTAATTATTATTCATATTCGATTATAAATTAAATGTGTAAACAATGTCTGTTTCTACCTTGATAAAGCAAATAGTGGTTTACATAAATTATATACGCATTTAAAACAAAAATAAACTTCACTGTTCATTCAGTCCTCGAGGGTTTGGTAATCCGTTTATTGGAAAACTAGGTTTTTTTATGTGACAGGAGGTGACCCGGCGAACTTCGTATCGCCTATATTCATCAGATATAATCCAGGATTCTAATGGTAAAATATTTTTTCAAATCGGTCCAGTAGTTTTCGAGCCTATTCAACACAAACAAACAAATCTTTCCTCTTTATAATATTAGTGTAGATTTAATATTTATTTAATTTGAAGGCAAATCAAAATCAATTGTTAGTATCCTTAATTAACTACCTACTAATCCTTAATTAGACGTTGTTTATTTTGTCGTTTATATGTTTTCTAATAAACTAAATGAAGGTAATCAAAAAACTTATCAATAAAATAAATGAGCGTCTATAATTTTGTGATAAATATTATTACACTCTAGTAAATCGGTAAAGATAAAAACCTACCTCAACAAATTTTAAATAATGGTAATAACAATTTGATGACTTTTTGTAGTCATTTAACTAAATACAAAAAGAGGTCACAAAAGAACAATAAACACCAGTACGATTTTGTGATATTTTTATTAATAAAAATATGAAGAAAAAATATGCAGCGGCTTGACCTAGGTATGTCTATTTGTACATAGTTTAAGCCGCTTGGCCTTCCAAACAGTCAAATTATGTTTTTAAATCGTACAAATAAGAAGTGGTTTGTGTCAGTTTTACAATGTGTATTCTCTGGACTCTCTGGTACAAACAAATACAATACATACATTCGCTGTGGTATACGCTGTGGTGTTTAACGTGTTAAGGTGTCATCCGTACCTAAACTATACTTACGAGCAAAAGTATGGAATCACCACCCTTGTGTTTTGATCCGAGCGATCTTAAGAACTGAATGATTATGTATGTATCTGTAGTATCAATTTAATTTATTTTTATTTTTATTTATTTATATTAGGGAAACAAACAATTTTCATATACAGACAAATAATCACACAAAAAATAGGACAGAAATCAGCAAAGTTTCCATTTTAAAGCTTATAATATCACCTTTAAAATGGTACCATTTTAATTTGTCTTCTATTAGACATTAAGTTTTTGTGATTGCTCGAAACAAATAGGGTGATTCCATATTTTTGCTCGCAAGTGTATATTTACTACTAGCTTTCCGCCCGCGGCTTTGCCCGCGTGGAATTTTGTCTGTCACAGAAAAACAATATCGAGCGCGTATTTGCTCACCGTTTAGACCTACCCTGGACTACGACAAACATTTTAAAACCAAAATCAGCTCAATCGGCCCAGCCGTTCTCGAGTTTTAATCAGACTAACGAACATCAATTCATTTTTATTTATATTATTATTATTTACTATTATAAATAGTATGAATTTACAAGATAAAGTAGCATCACATGTGGGGTTTCGGAAATCACCGTTTCAATATTAGTTTATTACGCATGTTGTTATCAGCAACAGTCACAATTATTTTTCTCTCAAGGGAATTTTATTTTGTAGAGATAAGCAATATGACTCGGTCTGTTTTGATTGAGGAAATATGCAAAATAATACATAAATAATACGTGACCTTTAAAACCGGGTATTCCTTGATCTTGGTGCGTTCGTCTGCTATAAGTAGAATGGTTTAGAAGAACTAGAACTGGAGCTAAATTAGAATTAGTTTATTGATACATTCTGTAGCTGTATGAAATTATTAGTGGTCCTAATGTTAAAGTTATCAAAAGATATTCGTCGTCATCATATCAGCCATAGTAGGACATCCACTGCAGAACATAATATATGCCTCCCCCTAATATTTCCATAATGATTGGTTGCTCTACCAACCTGCATTCAGCGCCTTCCTGCTACATTTATGAGGTCGTCGGTCTATCTTGTAGGTGGACGTCCTATGCTGCGCTTAACCGGAATATTACAATATCACAATCCGGTTACTAGTTTCGGAGCTATGCGTGAACAAAGTAACAAACATACGAGTACATACATTAGATACCCATAAAATGTTGTGTATTTTTTTGGAAGTTTGACTGTTTTGCAGTACAAAAAGAATTGCATAACATGTGTCGAATTGTTAACCTCCTTTCTTAAAAGATAGATTGTTTTTAATTTTTTGAATACCTACCAAATTACTAAAGTTATAGTTGTTTTTCTTCTTTGAATACCTACCAAATTACTAAAGTCATGTTGTTTTTTTTCAGAGCCATCGAACAGCTAGGTGGATTGGAAACGGAGTCCGACTACCCTTACGAAGGCGAAGACGACAAGTGCTCGTACAACAAGACGCTTTCGCGCGTGTACATAAACGGGGCCGTCAATATCTCCTCCAACGAGACCGAGATGGCGCAGTGGCTTATACACAACGGACCCATATCCATTGGTAATTATAGTCTGGTCCGTGAGCACGTAGAATTTTGTCCAATGACCCCTAGCTACCCATCCTTATCGCTCGCGCGTAATTATATTGCTGTCGCGACTGTGCGACTGGCACCCGCAGTGAGTGTGCGAGCGCGATAGCAACATACGCGCGAGCGATAAGGATGGGTAGCTAGGGGTCATTGGACAAAATTCTACGTGCTCATGGACCAGATTTTAGTTATTCACTTCATCATCATCGTCAGGTTATTTCCACTGCAAAAACAATCTTTTGCAATTTACGGAAAGAAGGATTTGGAATGCCTTGGCCAAATGGGTCGGAGAGACGTATTTCTCCCGTAAGTAGTCATCTTTTACAATATCCATGATACAGACCACAGCACGTCTTGCTAACACAGTGGCACTTTATGCCGTTGTAATGGGAGCGATTTTTCAACAAAAATGCATAGTCTGATGTGCTGTCGACCGTACGAAGGGTAGACGACAAGTGCTCGTACAACAAGACGCTATCAATATCTCCTCCAACGAGACCGAGATGGCGCAGTGGCTTATACACAACGGACCGATATCCATTGGTAATTAGTTATTCACTTCATCATTACTAGCATCGGGTTATTTAGCATCCACTGGTTGGGTTTTTATTAGCGGTCAAGCTGGAGTACCGGACTACATAGGTGTTGCAGGGAACGATGGGAACAGTTCCGTTTGGCCTCCAGTGTAGGAACACGACCTTCTTTAATTTACGACAAGGACCTAAACCTAAGGCCTATACTCCCCACGCTGGCCGGACGCGTTGGAGTGACGTGATGTTCGTATATTTCTCCCGTAGTCACCTGTTACGATATCCAAGGGAACGGTGGGGATAAATAAATAAATAATAATAATAACTCATTTGGCATGATGAGCCCGTGAGTTATGGATAAAACCGAAGACCATAGGGACTTCGAGTAAAAATAATGAAAACGTAACAATAAATAACAAATGTTTATTTTCCAAAAAGAAACGTGACACTGTATTTTCCAGACAAATAACAATGTAAGTAAGATTGTCCTAATTCTACTCTGTCAAAGCAAAGATCTCTATAAAAAAACTCCCAAAGACACAAGAAACAACTAAAATAGAAGGAAAAAATAATAATAAATCATAAATCAAATTACAGATGAGGAAAATCATCTTAAAAATTATGTATGTTGCCTTGAAGTATTGGTAGCCTATAATTTGAGACCACATTAGTATCTAGGAGATTCGTTTTCTGTCTGTTCTGTTTCAGCCAAATGGCGGCCACTGCTGGACAAAGGCCTCTCCCAAGAATGTCCACAACGACCGGTCTTGCGCTTCGTGCATCTAGGTACTTCCCGAGCCCTTCACCAGATCGTTGGTCCACATACTACAGTGGTTCTTAACCGGTGGTCCGCGGACCACTGGTGGTCCCTGGAGGCATTCCAAGTGGTCCACGAAGTGCACTTGTACATCTTGGTCAAAACCACTTTTAACAGATTTTTGCAGTCAAACTGGTTTTGACCGATTATGAGGTGGTCCCTGACAAGACAGAAATTTGGTAAAATAGTTCCTCATGACTTAAAGGTTAAGAACCACTGACCTAGTAGGAGGCCTGCCCACACTACGTCTTCCGTCCGTGCCACCCGAGAACATTCCTGCCCCAACGGCGATGAGCTCTACTCGTTTTAATAACTAAACATTTTGTTTGATTTGGAGTTTTTATTCGCACCCTATTTTTTCAGGCATCAACGCGAACGCCATGCAGTTCTACCGGGCCGGCATTTCTCATCCTTGGAAACTACTCTGCAACCCCAATAACATAGACCATGGGGTGCTCATAGTGGGCTACGGCATTAAAGGTCAGTTTAGCTGTTTGTTATGGTATCTGCGGGGCTACTCCGAAACGCTGTTTACGTAGTTTTGAGTCTATCTGTCACCGTCACTCGCGCTGACATCTCGCTCTTTGTGAGAGGGATGGCAACATTCGAAACTTCGGATAACGATTTTCGGAGTAACCCCCCTGTAACGTTGCATCGACAACAACGTCGACGTCATCAGTTAATGAGGGTTTTCGCGAATGAAAGATCCGCTAGATGGCGGGACGTGGATGTGGGGTCTGACTGCTGCGTGATTGGTGGATTTTGACATATCTGTCAATATTATGTCAAAAATAACGCAATCATGCAGCATTTGGACCTCGCGTCTACGTATTGCCATCTGGCGGATTTTTCATTCGCGAAAACCCTCATTGGAATACACCACATGCGGCCGCCTCCCCGAGAGAGCGGGGGACCGATAGCTCGCCCGCGTAACAATACCATTTTTCTGATTTCATGGATTTTTCCATGAATTTTTTTTTTGGCATCAGTGTCGTGTATACTACCACCCCTGATATGGGCGTTGTTTTACAAAACCACACCCTGTATTTAGCATATACCTAGATTAATTTAATTACTGAACTTATACGATTGTATTATACGATACTTGAAAATCCTCAGTAGCAGCTATGCAAATAAAGGCTTCTATTTCTGTAATTTTTCACGATAGCGTATTTTATGATTCTTCCAAAACTTCTTTGCTAAAGTGAGGTAGTGTAAGGCTATATTTATTTGGTACTAGAATAAAGAATTTGAATTTCTCCTATTTTTAACCGACTTAAAAAAGGAGGAGTTACTACAACAATTTTGTTGTTTTTCAGATTACCCCCTCTTCCACAAGCGGCTGCCATATTGGATCGTGAAGAATTCTTGGGGCTCGGGATGGGGAGAAGAAGGATACTACCGCGTGTACCGCGGCGACGGCACCTGCGGGGTTAACACGATGGCCAGCAGCGCGGTGGTTAAGCCGCGAGAGGGTTAACACTGCGCGTGAAATGTTGCCACCGTATTTTGAACCGTATTGTAATAACTTGTAAGTTCAAAATCAATGTTCTTTTTCTCATTACGTTATTTTACTCACGAGTTAATAGATCTGAAATTAATATGACGTATTAGCAATACAATCAATAAAATACTGATAATAATCCTGTATTGTATTATTATTCTGTACAAAATGATGACTTCGGACTTAAATACAAAATAAAGTATCTTTAATTCTTTGGTAATGAAAATAAAAATGGCAAAACTTCAAATATTCCGAATCACGCTCATGACGTATATTCGTGCATTTTTCCTACGTCATTTGTTATGATAGCTGCACGAGTTATTTACTTTGTGTGATTATTAAAAATAGTGTACGGACTACAATACACTTTGTTGCAAATTCGAAATTATTACAACTACAAAAGAACTATCAGCGTTTAGCTGTTGTGTGTACACAAGGTCATGCCCATATTATGTTTGACGTAAGAACATGTATAAGTATAGGCGCCCCAATGTTCGATTCCTACTCATAACAGTTGACCATTGACATGAAGTAAATAGTTTATGTTAACTCAAATAGTGCCTTTTTGAGATTTTTTATAAAATTCCATTAGACATTTAATATGAAATTAAATTGCGATGATATAAAACTTATTGATAGGACTTTTATGATATATTATTGTTAGTACATTTTGGATAAGATTTTAGTACTTAAGTAAGACTAACAACGATTTTAACGGCAATAAAGTTCTTATGTTAATACTTATGAGAATCTTTAATACTTTCTAGGCGTTTCTCCGCAAAGCACGGTAACTTCTCACAGAAGTTGTTAAACAAAGTCATGTAACTAGATTTTTGTGATATCATCATCAGTCTACCTCAGTCCAAAGCGGGAATACGTCTCGTCCTTAAGGTCCGGATTCCACCAAGGCGGAGCGGAGAAGTATTTTGAATAAGCGCTCCTGCACACGACGCCGCCGCCGCGCCGTCGCCGCGCCGCTACACTGTTCATACGCGCCGCGCTGCCACCGCGCCGCCACCGTGCCATAAAAGCATAATTTCGCCAGTGGCGCAGCTCGGTGCGTATGAACAGTGTAGCACTAACACTTCTGTTCTCCGCTCCGCATAGGCTGCGCCGCCGCGGCTGTCAAATTCTATAGAAAAATTTTACGGCCCGACACTTCTCCGCTCGCTCTTCTCCGCTCCGTCTTGGTGGAAATCGAGCCGATCCTCAGCTATTTTCTTCCTGTCTACCACCACTAACTTACGTTTAATTTTTTATAGCTCCAACTTGATGGGTTAGATTTAACAATGCTCAATCTTAACTCATATATTCGAATTTATGAAAATTATATTATTTACTTACTCTTATTAGAAGCTTCTGACGTAACACTAGCCTAGATTCAGCGTACTTTGCCATACGATATAACGGCGCGTGCCCTACCTTTATTAGAAACAGCAAACTACACTAGGACCATTTTGTACCAGGTCCTTAACTTTAATTTTATTTCTAATACTCTTACTTCTAATAATTAATATTTGTATGAGATGGAACTCTGAAATGTATTTTTTCATACCCTTTTATATTGTTTCTCATAGATTTTAATCAAATAACTCCACTAGTCTCATGTGTACCTTAATCATTTACACTAAGTTCATTCTGTGATTTGGATTTTTTCGTATGAAAACTGCTCATAATAGCATTTTAGACGTTAAGTGAACCATTTTTGTAATCCATTGATATTGATCATCATGTAAATAAATTACTAAAAAGCATATTTTGTATTATTTATTATGATTGCCCTATACTCATTCATCTATAGGTCGCTCAACGAATGTTGAAGCAAACACGTTGGTACCTACTCACACAGATGTCATTATGAATACAGAACACAAACAACACATTACTTACACATTTGAATTCAAATATTGAGTAGGTAATACATTTGTTTGTAATTCCTAAAATAAAAATAAATAAAAAGGTACACTAAGGCCTCAGCCTCGAATTTAGCGGGCAGCGGCGCGGGAGCGGGGCGGGCAACACAGACCCGTTCTCGAAACAAGCGGGCAGCTCGCGCGGCGCTTTAGCGGCGATGTGTTGTGTTCGGGGTTGTGGTGTGTTTTATTTCGATTCAAATTTATTCCTAACGCTCGATTTATTGTGGGCAAAAGAAGGAGTGCGCTGCCCGCTCGTTGCCCGCTCCCGCGCCGCTGTTTTCGAGAACCGGTCTATTTGATTTTACGCATAAGATCCTGCCGCTCCCGCGCCGCTACCGCCGCCGCCCCGCTGCCCGCTAAATTCGAGGCTGAGGCCTAACAACCACGCTCTTGTTTTAATTTAAATACTTGTTGATGTAGATGGGCTCAACTCTCGTTGCGTGAACTATACTTTATCCATAGTATTTCTTATACACATAGCTGGGCATCGTTAATCAAATAGTTAACTTCGTTAATCGTTAAACCGTTACTAAAAAAATTAACTTCGTTAAACGTTAAAACGTTACATTTCGGAAGATTTAACGCAAGTTAACGTTAATCGTTAATCCGTTAACACGTGATAATAAAACGAAAAAAATAATTGTATGCAAGGTTCAAATTTATGTAATTTCGAAAGATTGTATAGCGCATGGAATATATTCCTCTTTTATGTTTGCGCTACAAGCTTTCGAAATTATTTAAACCTTGCATAAGTAGGTACAATTATTTTTATCGTTTTAGTAGAACTGCCTTTCAGAATAAAATCTTTTTTTTTTAATTATAATTTTACTATACACTTTTTAGTTGTATCTCAACTCAATCTCAGAGCCTTGGTACAATTACTATACAATTTAGCACCAAAGTGCTCGAAAAGGCAAATCCAACAAACCCAAACTCGATAAGTTTCCACCGTTTCGTTTAGGAATTCCTATGGCCACCTCCTGACTCCATCATCTGGACCCTGGACATCATCTAGTACTAAAGTGCTTGAAAAGACAAATCCCAACGAACCCAAATTCGATGCGATTCCGCCGTTTCATTTAGGAGTTTCTATGGCCACCTCCTGACTCCATCATCAGACCAGCTCAATGGTACCATAACATTGCATTGTCATCGTACTTACATGAGTAGGTATACCAAATTTCATCTCAATCGGTTGAGGAGAACTGTAGGCCTAAGATGCGCGCATCGACAATGACATGATATGATAAGACAATTTTCGATCACGTAGATAATTTTATCATTTTCCCTAACATGGGACCATCGATAGAAAAGTCTATCGACCGCTATCGCGTGATAACCCAATTGTTGCCATATTAAGAAAAATTTGCGTTATTATGTTGGCCAACCTTGAAATATTTTAGCTCATTCGTTCAATCTCGTTCATTTCTGCTATTAATTCGGCTGAAAAACATATCTTAAAGCAGTGAGAACGTCATTAAAAAAAAGTTATGTCAATTTTGTTGACATTACATGACTGCTTGATTGTACAAGTCTAATTTTTTAGAAATCAGCNCTCTATACTCATTCATTTATAAGTCGCTCAACGAATGTTGAAGCAAACACGTTGGTACCTACTCACACAGATGTCATTATGAATACAAAACACAAACAATACATTACTTACACATTTGAATTCAAATATTGAGTAGATAATACATTTGTTTGTAATTCCTAAAATAAAAATAAATAAAAGGTACTCTGATGTAGATGGGCTCAACTCTCGTTGCGCGACCTATACTTTATCCATAGTATTTCTTATACAGCAACCGGAATCTAATTACATCAATAAAATACTAATCCAGACGACTAGGCCCAAGACCTAATTCCTGGATAACATAACACTGACCCAATTTTAATCCATGGCCTTCCACTGGCTATCCATTTGGCCTCGTTCAGCTACGTAACATGTCGGCTGCCTAATGTGTATCGTGAACATTTAAGGTTGCGCGCATATAAACCACAAAACGGCATCTATTTACTTACAGTGCAGCAGTGGTGCCATTACAGATCGGGGGGCACGGTAGTGCCCCCGCCAAGTCGAGCGCGAAGCAAACTGCCGTACCATCCTTTACTGGGAACCATTTCGCCGCATTTTCAGGCTCCTTTTTACCCTTACCTGATGATGGTTTGAAAATTATGTCATAGAACTGTAAGTTTATCACCAAAGCTATGACAAGACAGACGTCTAGTAGTTGTTGATGTTTATCACCACTGGTCAGGGTCAGTATTTTATGTGTCGCGAGTGGCCACCACAGGACATCTGTGTATGGCGACTCTAACGCTCTTATTCACAAACGATGCTTGCTTATGTGAAGCAGCAAATCGAACGCACAGAGCGTTGAATAGAGCTCTGTGATTGGTTAATATGTCACCCTGTGCGTCCAAGCGCACTATGAATGAGACCTCATAGTAATGTTTGTGAATACGGGCGTAACATTATTGTGTTAATCATTGCTTCTCGATGAATGAACTTATGTAAGTTATCTACTATCGCGAGTGGTACTTGTGTGCGTACCCTTAGTTAGCGCTAAACTGACTAACAAACTCGATTTGTTGCGGCGTGCGGGCGCGGGCACGTGACAACTGACGCGGTAGAACACCAAGTTTCAGAGCAGTTGTTCTCAATCTAGGACACTTTCCCGAAAGATTACACAACAAGTGATATATTACTTTACTTCCCCCCTACAGTGGAACCTCCTTTTGTCGATCAGATTTCAAGACTGGTTAAGGCACATGTCTTCTACAAGTCGCGTATTCCCATCATTTTCTTCTTGGGTTATCTAAAACAACTTTTCATCCTCTTTTTAATGGCATTCTTCTTTAACTCTGTTAATCGTGTTCGCTATTACAGTGTGTTCGATGCAATTGAAAAGTAACTAGATGTTGCAGTTTCGTTGCAATTGCGTTTCACCGTGTGTTCTGGGCCTTACTTGTAATTTATTATAGTGTGAAGAAATTTCTAAAAGTCAATATCAATTAACAGTGTTTTCTTCTGACCGTTAATCTTCCTTTAGGTACCGACTATTGGTACAGTCAGCGTCAAATAGTTCGTGACACCCAAAGTGGCCAAAAAGTTGAGAACACAACCTTATTCCAATTGATATTTGATGCTGAAAAAGCAATGAAAAGTCGTTGACGGTAAACAACTATGCTTTAGTAAGAGCTGAGAACCAAACACCACCTCACGGATGTGTAGTGTCGTTTTCCTTGTGCCTGTCATACCACTATCCAAACAATAACCAGGTGTTTTGTTTAGAAGAGCCAGCGGGCCGGCAGTTGAGTACCCGTGGCGGTATACGTGCTAGGTATTGTCCCGAGCTAGCTCGAGGCCACGAATCTAGGGCGTCGGTGTTCTCCGAACGGGGTTACGGGTGCATTATAACTAGCTAGGTACCGGGAGTGCCAGCACAGTTAAAGGATGGTCAATAAACTCTCGCGGGGTATTTTTTTCGCGCGGTAACAGCTTCCTTTGAAACGTCCATATCGACGTTGAGTTTCAAGTATCTAAACGATTGATTAAACTAGTACTCTGGTAATAGCGTTGAAGAGTAGGTATACTCAATTATTTATTTATCTTGTATCTATTGTTATCCTACTAATTTCTGGATGTCTGTTACTCTTTCACGCAAATACTACTGAACGGATTTTGATGAAACTTTACAGTATTATTGTTTATAACCCAGAATAACATATAGGGATATACTTAGGCTATAAACGATCTGTGACAAACTAAATTTCACGCGGGTGAAGCTGCGAGCAAAAGCTAAGTAGTTGATATTAATTCATCCTAGATCTGCCGTCCTTTTTCGCTTAAATATCCTTAATTATACAGGGTGTTAGGTAAATGGGTATATGAGCCGACACTAGCCCATGTTAACATGGGCATATAAATGGTATGGTGAAGTCAGAAAATTGATATCTTCATTTTCATACAAATCGGATTTTACAAAATTTATTTAGTATGAAAATAAAAAAAATTAAAATGATAATTTCAAATTTCTGACTTCACTATACCATTTATTTGCCTATGTTAACATGGGCTAGTGTCGGCTCATATACCCATTTACCTAACACCCTGTATACAAGGTGAAAAAGTAGAGCAAATAGAATGGATGATCCTTGCTCAATGGTCATACTTACTAACGATATAAGGAATATTGCTACTTACCTACATCAGACATGCATTCTTGAATAGGTAGGCTTAATCATAGGTATCTATCAGATCAGTTTACATAATCTGGGAGAGACGTTCAATGCGTTTCAACATTAAATCTTGTAGGTCTGTTAGAAAAAAACCGGCCAAGTGCGAGTCGGACTCGCGCACCGAGGGTTCCGTACAAACCTGCAAGGTTTACAAAGTTCGTTCATTACGACAATCGAGTCATAACTATGTTTTTTTTTCACGGGTTAAAGGCAATTAGATCTAAGTATTTNGTTAAGGCACATGTCTTCTACAAGTCGCGTATTCCCATCATTTTCTTCTTGGGTTCTCTAAAATAGCTTTTCATCCTCTTTTTAATTGCATTCTTCTTTAATTGTGTAATCGTGTTCGCTATACAGTGTGTAAGTTACTTTTATTTTAGTGGCATTATAAAGAAACTCCTAAAAGTCAATATCAATTAACAGTGTTTTCTTCTGACCGTTAATCTTCCTTTAGGTACCGACCATTGGTACAGTCAGCGTCAAATACATAGTTCGTTACACCCAAAGTGGCCAAAAAGCTATTTGACGCTGAAAAATCAATGAAAATGTTTAAATAAGAGCTGAGAACCAAACACCACCTCACAGACGTGTAGTGTCGTTTTCCTTGTGCCTGTCACACCACTATCCAAACAATAACCAGGTGTTTTGTTTAGAAGAGCCAGCGGGCCGGCAGTTGAGTACCCGTGGCGGTATACGTGCTAGGTATTGTCCCGAGCTAGCTCGAGGCCACGAATCTAGGGCGTCGGTGTTCTCCGAACGGGGTTACGGGTGCATTATAACTAGCTAGGTACCGGGAGTGCCAGCACAGTTGAAGGATGGTCAATAAACTCTCGCGGGGTATTTTTTTCGCGCGGTAACAGTTTCCTTTGAAACGCCCACATCGACGTTGAGTTTCAAGTATCTAAACGATTGATTAAACTAGGTATACTCTGGTACTCTTGAAGAGATACTAAATTAACTACTTGTACTTGTATCTATTGTTATTGAATATATATTATTTATCCTAGATCTGCCGTCCTTTGTCGTTATTAATTTCAAGGTTAACTTGTAGCGCAATTGAATGGATGATCCTTGCGATCAAATCGTCATACTAATGATATAAATAAGGGATAATATTGCTGCTTACCTACATCACTCACTCATCTTGAATAGGTAAGTACCTACTATTCATATCTAACATACCAGTTTACATAATAATCTAAGGCCAAATATTTACGTTAGGTTCTTATATGTCCTCTTTTTTAAGAAAAAAACTTCAAGAAACACGGTTTAATTTCAACCTACTTAGTAATACTGGTAACACCTAGATTTAGACCAAACTCTCTTTTGAAACCCGCCTACTTTCTAGGCAACGCTAGCTCCCAATTCCAATCGTATTTCAATTTCTTAGGAAGCTTCTCGAAAATCTCTCCAACAGTTTTACAGTATTGAAACGGTAGAAGCTTTATTTCCTTTTGCTATTGTGAAGTACCTCGATGTTAATTACAAGGAGTGTTTTACTTTAAGTGTACCGATGTAAAGCTCTGTTTACAATGTCTGCGGTTTGTCCGAGTATTCGATCCAAAGAAATGTTTAATTAAGATTCAAATGACCGCAGATAGCGATTTAAATACGTAAAGGAATAGCGACAGTGTATGAAATTTCTATTTATTGTGTGAATGAGCTTATCATATTAATTACACATCAACAAATGAAACAACGCAGAACTGACGGCCGATGGGGCAGTAAGGTTCTGGACCACCCACTAGGTGGACCGACGACCTCAAGATAACAGGAAGGTGCTGGATGCAGGCCGCCATCAACCGGCCATTGTGGAAATCATTGGGGGAGGAATATGTTCAGCAGTAGACGTCCTATGGCTAAATGATGATGATGATGAAATAAAACAAAATGACAAACAATGTTTAATAACATTAACAGGATAGTTACCTTATTGCCGTTGCCGGTTGCGTTTCATGCTCTACATTTTCCAAAAAAAGTGTCTCAATTGATTTAACCGTGGATCAAACAGCGCTATCGAGTTGACATGAGAAATGAAATTGTCCAGAAAAAGCCTATTCAATCGTGTGCGAGGATGCTATGTATTTCTGTAATAGCCCCTTATATCTGGTAGATCTTGTTTGCCTTTCGGAATCCGTGGCCCGGCTAATTCCCCTTTTCTATGAAAGGACATGTCTCGGATCATTTATTACGATTCCGTGAGCCTTTCTGTTGCTGCTAATCCTCTTTTATTAAAAAACGGTGGGAATAATAAATTAAAATGAAAAGTTTTTGCTGACTGTATAAAAATATAATAGTAAAACCAAAATCAGAACGGATGTTACCTAACTTAGGGATTTAGTAAGTATTGGTAGGTAGGTAAGTACCTTCTGATTTTGGAAAGGCAAATCAAGAATAAATTGCATTTATGTAGGTAATTTTATTATTATTTAGGCAGCAAGGTTCTGGAGTGGAGGCTACACGTACCGGAAAGCGCAGCATAGGACGTTCACTCACAAGGTGGACCGACGGCCTGATAAACTGCAGTTAGATAGTGTAGGTACGGTAGGTACAGGTTATAAAACAAATTCTGTGCTGCTGCACGTGACGACATGGAAAATAATAGTACTGTTTCCATATCGCATAACAAGTCTTTTCGCTCAGTTACGTTCAACGTTAAAGCTTTGATCATAGAACGTTCAATGCGTTTCATCGCAACAAAAGGTCTGTACCTAACAAACAAGGTAAATTGAATAAAAGCCTGTAAAAAATATGAAAATAAGTGAATGAAGGTGGCTCGTGCTGGGAGGTGGGAGGATCGCCCGGTGTTTGCCGCCCTGTTTACCGCTCGTTCATTAGCTACCACGCTTATTGCCTGCATTATTTAATAGAGCAAGTGAATTAAAAAAACAAGTTGTGTTGTGAAAATGGGCGTAGTGAAGTAGTTGGGTAAGTACTTATTATGAAATTCCTATTCCTTCTTGTTATTTTTGCTCTAGCTAGACAGAATTTTTCTATACATAAGTATCTATGTTTCATATATGAAATGAGGGAGAAACGGACGTATTCGAAAATACGAGTAAGGGACAGATGGACACCATTGTTGGGAGCAGTCAGTCCTTTGCTTAGGTTAAATCAAAGCACCAATACGTACGTCTAAACAAACATGCTAAAAACGGTTTTTACCCTATTGCACTATTTTTTTTTCTATAATAGAAAAACATAATATGTAATATTTGTATGTTATCACGTAACAAGTACAATAGTAACGGTAGGAACGTCTATACAAAATAATGAAACTCCAAAGTACTCTTATAACGAGATTGCTTCCTACCAAGACATGTGCTGTACCAGCTGTGATCCTACCATTATAATTCTTTGTTATGTAGGAAAAAGTCTTCCCCCCAGCCAGGAGCGCGCCTTCAATTAGGCGCCCTTGGTAACGACGTGTGGAGGCTGTATCCTTCCTCATATATTGATCTTATAGGTATAGAACACTGAAATCTAACAAAGGGAAAGAAAGGGTGAAACCGCCATAAAACTATACTTGTAGACGTGGGTAATATAATATGGGTGAAATAAGCACGACTTCTGAAAACTGCACTTAATTTTGGTAGACTTTTAAAACCTACTTTTTAATGCAGTTATCAGCAATTATAGGTTTCTGTTAAAAGGTTTCAGCTGTAATTTAAAAAATAATAAAAGTTGTCTTTGAACTGCCAATGTCATAAGTCATAATAAAACACAAAAAACGTTTCTCCAAACATATTTTTGTATTTTTTTTATTGAAATAACTAGTGCTTTAAACATGTCCTTTGCAGTGAAACCCAAAAGTCCCGTATCCGATGATTCAATTTCAAATAACACGAGGTCCACACAAATGAAATTAAATAAATGCGATGAAAGCGAACCCGGGACTTCGTATGAAGTGTTCAGGAATAACACAACAGCAGTCGAAGTAATAGTTAAAGAGGTGCTCAATAAAAATAATAAAAAGAAGACAGGTTCTAACTCCAGTCTTCATACCATTCGGAGGTTACAAGAAGATATCGAAAATCTGAAAAGAGAATTAGCAAGAACCAATTCAGTCCTCATGCGAACTAAGAAGGGGTTCCGTATAATTATTATTGAAATGAAAAAACAATTAGACACTGTAAACCGACAAGAATTGGAAAGGCATAAAGAAAATTTAGCATTACAACTGGAAAATGAAAAACTGAAAACTTTACTGGAATCAAAAACGAACATGGTTACGAAATTCAAGAGAGAGTTTAGTACGATGAAGAGAGTGATCAAACTGGTGATGAAACATATAAGTATCGCTCCAAAGCTAAATGAGAACCTAATCTTGAGTTCTGATCCTGAATTTGATGAGTTTGCGAACGATTTGAAGAGGGACATACATGTTAAGTTTGCTAAAAATTTGGACAGCATTGGCGCCACTTTTGACAGTAGCACGTTATCAAAAGACACGAAGGATTCTTTCGATAAGCATTTTTGATGGTTTTTGTATAATTTTATATTGTAGGTAAATTGTAATTAGTAAAAGTGTTGTTCTTAAGTGCCACTATTAAATTGAGTTTTCACTAAGCAGTTATTTGTTTTTAAGTACTACAACATCATATGTTTTTTAAACTGGGCACTTATCCAGAATAGGTCATCAATCATTCGTTATACATTTTGATTTGAAAGATATTGTAAGAGCTAAAAGTTTGCATCCTCCGAAATCCATTTCACAAAGTAATACCATTAATTCGTAGTCCATGCAACTCAAAAACAACACCGGTAGCCGCAGGAATCAATCGCGGGATGCACAGGGCGGGGTGCATACCCGGTAGCGCAACCGGGTCAGCGTGTGACCGGGTCACGCGGTCACAGCCCGGTCACCCGGTCGGGAACACCCGGGCGAGCTGTCTTACGCGATTTGACGGTTTTTAAGTATACCTAGACGAACAAGGCTGGAAAGCCGTTTTAATTGAGAGTGCTTTAAGAAATGAAAAGCTCTACTTATCTGCTGGTGTAACTGGAAGAAAATTATGAGCATTTTTTAAACAGAGAAACATATAATTTTATATTCATCTCTTATATTTTAGTGTTAAAGGTAAGTAGGTAGTCACTTCATAGATGAAACTTATAATACGCACCATAAAGTGGTTACATTTTCGGATCCCGTGGGGGACAAATATTATAAAATAAATATGTTTCAGACAAATCCAGCTAAAATAAGCTTAATATTTAATTAGGTACCATATCAGAACAACAAGTCAAATTCGAAGCTTCAACAGAAAAGGGCACCTTTAATGGTGAAAGGTTTTTGAATACCTGTGCATGTATTAAGAATCAGGTTCACCTGTATATTACACCTTCATTTAAAAAACATTTCATTTTGTTTGGCGACTGCACATCTTGTATGTCATCAGATCAAGCTTTGCACCTTCCTATTCGAAGCTTTCATAAAATATCTCATTCGAAATGAGTCCAATGCGATTAAAAGCTCAGCTCGCTGTACGTGCTTTTTGCCGATCCAGTAATTCGGCGATATTTCGATTAAGCTCGATTGTTAGTGCAGCAATTAAATTGAACCGTATCTTTTGTTAATTATGGGTATTGTCGCAGAAATATCTTTGTAAAACGCTTCTGGATGCATTTATGGGACTTATGTAGGATAGATGATGTTCTGTATTTCATTGGATGAGAAAAAAAAAGATAATTTTACTTACCTACGTTTTTCCGGGAATTTTCTGTTTCCTTAAAACCTCGGTTCTTCGTCGGTTTAAAAGATAAAAAAATGCCAAATTAGTCTAGTCCTTCAAGAATTTAGAGCTTTTGTACTTAGGAATGCATTTAGAATTTCTGCGTCCGAAGACTAACTACAATAGGAGCAAATGCCTTATAATGACTTTAAGCGCGCTATTTTTATGCAACATATTTTTAAATAAACTCGATAGAGCTGCAGCATTTTCCATCAAAGGTCGTCAGCAGTATACGTCGCCAGCCGATGTCAACTGCACTCGTAACTAGCAGCTATGTTCGGGAGCTTAGTGGAAACTTTGTGGAAGCAACATTTTCTGTACAAAAAAGTAGAGGCGCACTTTAGAACTCACATGATAGAAGTATCATGTGAGTTCTAAAGTTCGCCTCTACTTAATCAATATACTTTGAAATAAACTCGATAGAACTGCAGCGTTTGCCATCAAAGGTCGTCAGCAGTCGACGTCGCCAGCCGATGCCAACTGCACTCGTAACTAGCAGAATGTTCGAGAGCGGTCCGACTTGTGTTTGTGTTTGCATTGATTTCAAATGCCGCTGGAGTTTGGGGACGGGATACAAACTTGGTGGAAGCGACATTTTCTACTGAACTTTGTAGTTCTTGTGAACGTGCATATGGTGGTTTAAAAACTTGTAAGAATTTAGGATAGCCTAAGTCGTAGTCTGCAAACGGAAACAAATATATCTTGTAGGTCCTACTTACATAAGTAAGTAAAATAAATTCCCGGAATATTAATTTAAAATGTACAGAGAATGCCTGGCATTAAGTTCGCCTTATATTCAACAATTCAAAATTTCTTTATTTTCTTATAAGACACATTTACAGGGGTTGGGTGTCTCCTTTTAAGTTTAGAAAACCTGTATTAGGAGACGCCCGCAATTTCAATCAGTTTTATCCAGCTTATGGCATGGCATCAAAGTGCAAATAAATAATTATATTTTCAATCAATTTACAGTGTATGACTTTGGAATTCAGAAAATGGCCAATAAATACAGCAAATAACTATTGAATATGAAGTGGTAGTGCATTAGCGAGACAAAGTTAAAACTATGTTATGGGTCCTCAAAAATGCTATCTGAAATGTTAAAAAAAAATGTCTTATTCTTATTGGTTAGTAAAATTTTCATTGCCATTTCTAGCTATCATACCTCCACGCGTCCTCATTCGATTCCACTGCTTCTGGCATCGCTTGCAGTATGCAGACATACGGAGGGGGTGGCCTCCTCAGCCCTCATTAGGGGAGGTACTAACCAAGTAATTACTCGCGAGGATGCGGCAAGTGGCTTTTTTATCAGGGCAGGATGTTAATGAGATTATTTTGCTTGTGATAGAAGAGCTTGTTGGGATAGCAGACTCCTTAAATAAGGAGGATTTAAAGGATTTTTGTTACATTTAAACGTCTATCCCCCTTACTAATAAAAAGTTACACAGTTGTTGAACGCTGTTTTAAAATGACATTTCCATACTAAACGTCGCTTTAAAACACTGTTCAACGAGGGTGTAAGTTTTATTAGTAAGCGGGTATGTCTATAGAAAGAAAGGTCTGGCACAAAAAATCTTTAGTGCATTCTTTCGTTAAACTTTCGCGTTGCATAATTTTATACCTACTACCTACCTATACGCGATAAGGTAATAATGTCAAATTTTTTTCGTTTCGTTATTCCTTGTTTTATTATTATAAACCGATGATCAAAAAATTTTATTTTACAATCGCTTTACCAGCTGCAATCGTCAGGCTTCGTCAAAAGAAAAAGGTTGAAAATCATGTATTGTTGACTGAACGTACTAGCACAGAATAATAATAAGTACTACGTACAGAAGTTTTACTTCGCGAAGGTATTTAAAAAAATGTATGCTCAATGTCATTAACAATATGGTGTAATTTAGCCTGGCTCAAGAGTCAAGCACCATTTTGTTGACAAACGTCAGTGATCGGCACTGCGCCGAAGCTATAGATGACCCACGCTGAACTGTCCCGCCAAACTCAATGACAGGGGGGCGCTACCATCGTTCAATTATATGGTTTCCAACATGGCAAAAATCTGAACCAGCGATCCGGTATTGACGGTGGCGCCCCACTGTCAATGTCATCGACAGGACAGTCCAGTATTTTGGAACTATAGGGCTGACTTCGGTAAAATGATGTGACGTGAGGTGCCAAACTGCCGAAAATGGCAGAGGAAATACATGATTTAGCATGAATTATCATGAATAATATTAACTAGTTATTTACCTCTCAGTATCTTGAGGCAACTTAACAAAGTACATTCTGTGTTTTTATTATTATTTAGGCAGTTAAATAGTACACCATTTTCTTAATTTTCTTCCATCATACACAAGAATACGCGTGCGTGAGTCAATGTTCGCTCGTATGTGAGGCCTTGTCGAATAGTATCCTGTAGGTGGGCTATCGTGCGTGTTTTGTTTTCGATGTAAACTCGCGGAGATGAACAGGCCTGGTACTAGTACTTGTTATTATTCTGTGGTACTAGTATTTATAAACCTATCTCTATAACCTTTTCTGTCAATTGCATGGTTTTTAAAACTTCATTTGTGCTGCGTGTGAGTATAATTGAAAGTATTTACAGACATTCTAAGCCAGTGCGTGGTTACGTTCCCAACAAAGGGTTCTCATGAAGCCCTAATGCTTACAGAAGTGGCGCTCGCACTAAGCACCATCGATTCCCTCTAAAGGCACCATTATGCGACACAATGCATTTTATAATGGACTTTTTGTAAGCAACGGGGCTTGTGGTTTCACTTGTGTTGATCGCTCTTTTCTTCAGAAATGTTTGTAAATATAGAGAATATAATATGCAAATAAATATACAGACCGGGTAAAGTATTACTTCACTTATTGCATACATTTTGTTTGTTTAGAAATAGATGTACTTTCGTTAACAGTTCTATTTGTTTCATACTCATTTTCAAGACTAAATAGTTTTAAAGCTATGTATAATTACTGGTATAGATCTAAATGGCTGCGGGCCTGTACTAATTTCCTACAGTAAATAATATCTAGAAAGAAGTACTTTTGACGAATCTCATAGAAATTGACATAAAATAAAAGATATCACTTCTAATCAGTCGTACCTAGTTGATTAACGTTAGTTTATACCTCAACTGAGACACGGCTCATTTGGAACTGTCTGTCTCGGGATTTGAACTCGTCACACTGCGCTACCCGGGTCAATAGCCATTAGCAAGCTGTCGTCAAGCTGTACATATTCGTACACAGAGCAATAAACTAGTCTGCATAGATTGCCAAATAAACGTTTACTAAGTATTATGGTTAAGCATAATGTTTCTCGCTGCTTTTAATCGACCGTTGTTTCCAATTTCAACTAAAATTAACTAAGAAACCTTATTTTATCGAGCTAACAGAATAAGACTAGAATGATGCCTAAATAGCTTGTATACACGATAGGTAGGGACATTTATATTCTAAGCTATATTCAAACATTTGAACTTAGTGTAAATCTCAAGAGTGTATCTAAATTCAGTTCCGATTCGGCTCTACGTAACGGATTATCATGAGCGCACTCAGAGATTAACTCTCTCAGCGTTGCGGCAGTTAGGCCACCGTAAAACAAATTTTAAATGCAATAACGTCCCCTATTGCATTTTTCATCAGGTCCAAAGTGGACATCAAAATTCACCGTGCAGCCATTATTTACTGCGTTGATGGACTCCGTTCGTCCTGGCTCCGGGAGCGCCCGATCCCGCCCGACGTCCCCCGACGCACGCGAAATGACAACCACACCAGTCGCTATACAACCTCCGTGCGCTCAAACCGCTACCGGCCTCCACGCTGTCACACATGTGAACTTTTTTATGTGCTGTGACTCTGACATTCCTTTTTTGAAATTCAAACGTTTTCACTTTTTTAGTGTTTTTTAAAATGGGTCACGATACGGCCAGGCGGATAGACTAGGACAAACGAGGTTGGTATCAGCACAGATTAGATGTAGGTCCACATTTCTATAGTATTGGATGTCTAGTTCAAGTGCTTGGGAAATATACGGTCAATTCCCCTTTTCATTTAATTTCAGTCGTTATTTATTTTTGTAAAGATTATTTGTTTCTGTAGAGAGCACGAAAAGCATACACGAACATTTTACCCTGTATAAAGTTAAGTTTTCAATTTATGTTTAAGATTTTCGTAGTATCATTTATTATGTCGTTTGTGAAAGTTAAAATACTTAATTGTTTTTTTTAAATTATGCATGTAATTTTTTTTTGTTTTTGTTTAATTAATTCAGCAAACAGGGTTTTCATTCATACTACAATTTCAATAATTTATTACACCTTTATTTACTATTTAAACTCTTAAGTAAAAAATCTATTAAATGTACTGATATAGAACCGTTGTAACTTAACGAACTTATTTTCGTTTATTTAGCTAATCAATGAGTTTGCAAAGTTGGACATTTTATATTTTCCTACATCTTTTTAACCTGCTATCCAGTTGTGATTATAAAATCAAAAGTGTCCAGGATTAAGAATTTGTAATTCTACTACATCCAGATATACAGTTTCTCATCCAAAATCTTTATTAATTAGTCCATTAAATACTTCTATCATCCTTAATTCTCCTCCATAAGCTTTCATTCCATTAAAATGTCACAGCTTATCATCAACAACAGCTTCAGTATCCCTTTGAATAAGCATCGGAACTGTCTTCATTCAATAAATGGTATTTGACTCGTGTTTATTCGATTTGCTACAGCTCGTAGCGTTTCTCGTAGCGTTCGGCTGCTACGGCTCCTGATATGACTACGAGACTACGAGCGACTACGAAATTCTATTTCGTAGTTCTACTTTTTGGATTGTGTTTAAAATAAAATCACGCACTACATAGATGGAAATAAGTTATTAAGTAGATTTTTAATTAGTTAAAGTAATATCTCTAATAGTTTTATCTTCATAAATATTAAATTAGTCTAGGCAGACTTTAAACCCACCTGAAAATGTAGATCACATTTTTCGAAACCCCAGTATTTTAAAAGAGATTGTATAACTATTTTGTCAGTTGAATACCCTTATCAAAAATACCTTTCGTCTACAGGTCCCCAGGGCACAAACAGGATGTTCTCTTTATGCCGCCGTTACAAAGATGAATACGGTATGTATTATTTTTATAACAAGTTACTCTAAATATTTTGTGGGATTATCTTCAAATAAATAATTTGTTGGAATCTTTTCGCGTTATGTAATAATAACGAAAATTAGGTTATCTTCACATAAGTACGATTTACGAAGAAAATGATTTTTCAGTCACTATGATTGTGTGGATACAAATAAGTAGTTACTCATTAGTTTGGCACGATACTTGTCATCTATTTATTTTTCAGAACATCTGCAAGTTTACATAATAGTGTAAAGTAATTCTGTAACAATCTAATACATGCAAGCAAAGCCACTGGCAAAGGTTAAGTCAGAAAGGCAAAATAGCGCATAATTGCTTTTGTGTTTCATATTGTGTCATACAATAAAATTTTAAGACCACTCTGTCCGCCCCAATTCTGTATTATTCACAAAATATTTGGCCAAAAAAACGGCCATTCACAGGTAGGCCAAAGAAGTTTCAATGGCGGCGAAGTGAATGTAGCCAATGACGTTATCTCGCTCTCAAATTAAAAAGTTAATATTTAAAAGGCGCGAGGCTCCTCCAAGATTTCAAGGCGCTGGGGATTTCGCGAATCTTTATTATGTAAAGTATTGGGGCGAATCTATTTATATTTAAATGGGTATGTTGGGAATGGTGTCTGTATTTTTAGATGCAGCGTTTTGATTGTTTACTGAGTAAACCGTCTTCCAAAAATTATACAAAAGTTTAGTGCTTTGAAAACGTTTAGTAAGTATTGGAAATATTTACGAGCCCATTTAATATTATACTATTCCAAAATGTTGAAATCGTTTGATACGTAAGTATTCAGGATTACTACTATTGAACCAATGTTGATGATATTAACATAGAGCAGCACCACATAATTATTGTGATCATTGCTCACTAATTAGGCAAATTGTTTTCATCAATAAAACATGATTTTAATAATGAATTTTAGTTACCTACCTAATATGTGCGACCGACGCCCTTAATTTCTGAATTCATAAACGATCGGCCTGCATTCCGAAGAAATTGATATTAGGAGTAATTATGTAGTAAATTATAATATAAATAGTAATTAGTTTTATTAGATTTTAAAGGACTGTAATCTAAATGTTTCCGTTTCAATATTTTATTCTATTATCTTTCAGTGTGTGTGTTGTGCAAAGAAGAGCTTTCTATCAATGTCTATCAGAAGTAGTTAGAAGTAAACATTCACTTCGCACTTATTAGAAGAAGAACATTTAAGTACCCAAGGAAACCTTTAAAGTAGCTTCATTATTGACGAGTTGGGAAGTCAGTTTCAATAGAACTAAGGCTTTTTTTGCAAAACGACTAGAGCTCTATTATCAAAGTCGGGAAAATATCAGAGCTCAAAGTTTCCAAGTACCTACCTACTTATCTAACCTATGGAAACATTTGTAATAAAGTAGGTTTTTTTTTATGTTTCTAATAAAATGAAATCTCTAAATTAGTGAATAATGTTTAAGTGTAAGTTGAAAGGCAGCTTCACAACTTGATATGAAAACTCTAATTATCATAATTAATAAGATTAAAACAGTTTTAGAAATAAAATAATGAAATAAAATTTGATTGTAGCTAAATGATAACTAATTTACCGGTATTTAATATTACAATACCAGGCAGGCTATTGTAATCATCATCATCAGTTCATCCTCATACTATTTGTTTCTACTGCAATTTCAATGTAACTCATAAGTGTGCTTGCAAAAACGTTTTTCACTTACGAGTAAGGTACATAACTTTTGAGCTGTAAAAAGGTTTAATCTCATACTTCGACTGGCAAGTCATTGCTTCAAAGTCTTAATTATGCATTTAACACATCCTCTCGACTCGCACTTAAGTTAATCGGGAGGCTAATGATCATGTCACGTCTCGCATCAGCTGAGTAGCCCCCCCTCCCCTCCCTCCCCCTCCGAGGGCCGGGAGAGGCCCGGCACTCCCGGCGAACCAGCCATTCATAAAACTAAGCCCGATCGATATAAAACGCCTCCCCAATGTCAATGTAATTATCAACTCCCTTGCTTACCCAAGCTACCATTGACTAGTAACGCTCGCGGAACGTACGAACCTTCTCACGAAACACACAATGTATGCCTCTACTGGAAAACTAGCGAGAAATGGTCACGGGTGTTTTCGGGGCTGAAATTTTCTGGCAAAAGAAGATCGGATTTAGTTTTGGATTGTTTTAGTTGCTGGGTTAATTGCTCCAGCTAGACAGATATTAATATGTACGCATATTACTGATCTGTTAATTTACGAAGTAGGTTTTAAATAGCTCTTAAAAATGTAGAGCTGATAAAGATTTGCGCTATATTATAATTGGTACTTAACTATTACTATTGCTTGTACCTATAGAACATATTATTATCACTACTAATGATTGTAATGTTATTTTATAAATTCAGAGTCTAAATCCCCTTTCAAGTTGAAGAAAATTACTTCAGCCTAAGAATTCACTCTGTAATTTCACTAGACAGTCCATAAACTGTACAAGCATTTCGTGAAAATGAAAAAGCTTTGTAACAAACGTATTTTGTGTGAAATATTGGTGTAATCGCATTTTGCACGTGCACCGTCGCTAAGCACAGTAGAGCTAGACAAAGTGCTCTCTGCCTTTGTACATCGAATAAAATCTGTTGCAGGCTTTAATATATTTCGAGGTAGGTAGTAAGTACAGTCCACAGAATATCTGACTGTTCAATTTTGTTTTAAGAATTGTCATTATCACTACAGAAAATGTCATAGTGATTTTCAAATGACTGATGATCATCAATAAAGTATTGCCAAGTAAGCAAGCACTACCTGCCTAAATATGATTGAAATCTTTTTGATAAGTAATTTTCTTGACACAAATTAGGTTAAAATTATAGGTTTCTAGCTGGCCCGGCGAACTTCGTACCGCATATATTAATCTAAATAATGAACATGAAACCCTCTTTTAATATTAGTGTAAATGTAGATAGTTCTGGGCGGCCGCTCGACCCAAGGCTGCCTCGAGTAGAGGACCTGGCTATAGGTGCTTGATATGCAGTTGTAATGATCCCTCTGTGTCCATCTCCTCTGTACCATAAGTGGGTTAGTCACTCAATAAACACGAATAACATGATCAAGAATTTAATTTCTGGTGTGTTTTATTACATTGGGAATGGCACAAAAGCGTGATAGTTAAGTTTGTTAAATTTACATTGAGTAGTAATGCACGTATACGTATAATGTGCAAATTGTACAAAAGACAGCACATCAGGCTACCCATTTTTATTGCTATTTAGCTCTTATTACAACTGCACAAGAACACACAGTGGTTACTTTGACGTGCCGTCGTCTGTACATATGACAGATAGTAAGCGTTCAATGGTTACGCTACCTATATTTTTTAGAGTAAAGAAGTACACAAAAAAATATTCCCGTTCACTCCTCTTGAAGTAAAGTTAAATTATATGTTAGAGTTTGCACTCCGATACCTAACCTACTTCCCAATTAACACTCCAGACAAAATGCTTAAGTTTATTAAACACTAGCGGCCGCCCGCGACTTCGTACGCGTAGACCTCGTTTTACCCCCGTTAGATATCATGTTCATGGCTTCCCCCGTATGAATATTTACGAACGTCAAAAACAGTGGTTTTTCCAGCGCTGTAGATTTTAACCAATGACGATATGGCGCTTTTTAGACACGTCAGGTGATCCGTCTGCTCGTTTGCCTCCTGTCACATAAAAAAAAACGTCTTATTTATTTATTTATTGAAATTTATTTGTCACATCGTCATATATTATAGCCTATTTGCTAATCTGGGTTTTAAACAATAATACTGTTAAGTTTAAACATAATCCGTTCAATAGTTTTTGCGTGAAAGAGTAACAAACATCCAGACATCCAAATTTTCGACTTTATAATATTAGTAGGATCTTACAATTTGATCATTTGTTTGCTCAGGCATATAATCTGATTCCCCATTCCCGATTACCTCGAAAGGCTCGTCCGTCGCAATAATCTCAAACTCCTGCTCTCCCCAGATAAGGAGCAGCCAGCCCCACCTTTGTCATGGAAATCGGTTCTAAGGGTACATTTTTAATATCGAGTGGAAAGTCCTTTGACTTTCTGATGAGAAACTTTGAAGCCGTCTTCCACACTGCTGACGTATTGTTGTGTGTTGTCAAGTTCTTAGGTGGAAATAAAATGGTGTAGGGAAACCTATTTAGTTTTTTAGTTATCTAGACATATCGAAGATGGATTTATAATAATAAAAAAAGTTTTTTTTTGCATTTAAATTATGCATGTAGCAAAGTAACATCTCAAGAAAATAAAATAAACTGTCTACATTGGATTACAAAATTAATTAAGCTTTGTTTCTTCATGTAGATAGCAACATTATGTGATATGACTCTGAAGTGTCTGCTCGGTATAATTGCCTTACTCGGTATAATGTGGACATTCATAGAGCATAGTGTACCCAATAGAGCGGAAATAGAGGGTATCCATCTCTGAAACTGATCAGTGGCTTTCAATAATGTTTGTACGAGTATATCAACTCATGCATGCTCAAAACACGGTCACTGACCATTTGACCAACTACAGTAGGTACTAAGTTTAATAAAGTGTACCTATAGGTTGGGAAAAATACGCCTGACAACAAGAGAAAAAACTTATTTACAGCAAAGTTAAAAAAAATGATCGCAACGTCCCACCGCGCTTATTTTAGCCAAATAATATGCTATTTCTCCAATAAATATGCAAAAATTACAACAAAACATCATGTGCCTGCAGCCTTACAGAACTGAAACACTCGCAACTGAAAAATTACAAGCCATTGTTTCGCTGGCATCAAGCAAGCTAATGAAACAATGTGGCACGTTAATGCACTCGCAATCAAGCTATTCACAGCTTGTTCGCAGACGCTGACGAACTGGGCCATATAGTACAGTTTCAATACGGATGAAAAGTACAATGAAATGTTTTTCTGTTTACACTGGTGTTGAATGTTCAAGTTCTCA